GTCTACGAAAAGTATATTTTTAAAGATATGGACTAAAGTTATGTTTTCCTAAATGGAACACCCTGTATATTTATGAATTATATGATCTGACTTACCATAAGCTTCTCAAAAATATATTTCACTCTATATTTATTTTCACTATTTACTGCAATATTTAAAAGTTTTTATTAAAATATCATATTTATTAGTAGGCCATGATTGAAAAATGATGAAACTAAGGAATTATTAAAAGTATACTGCTATCTGTCTCTTGTTTTATTTTGGAAGCCACTAATAAATTCTTTATATATTAGGGAAACTTAACTCTCTACCGCTATTTGTAAATCTTGGAAGCTACCGCACAGGAAATTTTAGATATTCCTTTAGCTAATTTACGTGAAATATACTTTCAGCAAGATGAGGTTCCAGCTCACAACTTTGAAAATATTAGAATTTTGCTAAATTGTTATTTCTCAAATGAATAAATTAATCCCAACATATGGAACCAATGAACCCATATGATGGCCCCACTGATTCCCGGATTTGTTCGTTCTCGATTTCTGATTTTGGTTTTTTTTGAAATATGAAGTATATCCTGGCAACTACAACAATGTCGAACACCTGAAAAATGCTTTAATAATGCAAGCTTTTAGATATTTGCAAACGCATCCCGTTATAATAAATTTCGTTATAAGAAAAAGAAAAATATATTCACAGATTCAGTGGTAACAGTAACACAAAAGTGTAATATATTAATCCCAAATAAAATATGAATATGTGTAGATTATTTTAGTAAATACCTACCATTTTATTTTTTTTTTGATATTTATCACGGCCTACTAATAAGAAAATGATATATTTTAAATATTGCAGTAAATACTGAAAATAAATATAGAGTGATATACATTTTTGAGAACTTCATAGTAAGATAGATCATATTATTTATAAATATACAGGGTGTTTCATTTGAAAAAACCTAACTTTAGTTCATACTTTCAAAAATATTTTTTTTCGTAGAAAACCAGTCTACGCCACTGTATTCTACGTAAAAAGTTCTACAATAAACAGTTTTCACCTTCTCGATACCTTTAACAATAACAGAGATACAGGGGGTGTCCCAAATTGCAAAATTTTCGTGTATTTAAGACCCTGTATCTCAGAAACGAAGAAGGCTATGAAAATTTTGTTTGCAGCATCTTCCGTTTGACAAAAAAGTGGGACAGGTTTGTGCAAACCGCATCCTCCTATCTTTACTAATAACGGAGATACCGTATGATTTCAACCAAAATGGGACACCCTGTACAGGAATCGAAATGAGGTCTAAAATAAGAAATTTACTTTAAATCAACAAGATTTTGCTTAGGGAATAATACACAAAAAGTAGTACCCTGCTTTGAAACAATTACTTGATTGAATGTTCGAATTGAGCACCCCCTGCTTCCAGCGCAAATACAGGTTCTACTCAAAGCGTTCTCGGGCGTGTTTAATATTTCGGGTGTTAAAACCGCATATTCGTGTACAATTCTTTGACGTACTACTTCTACTGTCTCCGGTTGCGTGGCGAATACTTTTGTTTTGAGATGCCCCCATAGCAAAAAAATCCAGCGGAGACAAATCCGGTGACCTAGCTGGCCATTCCACCGACCGGGAAATGTTCATCAAGATACTGCCGCACACGTACAGCATAGTGTGGAGGAGCTCCATTTTGTTGAAACACAAGTTGATTTTCGTCATAGTGATCTTCATTCTCAATTATATGTGTAATGCTGCGATTTATGGCATTTCCCAAAAGATCCAGATACATATTTCCATTTAGATTTCCATCCAGAAAGAAAGGGCCAACTAGACAGTCGCCAAAGATTCCAGCCCACACATTATTTTTTTCAGGATCCTGAGTATGAACCTCACGGAATTCTTTAGGACTGGTATCAGACCAGTGGCGAGAGAATTTGGCGATTTACTGTTCCATTGAGGAAAAATGTACATTAATCCGAAAAGCACATATTGAAAAGAAAACGTGGAGTCGCAATGAACATTTCACTTAGTTCTTCACAGAATTGTAATCGTCTGTCGTAATCATCCCCAAGTAACAAAATTCCGACTTCCGACTAGTTTTGACTAAGCGCAACGTTGAAATTGGTACTTTTCCCTACCCTATGCATATCCAAATCTCAAATTACGTAGCCAAAACGTCGCTACGACGTTGCACTTAAACAGTCGTATATTTTGACCCTTAACAACGTTGATAAACGTTGATAAACGTTATTAGAAGTTGGGTTTTATACTGTTGTCATTACATCGCCAGAAGGCATGTCTATTGTACTATAGAATAATAAACATAGTACAGCGTTGTGCAACGTACTTTTAAATTACGAGTGTAAGTACATACTAACTACAACGTAATACAACGTTTCATTAAACGACCCAAAGCAACTTCAAAATTATAACCAATTACTACGTTGGATTACGTCGACGAACGCGACGATATAGATTTTTGTTGTGGAAGCGGAACTATCTACACTTAACCTCAAAAAATAGGTATTTTTTCTGTGGTTACTGTGTAAAGCGAAAAGAAGATGTATAGGAAAAAAGTATATAAATACTCTACAACTTTTTATAGAAAAAAGAAAAAGTATTTAGAAGAAAGTCAGCGGGCAAGTGAGTATCCGAAAAATGAAGTGGAAATAACGAGTTTAGGTTCGTCATCCACATCCTCGCAATCATGTATCGAAGGAACGTCCACTTCAATTTTGAAAAGTAATAGTGCTACTAGTGGCAGCTTATCATCAATGGATACTATAGAAATAAATAACAGTACACCTGAAGGCCATACAACATACAACAGAGGAATACTATGAGAATAATGATCCTCCAGAAGAGCAGTCAACTGAAGTTCATCCTGTCGTTCTTTCGACAAAAATATAACATTTTTAAGTCAGTGTAGTGTACAAAATAATATATCCCATTCAGCTGTAAACCTGTGGTATAAAATATCAGTAATATAAATTGGCTGCCGATAGATGCACGCACAATTCTTCAAACACCAACAAAACTGTTTGTATAAAATGTATATACGGCTTTTTTAAGAATAAATAAATAGAAATACTGATCTAATGTCAGCGATCTTATTAACGTGTATGTGACCACCACCACCGAAGCATAACCCAGTTTTCTTGTTTATTTTATTGTTCCTAGGTAAAAAAGAGCACTGTAAGAAGGATTTTTTTATTTACCTCCTAGATGTCGGTAGGGTTCAGAGTTCCTATTTCGTCAAAGCAGGCGTCAATTTTTGAACCAAAGGTTGACATAGGTGACCCAAAGGTCGGTTACCGCACCTTATGTACTATATTGGTATTTTAAAGGTTTCCTTAGGCAACTCCGCTATTTTAATACGATTTATCTTTTCGTCCGTTGTGGACGAATCGAATAAAATATCAGAAACCAGAAAATACTGCGAATCTCGTTAAAAAGGTGTATCTGTTAGGGTTGTAAGCTAATTTTCCTGATAGATTTCGTATATTTGTCTCAAAATTAAAAAAAAAAGTTAGGTTAACCAAGTAAACTATAATTTTAAAATTAAAACTAGGAAATCAAAAAGGGATTTTGTCATATTTCGAAGTATCATGGTCACTTTCGATTGCCGACATCTCTAAACTTTGCAGATTTCTCGAAGTTAAATTCACCTAGTTATTTCTAAGTTAATCGAAATCAATGATTTGGTTTCCCCATGGTTGAATATAGTAATATTTGACGACTAATATTTTTAACTCTAACCTCAAAATATCGATAATCGGCATGAAAAACAACTTGGCCAACGTTGGCGACGTTGTAGCGACCCTAAAAACATCCACCATTTTGGTGCAAATATGGGTCGCTTAGACGTCGCTTCGACGTTGTCCGGCAACGTTGGGTTGCTCCTGGCGACGTTGTGATTACGTTGAACAACGTAATTTTGCTACTTGGATATTCGTTCAATTCTTGGACCAGATGAAGTTTGTTAGGATGGAATTTGTGGAACTTCAGTATCCTGTAAACACTACTCTTACTTATTCCTGCGGCTGTTACCAATTGTCTAACACTCATTCTTGGTTCGGGATGGATTTGTCCCAGAACTACTATTTGCATCGCCTCATTGTTAACTACACCAGGCGGAACTTCTCGCTTCTTTGTAAGAACACTTCCAATTTCTCTAAATTTAGCTACTAATTCCAGCACGTACTTTTTATTGACATGTTTAACTGGATGTAGGTCATTAAATAACTGTGCCGTTCTCACATCCGTCATGACCAAAGAAAGTTTCAATTATCTCAACTTTATCTGCAGTAGAATAAACCATCACGTCAATTCACAATAATACTAAATACTCTCTTTTTTAAGCTTAAAGTATCACAACACAGTTCATTTAAACCAAAAACTCGTAATAGAAAACTAAAGTGTCAAAACGAATGACAATGTCAGAAAATAAATAAATATCCGTGCTGGCCACGATTCCTTGTGATCCGATTCAATTCTCACAATTTTTTTACGGCTCATCGTCCAAATCTTATGGATCCGTGCTGGCCACGATTCAATTGAACGAACCGTATTGTAAGCAATGAATCAATTTTCACGACTCTTTGAACGCACGATCGATCGCATTGTGATCCGATTCAATTCTCACGATTCTTTTTTACGGCTAATCGTTCAAATGTTATGGATCCGTGCTGGCCACGATTCAATTGAACGAACCGGATTGCAAGCAGTGAATCGAATCTCACGATTCATTTTTAATAATCGTTCAAATGAACGGCTCGTTCAATTTTTGCCCACCTCTAATTCACATCTTCGAGTTTCGAGCTGCAAACATTATTGAATGTTACTTAAAAAACAATATTTTTATACACAAACCATAATAATAAAGTAACGCTACTGAACTTCACATTGTATCTAATAATAAACATAAAACATAATACTTGGTAAATAGGTATCTCACTTATCGCAAATTTAACGAAATATATATTAAAAGAGGATTCATCCTGTCAGATCATTACAACGCGCGCGGTTACGAGTGTACGAATCAATGTAGGTTAGAAAACAAGACTTTTTTACTATTTTTTTTTATTTATTTTTTTATTTAATTTATTAGACTTTATTTTTTATCGATTTATATTGTTTCCTGTAGGTGTTGATATATTTTTTACAAAAATACCTCATTGGAAACAAATATATTGTGTGGCTGAATATTTATTAATGAAAAGTGTAGTTTTCTTTAATGTGAATGTATGTAAAAAAAGACTTTTTAATTGGTTTCCATTTTATTAACTTGTGTTTGTTATGTTTTAGAATCTGTTTTTAGAAAATAGAAGAAATATTGGAATTTCACACACCAAAGGTTAGTAATTTATTTATTTATATAATATTACTCTTTACATAATCAGAATAATTAATTGTTTCGTGATTTCTAATTATTATTTTTTGTTAAGTACCTGATAAATTATCTCTAATTATATTAGATATAAGTACAATAAAATTGCTACTAATAGTTACTTATTACTTACTGCTATAACATAAATAATTGGGATCGAAAATAATACAGGGTGAGTCTTAAATAAGTGGTAGATCTCGATAAAAGAAACGTATTTTCTATTTACCGTTTTTCAAACAAGTCCAAAATAACACAGTTATTTTACTAAAATAAATAAAAATGATTTTTTGCATAAATTTTGAAAACTACTTATGTTGTATGTACTCATATTATCAAGATAGTATGTTTTTTAAACTAAAAATTAAAAAAAAAAATTTTTTTCAAAAAATATCAAATTTTCATAGTAAACTATTTTAAGATTACCTTCATTATATTTATTCTACTAGATCATGGTTAATAACATAAATTTACTAAAAATAAAATATAACATAAATATATGTATATGCATAATATATTTATGAACATTATTAAAAAATATTGCACAATAAAACTAATTATAACTGTATAACAATATTCTCATTCATCTCGAATACAAAAAACAATATAATTGCAAGTAGCAGTTCATTTACATTCTCATTTATTAAATTATTTGTAATGTTTTTAAAAAGAGATAAAATTATTGCCAATTATTTGTCCATTGACATTTTTATTTATTAAATTACAATAATGATTTATTTATACAGGTTGAGTCTTAAATAAGTGCAAATATTTTTAGGGGTGTCATATTTCTCTATAACTCTATGAGGTTATTTTTTAAAAAAAAATGTTGAAAATCGTGCATTTTCATTTAAATCTTCCTGTATAATTTAGAAAACTTTTTGGAACTACCTGTTCACCGCACGGTATAATTTCTTAATCTTTGATATTACCATGGTTATAGCTTTACTTTATGGTACGGCCTAAGGGATGCAAATACAGAAAAAAAAATTATTTAAAATAAATCAATATTTTAATTTTCAAACTTGAATATTAAAATAGTGAAAATATTTGAAAAACGGTAAAGAGAAAATATGTTTCTTTTATCGAGATCTACCAGCCCTGAATATATTTGCACTATTTAAGACTCACCCTATATAACCAATTTATAAGTTTCTAAGAATAAAAGTTAATTAGTCACTAGATTCCAATTTTTCACTATTTCACTCCAATAGCTTTTTTTTTATTTCACTCCTTAATGGCTATTTTTATCAAAACCCCAAATATTTATTTCACATAATGTTAGCTATTTTACTTTAATTTTAAGCAGTGTGAATTAAATATAGTTTGCATAACGAATTGTTACATTATAACGATCTGTATTAACATAGTTATAAATAGTTGGCCATAGTTATAAAATATATTAATGTAAAATCACTCACAATGATTTGGCATTGCGTTTTGTGTAATCATCTCTGTGTAAATTTTCAAAAGGATTATTGCTGAGTAGGTGTCATAAACACATCGCAGTAACATTCAGCTTTCAGATTTAATAGTCCCTTAGAAAATAAAAAAAACACGTGTCATAAACACACACAAATACAGCAAATAGCCTTACATTAAAAGCAAAATAAAACACTAAATCACCACAATACATCAAAACAGTTTTAAAAGTATCCAGTGTAAAAGTAAAAGTTGTTTTGGTGTATTGTGGTGATTTAGTGTTTTATTTTGCTGTGTTCAACACCAAAGGTTCCAACCCTAACTGTAATCTTACTTTAAAACTTCCGATAATATCCTGTAAAAATTCTAATAAGTGATAAATATAACGAATAATTTTTGTCAAATTGTGATGTTCCCTTTCTATTTCTATTTATAAAAATAGAAATATAATACTAATTTAATAAATAAAGTATTTAGCCATTTTATAGTTCTTATCAGAAAACGAAAAAACACGTACATCTGTGATAATATACCATTGCACAAATACACAGCTATAGATACTTGACAACAGGAACACGTCTATTAGTTTTTTTTCGCAAAAAAGGATGTTGAAAATCGTGCATTTTCTTTTAAATTTTTCTGTATATTTTAGAATTACCTGTGGTCACCGCACATTTTCCCACGGTACAATTTCTTAATCTCTGATATTGCCACATTGCCACAGTTTACGGCTTTAATCTATGGTACGGCACTAAAAGGTGATGCAAATACAGAAAAAATCCAGTGGCTCTCAAAATGTATTAAAAATAAATATTTTTTTTAATTTTCAAAGTTGAATAACTCGTTTATTTTGGACTTATTTGAAAAACGGTAAAAAAGAGGAAATATTCGTTTATCGAGATTTACCAGTCCTGAAAGTATTTGCACTTATTTAAGACTCGCCCTGTAGGTATAACCAATTTATAAGTTTCAAACAATATAGGCGTACAGTTGTTAATTAGTCATTAAATTCCTATTTTTAATTATTTCACTCTAAATCAATGGCTATTTTTACCAGTCCAAATATTTAATTCACAGAATAATATCTACTAAGTATAATAATTTTAAGCAGTATGTGGATTCAGGATAGTTTGTATAACGAACTGCTACATTATAACGATGTGTTAACATAGCTATAAATATTTTACCAATTTTTTTTTATAATATCACTCACAATGATTTGCGTTGCATTTTGTATAATCATCTCTGTGTAAATTTTCAAAAGGATTATTGCTGAATAGGTGTCATAAACACATATCAGTACCTAGCTTTCAGATTTAATAGTTCTTATCAGAAAACAAAAAAAAACACATGTCATAATCCATCGTACAAATACAGCTACAGCCGTACTTTAAAACTTAGATAATATCCTGTAAAAATTCTAATAAGTGATAAATATAATGAATCATTTTTGTTAAATAGTGATGTTCCCTTTCTATTTTTATATTATATTATTTCATATTATGTTTTAAAATTACAAAAACCTTAATATTATTAAGGTAACCTTAGTATTATTAAGGTAACCTTAATATTATTAAGGTTTAACCTTAATATTATTAAGGTTAAACCTTAATATTATTAAGGTTTTTGTCAAATACTATAATGCCCCTGTATAAATAATCAGCATTGGCAGAATTGGTTCATTAGAAATGTAATGTCGCCGTTAGAAGCCGTTCATATACAGGGTGAGTCTTAAATAAGTGCAAATATTTTTAGGGATGGTATATTTCGACCCCAGGAATACGTCTATAGGTTTTTTTCGCAAAACATGTCATAATCGTGCATTTTAAATGTTTCTGTATATTTTAGAAAACTTTTTAGAGCTGCCTGTTCACAATAAATTTTTCCACGGTATAATTTCTTAATTTTTGATATTACCATGGTTAGGGCTTATCTCTATGGTTACGACACTGAAAGGGTTGCAAATACAGAAAAAAATCGGTGGCTCTCAATTTTTTTTAAATAAATCATTTTTTTAAACTTTCAACTCGGTTATTTGAAAAACGGTAAAGAGAAAATATGTCTTTTTCAAACGTCACAAAAGTATTAATTTTTGCGACGTGATTGACAATATCAAAAAATCATTTTAACGCCTACGCCTAAGCATAAAAGTACGAAAATATATTATTAAACTGTAAAGTGTAAAATTCAACGAGCGTAACCATAGTTTCCCGATATATAATTACATACACGGTATGACTTTTAAATCTTTTTATATTTGGAACGTTTGAAATTGTTTAAAAAATGATTTGTGGCATTTGAAAAAAATAGCATGTTCTATTCGGAGTAAAAATGACTTTTATTGCCTTAGCTGTATGTCGTCAAACGTACAACCTCACCACAAAAAGTGTCATTTTTACTCCTAATAAAACAATTATACTATTCTTTTATCGAATCTACCAGCCCTGAAAATATTTGCATTCTTAATAAAGACGTATTATTATTATTGTTCATTTGAAATGTCATCAATTTTAAAGTTTAATAATTTTAAACTGTCCTTGTCAATTATATGCACAACATTTTTGATCTCTCTATAAGAAAGAAAATATCAAAGACCTTGATTATAATTTGTTCCTATTTGAGGCGGTCAATATTAAAGCTCTGTCATTGTTTCTAAAATCCATATATCTATTAAAAATGCAACATCATGTCCATTGCCAAACCAGTAATTTACTTATTACATTTTAATGTTTTGTTCTGTGTGATAAATATATAATTTATAATACACAGTTGCTTCTCTTTTATAAAATATAATATTCTTTAAATGTATTTTACATTATCTATACAATATTTTATACAGTTTGGACATTCAAAATATATAACTACTTATTTTGCTATCTCTCTCATCGTATTGAATACTACTTAAAAGATATTTCTTCATCCTTGATTACATCAAATTGTTATTTCGTAATAAAAAAAATTAACATATTTTACATATTTGTTCGTAAAAATTATCAACGACAATCTACAATAATGTAAAATTAAATAAACAACTGATTTTTAATGAACTTAATTGATATCTGATAACATATTTAAATATAATAGACTATAGACAAATTTCTAGTACATCTTCAGAATAAAACAGTGCCTTTATTTTATTAGATAATTACTATTTAGTAATTGAAGATTATTATTGAAAAAATCGAAAATAGATATGTAATTTTAAAATTCCTTGATAGTGGATTAGATTAAAATCTGTTTTTCTAAATGAGCAAGAATTACTATACAGTTCATAGTAGTAAAAAGTAACATGTATGTATTTAAAAAAAACGGCGTCAAGGACGGCTGGAGAATATCAGTCGATGATAATTTTGGCGAGGTCAAGCTCAGGGCGTCATTAATTGACTCGTACTCTTCTTTATTTTCAAGTAGTAATTGAACGCCTAGAGAGTCATTCATTGATTGTTACCATTTTTTTTTCAATCATATGATATACAATGTGTAAGACAGTGATGTATACAGTTTAATGAAAAATAAAATGTAATAAAAAGAGAGAAAAATTGGATTGATATTTTTATTCTATGCGGTATTGCCGGATTTTGCATCAAAATTTCAAACGGCACAAGTAAAAATGTTGCATCTAGGGTTGGAAGTTTATTTTTCACAATTAGTTACTCATTTTACTAAAACTGTTCATTTCAGTAATATACATGAAAGTTTTTAAAATAGTTATTTTTTACACATACTTTCCTACACATGTAAAAACCGGCAACATTGTATGCCGCTTTTTATTTCGTCTCTCTCTATGGCAGCCGGTCATTTATATTTATCTCTGTCGCATGCATTAAAATACAGACCATGCAGATGAAGGTTCACGACGGAATACACATTCACAATATGGCAATATGGTACCAAATATTCTATAGACCTGGACTTAAGGAACTAACAATGATGTAAAAACTATTTGAGACATTTAATAAAATAATATTAAAGTAATGCTTAACATAAATTTAACAAAAAATCAATTTCTTTTAGATAAAAAATCCATTGGTTGTAAAACCCATAGATATAAATTTTCAGTGACTCTTACAAATTTAAAGTTCGTTACTTTATTCATTTCTAATTTGTTTCATCTTTTCCAGATATACATGAGACCCGACAGTAAGCAAAATGATTAGTTTGGACAATCCAGATCTAGATAAGTTTTGTGGATCGAAATTTTGGGTAAGCCAAAAATAAAAAAATAGTATTTGCAGAACAGATATTTTGTAAATTGTCTTATATACTAGAAAATATTAACAACAAAAACTTAACCTAGCCTAAACTACTACAACAAAAACTTACTTAAGTGATGGTACTCAAAAAAAAAATATGATAAAATTTATATTCAAAAAGTATAAAAAGTCGATTATTTTAAGTGGAAATATAATATCCACTTTTCATACCAAACCAATTTATTTTTAAGTAATTATCTGACGTATTTTGGAAAATTCGATCACTTTACTTTTTTAGTGAATTTATTATTTTTGAAGCCTTATTTAAAAACCAAACACATCCAAACAACGTACTTAAATTTTTAATTGTTCATTAGAAGTTTGATGAGATACAGAGGCATTTATCAAGAATAAAAATTTCTGATAAATTTAAAATTAAATTGTTTCCCCTATATGTCTAAATATCCTTTTGTTCAATAAAAAAGGGCCGTCCTGTGCCTGAAAACCTAAAAGCAATCTTTAAGGCCTACTGTGTTGCACCCACTCTCATACTTCCATGTACCCTGCACTAACTTGTGCAGGTCCTTGGGAGCATAGTTCCGGTTATAGCCTTACTTTCCCAAATAAAAAATGTCGCGATTGCGATCCAGAGCCTCGCAGTGACATATGTGCTCCGCTGTTTCAAAATCTTTATAGCAGAGCCAGCAGCAAAACTTTCAGGTTGAGACCTGTTATAATCCGCACTTCATTCCTGCTAAACATTAGCAGTTCCTTTATGGTTTTAGATTAGGTCCTTGGATTAGAGGTGTGTAGTTCGTGAACGAACTAGTTCCAATGAACTATTCCGACCCCGGAATGAGAGAAACTAGTTCCCGGTTTCTCAAAGAACTAGTTCCTCAAGACCTATTCCGGGATCGAGACTATGACCGATATAAATAATAATATGCGACGGCGACGGATTGGCCAGCGCAATCGTAGCCCGATGCTCGGCAGAAGTGGGGAGTGCCAGCCGTATGTTATCGGATCCGGACCTAGAGGAACTAAATAAAAGGCTAGTTTACGCACGGATCGGGCAGCGCGATCGTAGCCCGACGCTATATAGACGGGAGTGGAGAGAAGCGCCAGCCGTAAGTTACCTGTCCCGGACCGGAAGGACTGAGAGGAACTAATTAAAAGACTAGTTCACGGGAATCTATTCAGTCGGCAGATTCAAAATATAATACAAGGCGACGACAGTCAGTAATTACACAGTCGGTGTAATTACCACAGAAAATTATCGTGGATACTGTTTTTGATTTTTAGTTTGTTCTTTGAATATTTTATGGTAATGTTTCACTTTAGGTCCCTAAATTTAATAAATATCTTATAAAACGAAGTAGATATTCTGAATTTTTAGACAATAACAAAAAGCTTAAAGTGGGAAGAAAAGCAATTTTTCGTAAAATTATCGTATTATTTGCTTCAATTGATTTGTGATATAGTTTTTGAAACTCTGATTTGAGTTTCTTTTTTAATTTTTTTATCTGTGATAAAACTTATCTATATGTTTTTAACATACGCAATTACACGTCTCGTTATATTTCGTACATTATAAAAATTATGTAGATCATACTGTGAATAGTTCTGACTGACAACGAAATCCATTAGCAAGCAACGGGGATGTCAATGTTAGTCGGGAACTATTGTGAACTAAAGACCTAGTTCAAGGAACTATTCCTCTGGAGGAACTAAAACTAAGGACCTAGTTCCGCACTAGAGAACTAAGGAACTAGTTCTAAGGTAACTAAGGAACTAGTTCCTTTCAAGGAACTAGAATTCCCACCTCTACCTTGGATAAATGTCTTGCTAGGCCTAAGTCCCTATCTGTTTCACCAGTGGACATTCTGCTTTTCCCTGATACAGAGTTTTACCTGCAGTACGGTCTAAATATCTTAAACACTGTATAAAAGTCAAAAATACCCTTTATCATCATTCATACCCTCTGATTTAACTTTAACTGTATTTCAGGATACCAATATCACCTGGTACTCAGAAACGCCGGACTTTACAAGATGTTTCGAGAAAACGGCGTTAGTGTGGCTTCCCTGTGCCTTTTTGTGGCTCTTGGCTCCTTTGGAAGTGTACTATATGAAGGCTAGTCACAACAAAGATATACCATGGAACTGGAAGAATACTTTGAAAATACTTATAACCGCGTTGATTTGTGCCACTAGCGCCAGCGATTTTCTTACAAGTGCAGGTGGAGAAGTACTAAGCAAAGTGGATGTTTACATGCCTTTTTGTAAACTAATTACTTTCGTAAGTATAAAAAGTAAAGCCAATTGCCGATATTGAAATATTTTATAACTATCTAATAAATCAATGAATGGCTCCTTCAAGCTACAAATAAAAGTAAAAATATAGTATTTTAACCCCGAAATCCAACAATTGTTTTATAAAATGTATAACTCCATCGCAATGATATATATAAGTAAGTATATTATCTAACAATAAAATGTTTATTTCAGGTACTAGCCGGAGTACTTGCTTACTACAACAAGTTCTTCGGAGTACAATCTTCAGGTACCTTATTCACGTTCTGGTTGCTTTGTGCCGTTTGTGGAGCGCCACAGTTCAGAACAGAGGTACTCTATGTTCAGAGGTTCGGCGAGCCAGAAGATCAGTATTTGTACATTAGTTATTTGGTTTACTATCCTCTAACAATAGCCATGTTGTTCCTTAATTGTTTTGGGGAGGGAACACCGAGAATATATCCTTATGGGGCAGCAAAGGTGAGTAATCAGTAACATAATTTAAATGGATACTTTTGGATTAAATGGAGCCTTTCTCTCATCTCTACGCTTTTTGACTTTATTCCATATTAAATTTCAGAATCGAAGTCCAGAATCGAGTTCCAGTTTCTTAAGCAGAATCACATTCTGCTACTTCGACGGAACAATGTACAGAGGTTTCCGCAAACCCCTGGAAGCCAAAGACATGTGGGACCTTAAACCCGAAGACAAAGCTAGTGCCTTAGTACCAATTTTCGAACAAGAATTTTCCAAAAGATCGGAAAAGTACACAAGGTACTATACAACCTCATCTATATACCAAATACCTCTTTACTAATATTGATCTTTTTTTTTCAGAAAATACCAAGCAGATGTTAATGGACAAGCCAAAGTATCCTTTAAATCCAATTCTGGAAGTGTGGATATCAACAAACAGAAATCGAAAAAAGAAACGTCAATAGTGCCAGTGATGTGGGCATGTTTCTCCAGGCCGTTTATTATGGGTATCGTTTTGAAACTTCTCACAGATGTCAGTCAGTTTATCAATCCTCAAATCCTGGGGTAAGAAAAGCGTCCTATTTTTTATTTTGTTTAAAAAAATCGTCATATGTAATGAAGTTCTTCTCTTCTTCTTTTTGTAATAAAACGAGGTAATGTCAATTCTGTCAACTGTCTTCTTGTGGCGTTCATGTCCAGCTGTCATATCGGCCTTTTGGGGGCCTACCAATTGAACGTCTTATTACTGTTTTCTGTTTTTTTTTTGTCCATTTGGCAATTCGATCTCGACCCATCCTTTTTACGTTGTCTCTCCAACAGCGGTACCTTGCTCTTACCCATCTGACACCGTATTGTACTCCCAATTCTCTTAGTGTTTCTCTTTCTTAGAGATAATATATTACTTGTTCGTAATATATTTATCTCGGTTGTTCTCATTTTCCTTTTTGTTTCCTGTCTGCTCTTGTTTCAGCAGCGTAAGTCATTATGAGTTTTATTATAGAGGTCTTATAAATTCGCGTCTTCCTCTCTGTGCTCATATATTTATTTCTCCATATTATGTCACGTAAATACCCTGATGTTCTTGAGGCTTTCTTAATCTGAATGTCCACTTCAGTCGTTAGATTCTTCACTTTTGATTGTTCACTTCTGCTGCTCGATGTTTCTACCCCTAAAGTTAGAGGTGTAGAGAACTCCTTCCCTATAATTATAAATGTTTCTTGACTACTTTATTGATATCAAGGATAATGCCAACTTATCAGTAATTATTAATCGGTCCATTCAGACTTTAGCTGATAAATAAGGTGTGGATACAGCCTATTCATTACACAGCCAGCCAACTTGCGTATAACAACCAAAGTATTTTAAGAAGTGGTAGATGTGGCCAAAAGAAAAATATTTTCTCTTTGCCATTTTTAAAATAAATTTATAATAACCGAGTTATTTAACTTTGAAAATTAAAAAGAAAATGACAACATTTTGACAGCCACCGGCAGCAATCGATAATCAGTAAATGATAATGTAAAATCTCAAATAAACTGGATAACCTAAAAATACCATCTTACAAATACCGTGTAAATGTAAGTCAAACGTTGACTATTTACATATCTAATAGAGGGCGCTGATTCTGAACTGTTGAAAAGCTGCCATAATTGTTCATTATATAGTTTTATTATTTCACTTTACGAAACTGTAAAAAAAGTATTTAAAATATAGTAGACGTTGCACTATACTTCATAGTAATCTAGAATGATTAAAAAACAGTGAATAAAAGTAATTTAAGCATTTTTTTTGTAGAAATTTAAAAATGTGAACTTATAACTTATAACCATACAGAATGTGGATAACGTAGGAGGTGGCAACATTGCATTCTCTCGAAGCACTAAAAACAAAAAACTGAACAAGCGGCGCTCAAAAGTTTTTCAATATTTTCCGGAAAATGTAAAAACAATATAAGTTTTTTTTTGGCAAAAAAACCTCATGGGTGTGTTTCTGGGGTCTATACTGCCAGTTAAAATACTTGCACTGAAATCTGGAACCTCCTGTATGTTTTCTTATTTTATGTAATGTAACAAGCCAAATTCTGAGCTCCGTTGAAGCGCTGTTTATAAAAACTATCAACACTGGTTCTCTGATTGCCTGCATGTGTTGAACAAGTAAAGCAGGTGAAGCGTGGGTGCTCAAGATGATCAAATGGCAGTGAATAAATTCTGATTATACGCTAAAAACTGACATACATCTTCATCCTCCTTCCTCTACTCTTTAAGAGTATAGTGACATTGAATAAATCGCAATTGCTGTGTCTCTCCATGTTATTTTGTCTTGCACAGTAGTATTGGCATCGTGCAGACTATGAATTTGAAAGTTTTCTTCGTTTGATCTACCCAAAACAGTTTAGAGATCTCCCTCTAGAAGGTTTCTCGTTTACTTTTTCCTCCACAATTAGTTTTTCTAGGCCAATGTTTTTTTCCTGGAAAACACTGGCCACATGGCCAAAAAGTGTCTTAAATAAGATTGGTTTATAGTTAGTAGTCTTGATTCAATAATAAGTTGTTCAAGAATTGAAATGTTTGAACGGTGAGCTGTGTACGGTATTCACAGCATCCGTCTATAACACTATGTTTCAAAAGCCTCGATTTTACGTCGTATTGCCAATTTCCAAAAGCGGCAATGGAGAAAATTAGGGCTCTTTTGTTGTTAAGTGAAACGGCTGAATATTTCCATATTTTATTAAGTTTGATCATGGAATTGCGTGCTATTAGACAGTCTTAGTAAGTTTATGTTTTTAACAAAGATAAATTTCCTTTCAGATTGCTTATTGCCTACGTCGGTTCCGACGAACCTGTATGGAAGGGTATACTCTACGCAGCCATCATGTTCCTCTCCGCTGCAGTACTAACATTCATCAACAACCAGAACTTCAACAGACTGTTCATAGTTGGTTTGCGTGTCAGAACCGTACTAACATCCGCCATCTACCGCAAAGCTTTAAGAATATCGAACGCAGCACGTAAAGAACGAACAGTGGGAGAAATCGTGAATCTGATGTCAGTGGATGCCAACAAGTTCCAGGAGTTGACCATGTTCATAAACATGCTGTGGTCTGCACCTATCACTATTATAATCTCTATCTATTTCTTGTGGTTGGAGTTGGGACCTTCTATCCTCGCAGGTGAATAAAATGTTCATTAATTTTCATTTCATTCGTTTTTTATTTTAACTTAGTTCAATTTTTGGGCTCAAGTTTGAATTTTTTCTTCAATTTTTCACGAAGATCTTTTCTAGCTAGATCGTTTGCTTTTTCATTACCTTCTATCCCTTGATATTCTGTTACTAGGAGTAGAAGGACTATCTGTTAAACATTCCCAGAATTATTTCTACTAAACACACTATTTTCTTTTAGGTTTGGCCGTCATGATCCTCCTGATCCCTCTTAATGGTGTACTGGTCAACAAATCGAAGAAACTTCAAATGAAACAAATGAAAGAGAAAGACGAGAGAGTCAAAATGATGAACGAAATCCTCAGCGGAATCAAAGTTTTAAAATTGTACGCCTGGGAAAAAAGTTTCGAGCAACAAATTACGAAAATCAGAGAAAGGGAAATTATATCTCTCAGAAAAGCCGCCTACCTTCACGCAGGAACCATGTTTATTTGGAATTGCGCGCCATTTTTGGTAAGTACAGCATAATATTATTATACATTATTAAAAAAAATGCGCTTAGACAGTTTTATAACACACTAATTTGAAAGTGGAACGTTTTCCGGGTATACACTCTATCCATTACCATCTCCCTCTAAACTAACTTAATTACAATAAATATTAGTAGTGGGAACTATCGAATGAATACTATCGAAACATTCGATAGTTGCAATTCATTCGAATAATTCGATAGCTAGTAAGAAAACATTCGTCGAAAACTATTTGAATAAAAATATCGAATAGATGCGTCATCTGCCTTGAAATATATTAATTCGGCAGCAAAAACCATTCATGTATAAAATTCATTCATTTGTAAAATTCATTTATTCGTCAGGATCGATTATAATAAAATATAAACTGGATTTTAGTTGTCGCCCGGCAACGTAGGTTTCTTTCCTAGAAACCCGACAGCGGTCGGCGGTCGGTGGCAATGGTATGAAAAAAGCCGGCATCTTTGATTTTGAGTCAGATAAAGATAAGGACGCATTATTTTTTTATTGAGGTGCTAGTATTTACACAGAAAATACATTATGAACGGCGCTGTTGCCGTATATTCGTATTAGTTGGTATTAGCGAAGAATATTATTCTTTGGTATTATAGTTAGTTAGGGATAGTATGACTATATATTTTGCATTTTTTTATTAATATTCTGTTGTTACACTGCAATAATACTTTTTATTTTGGATGTAGGAAAATGATTTTTAATGTTTTTACGTAAAACTGGTTTAATAAATAATAATAACAGTAATAATTTGTTATACCTATTAACACCAAAATTTAAAATCATTTAATATAAACATTTTTTTTAAGTAGTAGCAAAATATAAACAACAAATTAGAAGTCAAAATTATTTATATTAGATCCTATTTAAAAATAATATAGTCTCTAAATTTTTTGTGGCAACGTTGGTTTATTAAATAATAATAATTACAGAACTAATTTGTTACATTAACAACAACTTTTAAAATCATGAAATATAAACATTTATTAATTTTCTAAGCATGCAGTGTAATAGAAGAAAAATATAAAAATCGTTAACTTCGATTTCTTCGCAAAAATCTACATGTAAGAGAATTAGCATAAACAAAATATAAATATCGTTAACTTTTTTTTAAATTGGCACGTGTAAAACTTTAATCAATCAATTTAATTTTCTCATCCCAAAATTTGAGTTCGATAACAATTTACTTAACCACATTACCACATTACTTATATATAATTATTAAGTTCAACTAATTCATATTACTAAAACATCTAAAATACAAATACATATGTATTTTTAAAATTAATTGTAAGTTCACCTCATATCTCTTAAAAATTGTTACTTCTCAAAATTTCCCATTAAAAAAATAGACCATATACCGTATAAAATTAAATAATTAAAAGATCGGAAAATCACACAAATTTTCTGAAAAATGTTGACCACCTGCACACGTACACAATCGTCAATTTAAAAAAAAACACTACTACTTTAGTATTTTAAATATTTTAATAAACGCAAAAATAGCACAGTATTTAGAAGGCAAGTTATAAAAATTTGGAAGAACTAATAATGCACTGACGCAGACAAATATCAAACGAATACTAAATTTTATTTATCAAAAATATTCGATAGTCGTGGCTAACGATAACCATTTAGTCGCACGGCGAGGTTGTCACATATGCTTTAGTATACAAGTGAATGAATGATTTTATTCGAATGAAACCATTCGATAGTTGAAATCATTCATTCAGTAACCATTCGATAGTCTAATTCATTCGATAGTTCCCATCGCTAATAAATATACTCACCGGCAGTAAAGTACAGACAAGAAGGCAGTCTTCTAGTCAGTGGATTTAACAATAATAAACTAATGCGGTGTTGCTAAGTGAGGCAAAACTTCCATGCTGCAAGATGTTTTCATTTCTATAACAATATTTTCATCTTTCTTATAGGTATCATGCATCACCTTTGCCACATATGTACTAGTCGACGAAAATAACGTTTTGGATGCTTCAAAAGCTTTTGTATCTCTAGCTCTATTAAACATTCTAAGAATGCCTCTCAGTTTCCTCCCTAACGCTATCAACCAAATGGTGCAAGCATGGGTTTCAGTGAAAAGAATCAACGCTTTCTTGAATGCTGAAGAATTAGAACCGTACGTCACGCATGACAAGGCTGATGGTTAGTAACATTCTATAATTAGCAGGCAAAAGACAAATTAAAGACTAAATTCTCAGTCTAAATAACATATTTTGATACACAAGGCATCAGTTGTTAAATCAACTCACAGTAAAATAAATCACCAACGATACAGAAAAATCTATTTGGATTAAATTAAATCACAATAATGAATAGTTAATACAAAATGTGTATTAGCTCAAAAAATCGACAATAAAAAACAAACCTAGTTCATAATAATTAACAACTTTAAATATGTTTTGGGCGAAGTATTTGGTCTTAAATTTGTTCATTTGCCAACCTCATTAATGAACAATTCATACTGGGTTATCTCGCAACTTATTAACAAGAGCTAAATTTTTCTACAGCTACACCCTTAATCATCGAAAATGGTACTTTCACCTGGGGCGAAGAGCCAGTACTAAAGAACGTTAACATTGAGGTAAAGAAAAACAGTCTCACGGCTGTTGTTGGGGCGGTAGGCTCTGGAAAGAGCAGTCTCATCAGCGCCTTCCTTGGTGAAATGGACAAGCTTTCTGGACGAGTGAACAGTTATGGCTCTATAGCTTATGTACCTCAACAAGCCTGGATTCAAAACGCTAGTGTCAGAGATAATATTATTTTTGGAAAGGAATTTGACAAAATTAGGTGAGTCGTAATAATATAAATTGTGCGAATAAATATAATTTTGGTATCATACCACATCGTATTATGATAAACTAATTAATAATTTTTATTAAGACAAAAGCTTTTAAATAAATACTAGATTTTAGAAGCATGTGGTTTGTAAATATTGCTGCTCCTGACTTAAGTCTTTAAATATCTGCAAATGTCCTAGAAAAATTGACCTTCCACATATGTCACTGAGTTATCACTAACTTTTAATGCTATAGATTGACATAACAATTTTGGTTAGTGTATATATCAAAAAAATAACATGAACCATTGTCTTTTAATGAAAAGAAATAGTTTTAATTTCCAATCCAAAAAATAAAAGTAATATTTTATGAAAAAAAAATCTTTGCTACTTAGAATGTCCAGTGAACACAAGGTTTTTCGACAATCTTTCTCAGCTCATTGAGCCAAATTTATCAATTTTATTTTACCAGGGATAAAATATTAATTTCACTGGAATGTCATATAAAGTTAAATTATAGCTAAGCAACCCCTATGAAGAAGACATTTAGGTAATTATAAATACTATTTGTTACAGATACAATAAAGTTGTTGAAGCTTGCGCTTTAAAACCAGATTTTGAGATGCTTGCTAACGGCGATCAAACTGAAATCGGAGAAAAAGGAATTAACTTGTCTGGTGGACAAAAACAAAGAATAAGTTTGGCTCGAGCAGTCTACGTAAACGCCGATATCTACCTTCTGGATGACCCTCTTAGTGCAGTTGATTCTCATGTGGGAAGACACATCTTTGACAAATTACTTGGTAAGTATGATACATTGATTGGCCCAAAAAAATTTAAAGATGTAAAAATAATTTGTACCACTGGATGAAATAGTTAAGAGTCTATTACGTTGTACTGTTCGGGTCGCTCTCAGGGGTCGCCTAAAGTGGGTGTGTGGCCGAAGGAAATATATATTATATTTCAAAAACCTGCCTAAGGCTTAGCCCGATCCTGTCGTGTTAAGCCACACCCAAAATTCCAAACACACGTGCTTTGATTAAGGTTTGCAGAGCTTCAGCATTTGCCATAAAATGGAGAGCAATTTGTTACAAAACCATATAAATTATATATCACTGTAATCACAAAACTTCAATCTATTTCCGTATTGTAACGGAATTTTAAATAATGTCTTTATTTTCGAGAAAATTTAGTCCAAACATAAGGAATATTTTGTTGATGTTTGACAAATCAAAATCTTAAAAATAAAGAAGTTGTCTATAAATATGCTACAATGTGGATATAGTATAATCCTTTTATCTTTAATTTTCTTCTTCATTTGTGTAAAAATACCTTGCCAGTTTGCTACTTTTTCGGACTAGTGAAATGGACTCTTAAGACTAAAGATCATAATCAATTTTTCACAGGTCCATCAGGTCTTCTAAAAGATAAAACCAGAGTTTTGGTCACTCATGCTGTCACTTACTTGCCCCAAACTGACAAAATTATCGTCTTGAAAGATGGAGAAGTTTCTGAGTCAGGATCATACCAAGAACTTCTGGCACAAAAGGGAGCATTTGCTGAATTCCTTGTCCAACACATCACTGAAGAAATCGAGGACGAAGAAGGTAGACACATCAAAAAACAAATTAAATCCATATCTCTAATTATCGCTTTCTGTTTTAGCACTGGATGAAATTCAAGAACAACTTGGCGAAACCAAAATATCTGAAGAAGTAAAGCAGGAGATCAAACGCACTATATCCCGTCAAAGATCGCGTATATCAGAGTCTTCACTTGGATCTCAACAAGGACTTAACGGGCTTGGTAGAACGGAATCCAGAGAAAGTTTGAGAAGCACGAATAGCTTACGCAGAAGGAAAGCTAGCGTATCTTCGAGAAAACTGAGCTTGAAACCCTCAGAAAAAGGTAAATATAGTAGCTGTTTCATATGTTCCGCCCACTTTCTAAGATTCTTATATTCTTATTTTTAATGTCACATTCTTCATTCTACATTCATTTCGAACCTCGAAATTAGTGGTTTCGATTATACTTTATACTTAATTTTAAAAAGCGTAGAGCTGCTGGTCCAAATACCAGCGACCCGTCGATAATTGCTTATCATTTTATGACTTTTGTGAATGAACTGGAGTTCGATGGTTGGTGGAAAACTGCTCGTTGAATAACGCACCACAGAAACTGACATAAAAAGTGTAAATTTACAGAAAATCTGTAAATGTACAGGAAAAGTGTAAATTTGCAGAAAGTATAAATGTACAGGAAAATTGTAAATTTGCAGAAAGTGTAAATTTACAGGAAAAGTGTAAATTTACAGAAAAGATGTAAATTTACAGAAAACGTGTAAATTTGTAGAAAAAGTGTATATTTACAGAAAAAGTGTAAATTTACAGAAAAAAAATTAAATTTACAGAAAATCTGTAAATTTACAGGAAAAGTGTAAATTTGCAGAAAAAGTGTAAATTTACAGAAAAAGTGTAAATTTACAGAAAAAGTGTAAATTTACTGAAAACGTCTAAATTTGTAGAAAAAGTGTATATTTGTAGAAAAAGTGTATATTTACAGAAAAAGTGTAAATTTACAGAATAAATGTAAATTTAAAGAGTCTAAATTTGTAGAAAAAGTGTATATTTACAGAAAAAGTGTAAATTTACAGAAAAAAATGTAAATTTACGTATAAATGTGAATTTACAGAAAAAATATAAATTTGTAGAAAAAATGTATATTTACAGCAAAAGTGTAAATTTACACAAAAAAATTAAATTTACATAAAAAGTGTAAATTTTGCTAAAAATAATTTTCGATGTTGCTACGTTGCTACGAAAAGGCGTAAATTTACAGAATAAGTGTAAATTTACAGAAAAAGTGTACTCTTGCAGAAAAAGTGTAAATTTACAGAAAAATCGTAAACTTACATGAAAAGTGTAAATTTGCCAAAAAATATTTTTCAATGTTGCGATGTCAGCTCTACACTTTCGTAAGAAACAGCTTGCGGTAGTCAGATGTTTCAAATTTACAGAAAATCTGTAAATTTATAGAAAAAGTGTAAATTTACAGAAAAAGTGTAAATTTACAGAAATTGTAAATTTAGAGAAAATTTGTAGATTTACAGAAAAAGGGTATATTTACAGAAAAGTATAATTTTGACAACACTAATTTTGATGTTCTGAATACTTACATTGACAGAGAAAGAAACTTATACGCTAAACAACTAATATATTCCACCTAATTTGGGGGTTCTGAATGAAGCTTAAAAATAAAAATAGCATATCTAAATTCTTTCCATTTTTTTAATAAAGTTTCTTTAACAGGAGGAAAAGGTGGCCCAGGTGGTCCACCAGGCCCTGACAAAGGCAAACTTATCCAAACTGAACGTGCAGAAAAAGGAAACGTTAAATTCGGCGTCTACCTTTATTACTTGGGTGCTGTTGGTCCATTATTTATCTTGCTCACCATCATATTCAACACCGGCTTCCAAGGCTTCGGTATCGCCACCAACGTTTGGTTAGGATACTGGTCAGAAGACCCCAACATGGTCGTTGATGGAAAAGTAGACAAAGGATTAAGAGATATGTACTTGAGCGTTTACGCAGTTCTGGGTATTCTACAATGTAAGTTCGAACTTAGTCAAATTCAAAAACTAATTATTTTATATTTAATTATGTCATTATTATTATTTCAGCTGTATGTATTTTTATTGGAAACGTATTCTTTGCGAAAGGAACCACAACTGCAGCCGCGAAACTTCATAATTTTGTTATGAAGAACGTCTTAAGACTGCCAATGTCATTCTTTGATACCACGCCCTCTGGTCGTATTCTTAGTAGATTCTCTGGTGACATCATCGGTGTGGATCTTAGGTTACCCATGAATTTCAACGTATTTTTCCTCAACTCTATTAAAGTATGTTTATAGAGTAAGATCCCAGAGTGATCTGACATAACTTATTTTTACAAGGATGAAACCTTAGGCTCTCAGTATATCAATATATACGTATCAAATATTTACGGAGAACGTTTAGTTTAGACATAAATATATAAATAATGGGATAAAGTGACGCTAAAAGACTCTACTGTCGATGCGTCTTTAACACATCTCTCTCTCTCTCTCTCTCTCTCTCTCTCAGTAGTGCTCTCATGTGCTTTGAATACCGGCGTGTTTGGGGAGTTCGCCCTGTGACATCTTGGGTGAGAAAGATAACTAAAAATAAGAGTTACTTAACTTAAATTTGTGTGGCTGATTTTTGTATAAATATTGTAGAATATTATTCTGAAGTAGTATCAAAAGTATCAGACCATGTATCATTTCCATGGACCTGACCTTTTATTAAACGATAGCAAATCAAAAAGTGGATCTTTGATAAAGATAGACTTTATCAAAGTCAAAACTCCACAAAAAATAAATGAACTTTACTTATCTTTACATGTCTTTTTCTATCTTTATCAAAGATTCACTTTTTGATTTGCTATCGTCTGATAAAAGTTCAGGTCCATGAGAGCCTGAAGGTTTCATCCTTGTGAAAATAAGTTGTCAGATCGCTCTGGGATCTTGGACTATTAAGATAAATATAAAAATAACATATTTCTAATATTTTCTGTTTTTTTAAAGGTTATTGGTACTATGTTTGTAATCTGTTACACCACCCCACTGTTCATTGCTGTTATTATCCCGATTACCGCAATTTATCTATTTTTACAAAGATACTACGTCGCTACATCCAGACAGCTGAAACGTATTGAATCGGTATCAAGATCGCCAATATACTCACACTTTGGTGAAACAGTATCTGGAACACAAGTCATTAGAGCTTATGGACAAGCTGATAGGTATGTTATATAAAATAGTCCTCTTCAACTTATTCAAACATGCGACACTATTTTTTATAATAATAATAATAGCTTCCGTATATAGCGTTTAACGCCTTGGGAGTAGCAAGGTACAGCTTGTTATACTAGAGCCGTTCGGTATACAAGGAAGGTAATGTGGCTAGCACTACGCTTCAACCGCCTATTATTACCTCAGGATTGTGAATCCCAAGTACTCATTTAAGGCTGAGTCGACCTAGGTACCCAAACTATTTTTATTTTAATAAAAATAGTCGGCTGATGAAATGCCGGGTGTGGGAATCGAACCCACACCTTGAGATTGGTAGACGAGAGCCTGTACCTCTACGCCACCGGGCACCGTACTGTTTTTTTTACTATACAAATTATAAAAAGTACCATACGATCGAAAAAAAAGGGTCGAAGACGGCTGGGAAATGACAATCGATGGTAAAATTTGGCGAAGTTAAGCTTTAGACATCATTTACTTGGCCCGTTCCCTTCTTTATTTTTGACTGGTGCTTACTGCCAGCTGGTCTTAATAAGGTTGTAATTTACTTTTATATTGAGTAAAAATGATTTTTAAATGGTATAATTTAAAATTCGAGAACAAATATTTATTCGAAATAGATTTGTGTGATTAGAAACGTTTTATCCCTTTTAATTTTTCTGTAATTAGTGTTAATTTTTGGGCAAGTTTTATGTGAATGTTTAGTAAATGGCTTCTAGATATTGATTATTGACGCCAAAATTATCAACAATTGTCATACCCCACATCTTACGGTTTTTTTGGCGAATTGATAAAAAATCTTATCAGCGTATCAATTTTTTTATGAATTTTTACCAATCTTGATACAATTCACTTGTGTCAATTGACTTCAAATTCGCGAATATACGGTAATCGCAAAGCAATTTCCGATGTACGTAATCAATTTTGAATGACAAGCGATTGCGACAGTGCTGCCAGATTGTGACGGATTTATGAGATGAATCTTAATTTAAAATTGGGAAACAATATATCTTTTATAAGATTTTTTAAAGATTTTTACATTTTCTTTTTAATTTAATAATTAATATTTTAGTAATTAATTGATTAATTTGTTTTATAGCTTATTTTATATTATATATGTATATACATATTGGCAAAAACTAGTCCATTATGAATAAGCGTTATTATGGATTATTTATTTATTTATTGATGTACAACGTCTACGTACTCTGGTACAACTTACAACACCACAAGTGGTAACTAAGAGGGTGCCATTAATGCACTAACTAATAATTACAGAATTTACTAAAGACTAAAAGTGGTATAATGTGCTTACCAATCAAACTTACTTTTTTACAAAACATAAAGTTCAAATCATAGAGAAATATAAGGTTTCTAGTTCCTCGGGAAATAAAACTTCCTCCATAATTTCTGTACGCACAAACACAAAACAAACAAACAAAGTAAGTATATGCTACACAAAATAATAAAATTCCAAAATTCAAAACAAAATTGTAAACAATTGCAAAATACAAATAATTTGCTGTCATGTCACTTGTCATGACAGGTAGCAGGTGGCGACGCTTTGGAGACCTAACTGAACTATGCAACACTATGGCCAAGTTAGACAACCTTTCAAACGCTCTTTTATTTTAGATACTTTATGGTTTAAATGCTTCGGCATATTTTCAACATACAATTTCATGAAATGCAATACAAAAACCCGAAAATTTAGTTCTTAAAAGAACTGTTTGTTCTTAAAAGTACAATTTTTTAAAAAAGACTATGAAAATAGTCAAAAACGAGAATTACTCACAAAGATTCAACAATAACACGGTATTATACATAATTAATGACTGACATTATGATAATTGTCAAATAATAAACGACCACGTTGCTGAACACGGCGCAATTTGACCAACATAGCGATAATAAAATTCAGTTTAAACTAATTTTTGTAGCTTTAATCTAAATAAAATATCTGTTACAATCATTTGCTCTATAAAGGAAATTGAAGAGCTGCTCGGTATCTTAAATTATACAACAAATTTATACATTTTTGCCAAAATTCCATTTAGTCTCAGGTTTATAGGCTTTAGTGTCAATTTCGATATGATTGATGACGTACATCGGAAAATGTTTTGAGATTACCGTATAAACTCAGCGTTATATAGCAAAAGTATCTAATTTCCAAATAAATTTTAGGTTCATTAGTGAATCTGAATATAAAGTAGACCTCAATCAAATGAGTATATACCCCAGCAACTGTTCCGGTAGATGGCTTAGTATTCGTCTTGAAATGATTGGTAACCTCATTATCTTATTCGCCGCTTTGTTTGCTGTTCTTAACCACGATTTAAACCCTGCCCTTGTCGGCTTATCAGTCAGCTATTCAATGAACGTAAGTCTAAACGCAAAATACAATAAACCATAGACTCGACTAATACAAATAATATACTTCTAGGTCACCCAAACTCTGAACTTTTTGGTGCGTATGATTTCCGACGTGGAAACAACGATCGTATGCGTTGAACGTATAAAGGAATACGGTGAAGTGCCACAGGAAGCTGCATGGGAGATTCCCAGCAAGAAACCTCCACCAACGTGGCCAGACAAAGGAACAGTTCAGTTTAAACAATACGGTTTAAGGTACCGTCCAGGGTTAGACTTGGTACTGAAAGGAATCGATTTCCAAGTAAACGGGGGAGAAAAAATTGGAATTGTTGGCAGGACTGGAGCGGGAAAATCCAGTTTGACGCTTGCTTTATTCAGGTAAAAATATAATTCCATCTTAACTTTTTAGAAAACGTATAGAAAAAAAAATCAAAAATATTTAAAGCCATAGTAGAGATGGGTATTTCCGGTATTTTAAAAGAGTCGGGTCCGGAGTTACATCAAGCTTCATGGACCTGCATCCAGGTTCCAGTTCTGCTGGATCTATATCATTTTAGCCTTTAATCTTAATTTAACTAAGTTTTCTTTTGCATGAAGCAATCCGCGTTCAAAAGTTTTACAGTCCGTTAGGGAAATCTCACAGTTGCGTTTTGGCAAATCCTTATCGCCCGATCTTAATTGTTCTGTTTATTGGGTAGAACTTTACATACTAAAAAAAGATAGCCGAGACACAATTACAGCCATCCATCAAAACCAAGCAAAATGATCAGCATTGAACAGATAATACCAGAGTAAGTGGATCGACGAGTAGCGACAGAAACCGTCGGCTCTTTTGATGTGGTGGGACCAAATTTTCTTTCTCTCTCTTTTGACGTGTTTGACAGATAGACTACTTATTTAACTGCTCAACTTATGAAGTGGTCCTATAAACATGGTATACAATGCTCATAATTTTAAGTGGAATTAATTATAAAGTTCTATACATATTTTTTTTGATTTGTTTAATCCTATTTTCTAAATTTGAATGTATAAAATATCTTACAGCTAATAAATAATTAAAAAAATGATTCGTTGCCTGAGGCATACTTGAAACAAAGTATATAGAGATATTTGATAAATGCCAACAGTGGCTTCTTCATATGACAGATAGACTACTTTTTTCGCGCAGCCGCAAAGAAAATTGAAAACGGGACTGTCGCTACTCGTCGGTTTACTTACTCTGATAATACCTACACCTTTTTTACAAAAAAAATCTAAAGCTGAACGTAGTCCTCTGATTTCTTTGACGAACCCGGTACAATCATAACATATTCGATAACTTCTTGAATAATATATAACAAGACTAGACACAAATTTCAAATAATTTCTAAATAAACTGAAAAAACAGTAAATACAACTCAGCGGCAGTTACAATTCCTTCTTTATTCCAATATTCTCCGATACTAATTTATTTCGCTGCATCGCTATTTTTTGTTATCTGTCGACTCGGTTGGCTGTCACCAATACAGTTTCGCGGACTCATCATCATCATTGGCATTACTCGCTGACGAGATACGCATAAAGATGGTTACGCTAGGCGTTTTTTTCATAAGCTTAAAGCCGGAGTCTCATGCATCCGAAATCCGATGGTACGACATCCGAAATTTGAAGTTATCGTGTGAAATAAAACAAGCCTGTCACATACATCCGAAAGTTCGTTCCGAAATTTGACAGTTTTGACATTTAGACTTGTAATTACTATGTATTATTATTATGTATTATTCCATGTATTATTGGAGAAACACTTATAAAAATAACTTCCTCGCCAAATATCCCGAATTTGCCCACTTCCCACTAAACTTGATTTTAAAAACCAATGTTTTCAAAAAAAGTGAGGTTAAAAAACACACGATATCGTACAAAAGTTAAACAAAATTTAACTTTATACGACGTCGGACGATTAGTTAAAAATATCGGATAAAAATTGGTGTCAAAATATTTCGACCAATAGGAGCACCGTCGGATCGTCGTGTCATCGGATTTCGGATGCATGAGACTCCGGCTTTACTGTGACTGAAAAGACCGATACGTGACGTATACTTGATCTCTCTTCCGCACTCCTGGCCTTCAAAAATCTCATTACTTTATTACCTCTTTACTTTTTGATAATCGTTGTTAACTGAGTTTACCATTCTTTTCCATTGCGTTCTATTGTGCGCTTCCTCCCACTGACTCTACATGCTTATTCCCCTTTAAGTTTTCACGGAAAACATCCTTGTACCTTTTGAGTTGTCCACCCAGTTTCTTTTTACCCTCTACAAGCTCACAGTAAAGAAGAGATTTTGGTAGGCTGTATGGTCTGGTTTTCTTTCATCCTGCATATATGACCAGCCCATCTTAAGCGGTATTTAGTAATCATGACTTCGGCGCACTCACACCTAGCTTTTTCAAGGACCGATACGTTTGAGACACGGTGGTACCATTTCATTCTTAACAGTTGTCTAAGGTGTCTCTTTTGCAACTTGTTTAATGCGTTCATGTGCCAGCGGTACAGCACCCAGGTTTCGCTTCGATATAATATGGTAGGGATTCTTATTGGCTCGGTACATTGCAAGTTTCGTTTTAGTGCTCAAGTCATGGTTGTAGAAAACCCTGTCTTTTAATTTCCAGAACGCTCTTGAGGCGCTGCTAATCCTGTGCTGAATTTCAGAGTCGATATCGGCCTTTTCCGAAATCAAGCTGCCGAGGTAATTGAATTCCGCTACATATTTCAATAGTTCTTCTGCAATTTTTATGGTATTGTTGTGATTTTCCAGGGGAGTGCACATGATTTTAGCTTTATCGATGTTCAGTTTAAGGCCCAAAGCCTCGTATGTCCAGGTGTATGTATTCAGGATTCATCAGCGGAAGTTCTGTGATAAATTTGATACATGTTTTTGCCCTAAGTCTTTTTATGTTGAACAGACCGCCCGCGCCGTCGTATCTATATCTACTGCCCATTCCCCTTTCTTTCAGTTTTGGAGCATTTGGAGGTTTACCAACTTATGTTATATATTTAAGTAAAAAAATATATAGACTCTATGAAAACATGCAAAAAATATTTAGACTGTGTGTCATTTGCAATTCTTCACTTAAACCCGCTTCCAACCTGGAAACGAGTACCTCTAAGTAAACTACTTAGAGAGTTTTTATATTTCGATTTTCAAAAAAGAAAAAAGCAAGCTAACGGCTGCAATTTCGTCGTTACCCGGTATATCTGGTCGGATAACGCAAAAATTCATTTTTATATTAAATATTTAAGACCACCAAATTCAAGACACGAAATTTTGTTATTATGAAACATGAACTTTACCATTTAAGTTTACAAGCACTGCATACAAAGCTCTTATATTTTTTTAACAAATTTAATGTAGTAAACTTATCAAATATTTGTTTTAGAATAATTGAAGGCGCACAAGGTTCCATCTTGATTGACGGCACACCCATTTCCGAACTGGGTTTACACGATCTTCGTTCCCGTCTAACCATTATTCCACAAGACGCTGTTTTATTCTCTGGTTCTCTTAGATTGAATTTGGATCCCTTTGATAAATACGCTGACGCAGACGTATGGGGTGCTTTGGAACAAGCTCACTTAAAAGAATTCATAAAAGGTATATTCAGCTAACTTCTTTTTTAGGAATGAGTTATTAAATGTATTTTTCATAGGTTTGCCTGCCGGATTATCCCACAAGATCAGTGAGGGAGGGGAAAATCTTTCAGTGGGTCAAAGACAACTCATCTGTTTAGCTAGAGCATTATTACGAAAAACGAAAATACTTATTCTTGACGAAGCCACTGCCGCTGTAGACTTGGAAACAGACGAACTTATACAAAAAACAATTAGGAAAGAATTTGCTGATTGCACTGTGTTAACTATTGCTCACAGATTGAACACTATCCTAGATTCAGACAGGGTACTGGTGTTAGATAAAGGAGAAATAGCTGAATTTGATTCTCCAACAAATCTACTGGAACGAACCAGTTCTATTTTCCATGGAATGTGTAAGGATGCTGGATTGGCATCTTAGTAAGAGAACATGTGTAGGATATTTGTTTTTGTTATAAGCAAAAAAAATGTGTGTGATAGGTATACAACCTACCTCAAAAACAAACGAAAGAGATTGTGAAATGTTTCACCATTAACAATAAACATGTTTGGTTATAACTTAATTGTAACATATACTATTAAAAGCTTATGTCCTGTTGAAGCTTTACAAATATTTATTAGAACAAACCGTTTTGTACTTAATTTTTACAATGAATATATTACGTATGTATTTAATAAATTTACGCTGATGTAAATATAATTAGGTATATTTTTATAATAAAATTCTAAATAATACAGTTGTGTTCCTTATTTTTTACCCCTAAATATCCTTTCCATCATTTATTTAAAGTAGGCTATAGGCTTGGTGCATTCTCCGCCGGTGCTGCCACCATCCGAGAATATCGTAAACGGTTAATTTAATTGACATATACAAATACACAGGTTAAATAGCGAGTATACGAAAAATTTATTATTTAATTATTCTAAAAGTGTTAGGAAGTATAATTTGTAAAAATTCTAAAAATAAATGTTTTGATATCTTCAGAAGGTTTAACTTGTATTATAATTGATTATTCCAATTAAAAACACTTTTTAGATGAGTTCAACTACGGTAGCGAGCATAGTTTTAATTACCGGTTTTGCTAGCGGGGCATAATGGGCTCTTTCACTATATTTTGGAATTAGCATAATTGAATAAAGCAATTATTTCTAGAATTTTCTGCTACCTCACTTTCGAAAAATTTGAAGTCGTTCTTAAGAAAATAAATAAAAACAAAAAAGCCCAGAATAAAAATCCGCACTTTATTTTTAATACGTTACACCTAGGCATGTTGAAAAGCGGCAACACGGCCGGGCCACCATGCTGACCCACCACCATCTCCACACAAGGCAATTCAACCTTTTCTAATATGGTGGAGATATAAGTGCTTTATTTGGCGCGTATTTTAAAACCTGTTTTATTCCCAAATAGACATTTTTCACACAAATGTCGGGTTAGATTACGTAATATTTCACTAATTTTTTAATATACAGGGAGTCTAAAGTTCTCCACATAAGTATGGAATTTTTTGTATTATTACTTTTATGAAAACATCAGTTAGTTACTTTTTATAAAAAAGTCTGATTTCTCAGAAAATAAGTAGGTAGTGTACTAGTGTGTAAATATTCAAACTTGAGGTAGCATATATAGGGGTGTTCAAAATCATCGGAAAAAGAAATAACCAGAAATATATGACAGAAAATAGCAATATAAACTAAATATTCAATTGCAAACACTTACCTACCATAGTTTAGAATTTACTGCACGTTTGATAAATATATACTATTATGGGCAGTATAGGCAGTTACTTGTCTCAGTAAAAGCCTTGGTAAATACTCTTAGTGTAAACTACACTGGCTTGGGTCAAAAAATATGGAATGTTTTTCCTATGTTTTGCAGCATTACACAAATGGGAATAAATTTAAACTATAATAGGTGAGGATAACTAAAAAATATAATATGTGTTTCAAGATTTTATATAGAAAAAAAACTAAATACCTTTTTATAAAACAAAATATTGGATATTCTGAACAAGATGAATTTAATAATAAATTCTGACGTATGTGAGGGGCAATTGTGACCTAAAAAAAGACTTACATCCAGGCCATTTATATTTTCAATTGTGAATGTTGTCAATATCTTGTGAGGTAAGTGTAAGCAATAGCCATAACTACATCCTCACTAGGGTAAATCTTTTGATTTTTGTAAGTAACCATTATAAAGTACTATGCAGACTGGCGGTGAAGGCTTTTTACTCATTTAGGTGTAATATCTTGATAAATACTTAAAATAATTAATAATAGAGGAGTACGGCAAGCACAAAAGTTTGAAGTTCCATATGTGGAATGTCTGGTTTGGATTTTTATTACATTGTTATTTTATCACAATTTTCTGATCACACCATGCACTGAACACTAAGAACTAAACAAACGTGTTGCAGAAGCACAACAAACTAGAGATAATGAATTATTTCTGGTATGCAATCGCAACGAGAAACCACTACAGGCTTCTCAGTTTAAAGGTAAACAATTTAATAATGCGCTGCCTTCGCCGCCATATTTGCCTTGCCCATATCATGTTGATTGGCCTTGAGTTGAGGTGGTGCTGGTCAAATCAAATCGCAATGTTGCCAGTTGTTGGCTGGCGCACGAGCACGGTTCTGCAATGTGACTGGGCGTATTTTTCATACGTCATCAATTTGCGCTTTAAAATGATTTCAAATTAAAGCAATTTTGAGGGCCTATAAAAAATTATTCAATGTCATGGAACTATTTTTTTGGATAAATATACTGAAAATACTTCTATTTCAGATTTTGTCCTTGAATTGGGTATTTTATTTTTTGTGAAAGAGCCCATTGTGGTTATTTTGACTATAACAAAAAATTTTAAAGGTACATATGTAATTATAATTTTAGAAGATGTTCATAAAACATTTAATCTAGTTGGTCAAAAAAAGTATAACATTAATATTGCAATTTATATTTTATCCAATCATAGTAGATGTCTATTTAATTTTTTGATTAAGTAGCGAGCACTTTACTCACTTGTTTCGTCGAACTGCTTGAATCTTGAATTTATTTTTGCTTTTGATCAAATTGATATGAGAAACTATGAACCTATAAAATGTTGTTTCGGAAGAGTTGAATATCTGGGAAAGTTGAGTTATTGAATATTATTGCACCTTAATTACGCTCTCCTTTACGCGTTAGTATTTTTTCGGCAATTTTATTAACATTTGAAATTGTCACAACACAACACGATGCCTAGTTCGAATTCTTTTTCACTTATTTTTTACTACCCAAAACAGCGTTACATCACACAAACCTCGTACCTCAGTGTTTTATAGTATGTATGTGTTTATAGTCTCAATAACTGCAGTAGCAAAAAACTAAAATACTTAAATATTATGACAAAACCACGATTTGAATATTATTTTAAGGCGATCAACATGACGGCGCAGCGGCGTGAAATATATTATAATGATAAGTTCTGATTTCTGCTGTAGAGTGCGCTGCGGTCGGAATTTGTTGAAATTGACTGAAATGCACCAGGCCTATATTAAAAATTATAACACTAAAGCTTGTCGCCCACTTGTCCGGACAGCACGGACCGTAGCTGCCCGTCACCTGCAGGCGACGGAGAGCTTGGTCGCCCACTTTTCCGGTGGAAACCGGCAAACCGTCACGTCGCGGTCGTGTGTTGCCAAGATCTTTTTATTTTAGTTTACATGTAGCAGTTGCAGAGTCACTATGTTTGAAAGCAGCAGTTCTGATTTTTCATTTTTGCAATCCCAATGAATGCCTAGAGCCTAATTTATCATTTCAAAATTCCTCATTTCGAAGAGCAATATCGAAAGAAGAAAGGCTTGTCGTAGGACTGCTTTCTCGGACTCAACAACAACAACTGCAGAAATAACTGCAAAACAAATATGCGCTCAACAGGCTTTCACGAGTTAATACAGGCCAGCGCCGGCCGGCTCCGCGCACACTTGACCAGCCCGTCCCGGCACGGACCGTCCTTTAACGGGGAGAGTCGGAGAGCTGGAATTTGTTCCGTCGACGGACTCGCCGTTCCGTGCCGTGACGGGCTAATGTGCGGTAGTCTATTCATTTGCATGGTTTTAATCCTATCCGTATATTGACGGGCCGGAACGGGACGGGACGTGACGGCCAAGTGGGCGACAAGCTTAACGCATAAAATACCGTATGATCGAAAAAAAAATGGCGTCCAGTTGGCTTGGAAATGACGATCGAGGACATTTCCCATATAATTTTACATATAAAATGACAGTGATCTTCATTTCATAGCCATCGCTGACGCCGTTTTTATTCGATCATACGGTATTAAACACAGAATTAGAGATAAATGTTTCTGTTAAAAAAAGGACCCAAAATCTAAAAAACTAAAATCAACACCATTTTTTCACTATAAAGTTTCTTAAATTAAATAAAAAAATATACTTATTACTATACTATACCGGGTGCGTCCCAAAAGTGGATCACCACTATAACTTTTTTATTTTTTCAGATAAAAAAATGAGATTTGGTATGCTAGTATATGAGTATATACAGGGTTGTCCGAACTGTATTCCGGAAACTTTGGCAGCATATTCTACAGATAAAAATAAGTAAAAAAATTTGTATAAATGTATGTCCTAAAATGCCCTAAAATGCGTTTTAAAAGTTTCTTAGATACAGGGTGTAGAAGTTACTTTTTATTTCGATTTTTTTCCAAATAATTTCTGCAGTAACGTCAATATTTGGATGAAAATTGGTGTCTGGGAGTTTTTTGACATGAGAAATTTGATTTTGATGTCAATATGACTCCTACTAGTAGAGGGCGCCACCTACATATATTTTAACTGGTTTGAAGAGTAACTTTTCGTCCGTACCTGTATAAAACTACTGATTAAAAAAATATACATTACGATTTTTACGTAAAAAATTACGTCTCCTGGTAAAAATCGCTACGAGTATTAGTTTTCGATGTATATCGAGATGTATATTTTTTTCCCTCGGTAGTTTTATACAGGTAAGGACAAAAAGTTATTACCATTCAAAACAGATGTAGGTGGCGCCCCCTACCAGTATGAGTCATATTGACATCAAAATCAAATTTCTCATGTCAAAAAACTCCTAGACTCCAAGACGCTAGATCCAAATATTGACGTTACTTCAGAAATTATTTGGAAAAAATCGAAATAAAAATGAAACTTCTACACCCTGTATCTCTGAAACTAAGCATTTTAGGACATAAATTTATACAATCTTTTCTACTTATTTTTATCTGCAGAATATGCTACCCAAGTTTCCGGAATATAATTCGGACCACCCTGTATAAGGATATGATATAAGCCTAAATTAGGATTTTGGTTGAAATAATCAACTGTTTTCAGTCACTACCTGTTTCACCGGAAATGGCTACAACTTTTGATTTTTTAATTTTTATAGATACCGAGGGTGGCATTTAAAAATCAAAAGTTGTAGTCATTTCTGGTGAAACAGGAAGTGACCAAAATCAATTGAATACGTCAATCAATCCTAATTTATGTCATATACTAACATACCAAATCTCGTTTTTTTTTATCTGAAAAAATAAAAAAGTTATAGGGGGTGTGCCACTTTTGAGACGCACCCAATATTAGCATAAAATGTGTAACTCTATCAAAAACTAAAAAAACATTGAATAGTAAAATCTATACATAAAATTATAATAACAATAGTGGAACAAAATATATTTAAAATTATTTTATCATTCTTGTCTATTATTTTTATTCGATCATACGGTATCTTATCTATTCAAATTAAAATTAGTCAATTAATTTAAATATCAGTTTTCAAAGTTTCAAAAATATCAAAATCAAAGTTCAAAATAATTTATAAATACCTAAAACTGAGATCAGGAAAGGGTCCTTTAACAATCAAAATATCTAGTTTTGAATTACCCAGACTCTGTGCACTGAGGGAATAGTCCAGACAGCTAAAATCTCAGTGTATTTTAAGACTTTCTTAGATCAGAATGTTAAAGTGTTCTCAAATTAGTTGATTTTAAGATAACTTTTCACATTTACTTTCAAAGTTTCAATGTTTTTGATTCATCGGATGTATATAAATATATATTTTTGTAAATACCTCAACCTAGTCAGCTAGTAGCTTAATGTAGATAAAATTTATATCCTATTTTGTTTTGTTTGTTTGATATGTAATTATTACTTACCTGGATGTGGCTTTACAAGTTTGGATGGGAAATCCCGTTCAATATTTCCAAACAGCTTGCCCAACTCGTCTTCTGCTTCATTTTGCTGTAAACAGAAAAACAATTTTTAATTATATTAAGGATAGTCATCAGTCAATAAAATAAATGTAAAAGAACAAATAAGTAAAGTACTTACAGTAAAACGTAAGTTATTTTCGACAATGCTAGAATCAACATCTAGAAATATTCCTTTGGAACTAGACATTTCTGGAAATATCTACTTTATTATAACTTTACTTTTTAAGTTTAGAAGAGTTTACTTTGTTCACACAAATCACAACTGATTACAGCAAAAATTATTTGTATTTGAAATTAAAATAAGGTTATGTTGCTGTAGCAACTCAGAGTAAAGAATAAAAATAATTTTTATATTTCTAACTTTTACAAAACCTCTAGTAAAAATATCAACCAAAAAATATATGTGGTTTCTGGTCTCTGCAAATATTAAATATCAAAAATACTATTCATGAAATTTAAAGCTATGTATTTCAGCCTTATTCTAAGCTTATTCTAGATATTATCCTGCTTTCAAAAAAATCTTGTTTACTATCAAATTATTTTGCTCTGAATATAGAAACACATATATAGGCAACTAAAAATACACAAAGTGTACTAAATTTAAAAGAGCGCATGTTTAAAAATATGTACATAATTTTGTTATTAACCAAAAATTAACAATTTAGTCAATCAATTATGCAATAAATTTAAATAAATAAAGTGCTTATAAAAATCACTGTTAATTGGGTGACAATTAAAAGTGACATAAGTGTTATTCTTAAACGTTTTAAACTTTTATAAGATCAAAGGTGTTACTTAAAAAATAAATATGTCAGAACTCAATACATCGAACACACAAGCACGTAAATATAAGATTCCTGGTCTAAAAGAATTTCGAAAACAGAAAAAAGATTCGTCCAAAGAGCTTCACCAAATTCTGGATGAAACGGAATTGCTTCAAATATACGAGATATTCAACCACGAGGATGGAAGAAGGATGAACCAAGAACAACTAAAAGAAGTTTTAGCGAATGTAGCGAAAGTTGAATATGCCGATGAGGTTTTTGAAAGAGAATATTTAAGAATGAATTCATCTTGGTATAGGATATAATACAATTTATAATAATAAATAAAAATATATGTATATTATTATAGCGACGGTCTTGTAACCTGGAACGAATTTATATCATATCTTATTTTGGGTTTTGAACAGCAAGAGGTTAGTACAGAATACAAAACCCTAGCCGCTCCCATACCTACAGGCCCTACTTTAGTAAAAAGCAATCATAGACATACAATAAATAGAATCACTTTTTATCCTACAGGTACGACAGAAATACTACTTAATGACTCTCTTTATAAAATCAAATCCATAGACTTAAAATAAAATATAGACTACATTATTTACATCTCAACGCGGTCAAACAATATTTTTTGTACACAATGTTTACTTCTGGGTACAGTCGACCGAGCCTTTGTCATCCAGTCTATGTTGTCACGTCTTTAATATTATCAATATTTTTTTTCTTGTTATACACATATATTGAGATATTAATACTACAGTTTAATAAAGTAGGTTTTAGTATTCCATAGATGTATTAAATAGTCCTTATACTACTAAATTATAAGTCGGATACTGTTTAAAAAGGATAAGTTCTTTACAATATGACAACACCGATTAGAGGCGAGGGAGCCTATTCATTCATTTATTCCCTTGTAGTACGCGTCGCACGTGTGCGGTAAAGCTTTGTTGCCGCTATGTCCCCGGCTGTATTAACGCATTTTCTTAGCTTGTAGTCCTTAGTGTTTATTTTATTGACTTTTTCTGTTCAAGAACTATAAAATATGGTTCGACAGTGCCAAATTTTCAAGAAATTTGACTTAAATAATCCATTTAAGTCTTGAAACGACTTTCGACCGGTAGGCAACTCTCAATTTACCCATTAGGAGTCAGTGGCGTTGTTGTAGAAAGGCGCTTATTTAGATAATATTTTAGTAAAATGTAAAATCTGAATTTTTTCTCTTACATAATCATTTATATAAAGCTTTTTGTAACAAAATCATAATTATTATAACCCTGTTAATAACTAATAATGTTTTTATTAAAAATATATTCCGGTTTATTCCAAAAATTATCTTCAGAATCTAAAATAACATACAAGAATTTTAAAATGATATTACATTATGAAACAATATTTCTTAATATACCGGGTCGTCTCAAAAGTGGCTCACCCCCTATAACTTTTTTATTTTTTCAGATAAAAAAAAAACAGATTTGTATGTTAGTAGGTATATGACATAAATTAGGATTTATTGACGTATTGAATTGTTTTTGGTCTCTTCCTGTTTCACCGAAATGATTACATCTTTTGATTTTTAAAGGCATCCTCGGTATATTGTTACTTTATTCGATAAAAAATGATACTCTGAATAGAATGACATATCATATGTCAACTTTTGACATTGTCGCTTAAAAACAAATCCTATTTTAAATTTCAATCCAGGGTGCCATGGTGTTGTTAAAAACACTAAGTTTTAATCAAGGAGCCTTGGAAAAATAGTTTTGATCGTCTAATGGGTTTCGTGTCTTGTCTAGGCCGGTTAAAAGATGTACAAATCGTATTTTTAATCATACATATGTCAATTTTTTCAAATGGAACTAGAGTGACTCATTAGCATATTTGGAAAAAGCATTTTTTTATGAATATATTGATACCACACACTTGGTATTTGGAGTCAAATTGTCGTTATGAACTGCGTGTTGCAATTACAATTAAACCATATGCGAAAATGTCAAAAGTTGACATATGATATGTCATTCTATTCAGAGTGTCATTTTCTATCGAATAAAGTAGAAATATACCGAAGGTGCCGTTTAAAAATTAAAAGTTATAGTCATTTCCGGTGAAACAGGAAGTGACCAAAAACAATTGAATGCGTCAATCAATCCTAATTTATGTCATATACTAACATACTAAATCTTGTTTTTTTATTTGAAAATATAAAAAAATTATGGGTATGAGCCACTTTTGGGACGCACCCGGTATAATAAAGACAGTACCGAGTTAAATAAATGTAGTTTTCATTTTATCCACTTCCTATCACCTTCCTTGCTTTAATGGAACAGATTTATGTTTCCTCTAATTTACATAATAAGACATCACTTAACCAGAAAAAAAATTACAACAATCATATTTTTTTTCTCTCCCTGTCGCCGATTCTATTATATCTGTGGAATAGATCCTGTTTTGATTAATATTAGGGGTTGTAAATGTTTGACTAAAATTAATAATTTATTATTAATTTCAAAAATTACGTAATTTCGATTATAAAATTTCTTCTGTAACGTGTATTTTATTATTTTTATCCTTTTTGGACTCTAAGACGTTTTTTCTAAACTTTTATTTAAAAAACCTGTCCTAAATCTTAATAAAATATAAAAAAGTTTAAATACGATATATTTTTAATTAAATTTTAGCTTCCTTAAAATAAAAAAAATACCCGGCTATGATACGGAGAGTTCAGGTGTACTTGAGAAACGAAAGACAGTGTTGTGTTTCTCGGCAGAGTCGTCAGGGAACGACCGTTACGACAGAGACAACCTATCTATCGCTCGTGTCGCACTCGTTATAACCTAAAACAATAACAAGATATTGTCTGACCGCATGTTCCAGCTATTTATGAATGAGATGCTCAGTCTATATTTTATTTTAAGTCTATGATCAAATCAAATCAATAGACTTCTAAATTCTAAAATCAGTCAATTCTTTTTATTGGTGCAAACATGTACTCAATCTCTGCCAATCTCTGTTCGATCGGCCAAGTCAAACCATCCTTTTCTCGCAGATATTAGCGGCATTTTTGACCACCCTGTAACTTCTTTGTTAATAAAGGAAGAATATTAATTTTCACTACACATGAGGACATACCTACTATAGCTTCAGCTATAGCTGGCTAGGTTATCAAAATATCTAGTAATTAGGTATATCTGTTTTTATATCTCATAGTTTATGAATTATGTCTTGTTAAGTAGGTACCTTACCGGATTATTTGGAAAGTGGTAGCATCTTTGATTACATCTCATAATTTTTCTATTATACTAACCTATACCTATCTCTTATAGTTTTCGAGATAAAAAATAAAATATGTGTAAAATTGACAAAAACATTGTTGAAAGTGGACACCGCGTGGCGGGGGGGCCCCGGGTATATTGGGGGCTCCCGCACCTCATCCTTCAAAAACAATTATCAAACAAACCGAAAACTGAAATTACATTTAAGCACACAATCCTTTTTTCAGCAATAATTAGGCTGATATAAAACAATTATTTTACACTACATTATTCTTTACAGGTATAATAATAATAATTATTGTACGGGTTAATTTGGAATTTTGTTTAGTTGTAAATATGTTTAGGCGACACAACACACAGCGATTATCATGTTTTCACGGCGTTTTTGATTAAAAGTATCATATCGGTAGACTTTTTCCATAAGCACACTTATTTTAAATGACTCTGTGAGCAATATTAGCGAGATAAGAAATTTTTTTGACACGGTTCGGAGTCTATATATTTTTCAGTGAAAGTCTACCCCGTTGGCAAAGCCTAAACTGCGAAATAAAAAATACTAACACTGCTGGTTTAACTTTAAAAAAAATTATGTCCAACTAGATTGTCGTCAAGAGCCGAAAGCATACTATCAAAAAAAACTAATTTTTTGTCCATCGTCAAGTGTCTAGCGAATTTAACGTTAATACTGAAAAAACGTATTGGTAGAGATGAGGCCAAGATGTTACAAGATAAAATAGAAAATTTCGAATTTATTTTCTTACTAAATTTTGCAAGGTGCAATGTTGGAAAATACTAACTTGCTTTCAAAATGCTTACAAAAAATGATACTGACATAGGACTATAGGACTGGCCACAGATCTAATATCAGGAGTTCTTGTTAAAATAGAAAATCTTAGGGACAATTTTGAAAGTGTGTATGAACTATCAATTTCAATTGCGAAATCTTGGAATATTGAACCTCAGTTAAAAAACAAAAGAGTTCGTATAGCCAAAACTTTTTTTGATGAAATAGCAGCTGATGAGCCCATTGAAAATCCTAAAAGTCGTTTAAAAGTCACAGTTTTTTATGCTTGTTTGGATATAATAATAACTCAGTTTAGAATCAGGTATAACGCATTTCAAAATATTTATTCAAAATTTGAAATTTTAAACCCACAAACATTGTTAAATTCCCAGGCATCTGATATCTTAGCTAATGCCAAAGTATTAGTAGACAAATATCCTAACGACCTAACACAAAATCTAGCATCGGAGTTAAATTCAAGCAAAAAATTTACATTATGAAAAAATCAAAAATTTTCACAGTATCAGAGAGTTTTCCTGATTTTATTTTTGAAAAAAACAATTACTGATTAGCAGTATACCTGAGATTTGCACTGTATTCCAGTTGTTTCTGGTTCTCCCTGTAACATCCGCTGAACCAGAAAGAACTTTTTCTAAGCTGAAAATAATAAAAATGTTTTGCGAAGTCTACTATGTCTCAAAATCGCCTAAGCTCACTGGCCATAATATCAGTTGAGAATGATCGAGCAAACGAGGTAGATTTGGACAGCCTCGTAAACAAGTTCCTTTTGTTAAGGTCGAGGAAAAAGGAATAGACTTTCTAATATACCATAGTGTTAGAAATATGATTATATAAACAAAGAATTGGATTTATTTTTGGGAAGATAAGCACGGACCGCTGTCGGTCGCGCCAGTGTGATGAGACCCTTCAGCACGCTCGTTTCAATGCTGTCTGTGTTTATTAAAGTTTCCTGACGTATTATTTGTGATTTATAGTTGATTAAATGTGTTGAATTGTAGTGTATCGGAAAGGTACTGTGTTTTTATTATTTAATTGCTAAAATCAGAAGTGGGATAGAGCTTACACCACAATAAGCTTTTGAGTGGCATGGTGAAACTTGGAGGATACATTTGAATAAGATAAGTACACGGTTTCTAATTAGGTTTACAAATCGAAAGTATTGGTTGATGTTTGTGGCTTTGGAAAAGTACGAAAGGTTAATACTTCAGTTAATCAATTGAGTATAATAAAGTAAATTTTTAAAGAAAATGAGTCACGGCGTCATGTCGCAAAACTCAGAAGCATTGTCGCATTTAGATTGAGCATTGCAGTGTTTATATTAAGCAGTTGGAACATTTAGCAGTTTTAGAGCCCAAACAGTTAACCTGTATAAAGTTACGGAGGGAAATATTAGTGATTGTTATTAAAACAAGTATTTCCTGCATTATTTCATAGCGATCTAAGTTTAATTAAGTTTTTATGGTCTGAAATTGTCTGAGTAAGTTTTAATGATCTCTTTATTACTGGTGAATACATTGGTTGGTTTAATATATTAGCCACACCGTTTAAATTTTAATTCTGAATAAGTTTTTTAATTGCATAACAAATAACAATACAGGAAAGTTTTTGTCAAGAAAAAATATTAATCGGTATTTATTCAGGCGAAGTGATAAATATTGTCGCTTTTGTTTTTGCAAGCCTGCTGTTGTTTTTTTACTTATTTCTTGCAGGTTAAAATAGTTTTGTTTTGTTGTTTTGACTAAATTAGTCATTATGTCGTACATGCCATATTTTGTTATTGGGTCATTCTCAGCTAGCGTTATGTTTTTATTTTATCAAAGTATTAGGAAAAATGAAACATTCTAACTGAACTTATTAATTATTACTTGTAAATAGTAATATTATTCGTTACATATACGAATAAATGAATGATCCTGAAGAAAACAGTTGCATTTGTTATGTTGGTTTCTATTTTTCTCATTTTGTTTTATTCAAAATGCAAAAAAATTGAGAGTTTAATTTATCTGTGGTTTTATGCAGGGGATTTCAACTAACTAATTTTAAAACGCAAATTATTAATAGATGAGATGCATTACTGAGATGGCACTTATTTTTGTATATGTGTTGAACTAGTTTTGTTTATTAGTCATTGTCTACTTAAGTTTTGGTATGTATTGCAGAAATATTAAAAAAAATGATGATAAAAATATTAATTATAATTAGTTAATGTAGATATCAGAATACGAATGGCACGTGTTATAAATGAATGTGTTGAAAGCATGGACGCTTTGCACTGTGAGTAATGTGTGAGTGTGTGAGTGCTGTTAGTTATGTAATAATTTAGTAATGTTTTAGTAATATTTAGGTGTTGAAAGCATGGATGCTTTGCACTGTGGTAGTATTTGAGTGTTGGAAGCATGAACGCTTTGCACTGTTGTAGTATTTGAGTGTTGAAAGCATGGACGCTTTGCACTGTTGTAGAGTGTTGAAAGCATGGACGCTTTGCACTGTTGTAGTATTTGAGTGTTGAAAGCATGGACGCTTTGCACTGTTGTAGTATTTGAGTGTTGAAAGCATGGACGCTTTGCACTGTTGTAGAGTGTTGAAAGCATGGACGCTTTGCACTGTTGTAATATTTGAGTGTTGAAAGCATGGACGCTTTGCAATGTGGTAGAGTGTTGAAAGCATGGACGCTTTGCACTGTTGTAGAGTGTTGAAAGCATGGACGCTTTGCACTGTGGTAGAGTGTTGAAAGGATGGACGCTTTGCACTGTTGTAGAGTGTTGAAAGCATGGACGCTTTGCACTGTGGTAGAGTGTTGAAAGCAGTGACGCTTTGCACTGTTGTAGAGTGTTGAAAGCATGGACGCTTTGCACTGTGGTAGAGTGTTGAAAGCATGGACGCTTTGCACTGTTGTAGAGTGTTGAAAGCATGGACGCTTTGCACTGATTTAGTATTTGGGTGTTGAAAGCATGGACGCTTTGCACTGTGGCAGTATTTGAGTGTTGAAAGCATGGACGCTTTGCACTGTTGTTATATTTGAGTGTTGAAAGAATGGACGCTTTGCACTGTTGTAATGTTTAAATGTTGAAGGCATGGATGCTTTGTACTGTTAGTAATATGTAAATATTGAAAGCATGGTTGAACAGATAAGCATGTAACATATAAGATTGAAAAATATATATTTCTGTTTGTAATGAATGAGTATTGAAAGTCTGGAAGGTTATGAGTTATGAGTAAATTGATAAGCTAATAGAGTAGTAGCTGGTTTCGTTATAAAGAAACCTCTCTAATTAATATACCAATTCCTATAAGAACAACTGACTACTCAGAATATCACCTTTGGTGGATAGCAATGAAGAATTCCTTCCTGATATTCAATAGCCGATTCCGAATTGAATGACTTCGAGAGCGAAGTCCGTGTCAGAATTGGCCGTGTTAGAAATATGATTATATAAACAAAGAATTGGATTTATTTTTGGGAAGATAAGCACGAACCGCTGTCGGTCGCGCCAGTGTGATGGGACACTTCAGCACGCTCGTTTCAATGCTGTCTGTGTTTATTAAAGTTTCCTGACGTATTATTTGTGATTTATAGTTGATTAAATGTGTTGAATTGTAGTGTATCGGAAAGGTACTCTGTTTTTATTATTTAATTGCTGAAAATAGGATATTTCACAAATATTTAAAATGTCTTGTTCACATTTGTGTTTTAGTTATTAGTAGTTAAATATTGAGTTGTTTTTTTTCTAATAAAACTTTGATTAATTAGAAGCATAAATGTTTGTTTTCTAGTTTAAGTATTTTAAGAGTACTATAATAATAAATAAATGTTGAAACAATTATCAAAATATAAAAAAATATCACATTGTGGCTCTTGTTAAAAAATATGTTTTAAGCAGATATCACAATAATGATGTATTTGAAGGAATTTTTGAGTATACTTAGGAGGCTCCGCTAACAAATTTTGCGGGGGGAGCCCGCGAGAATTTGCCACTCTACTGGTTTGTTCAATTCGACGTAACTTGCTAGATGCTTTCGATAAGTCGATACAATTCGACGTCGAAAAGTTAACGTCGATACAATTAAGTTACGTTATATAACAATTCGACGTAACTTGCCAGATTACGTGCCACGTCAGCTGCTACGTCACTTTGGTTGACGCTCTGACTAATTTACCTCTATAATTTCAGTGAAGCCCGACCGTAGCAGTACATGGCATGACGGAAGCATCATTACGTGCAGCCATGACGGTATCATTAATTATTGGACACTGGATATGACACTAGAAAGAACGGTTCAATCAACTTGCCCAAATCTAAAAATTCAGACTACTTGGGTCACGGATTTGGCTGTGCTACCAGATGTCAGCGTCATTTGTACCTCATCTAGTGAAAGAGATTTAAGGTTAATCATATTTTTCAAATAAAAATATATTTAACCATGAACATCTGTAAAAATATATGATTTAGTTACTTAACAACATCAATAATGTTTAAATGAGAGAACACCTAGAACTCCTATTAGGGTTTATTATACTTATTAGGGTTTTAATTTTATTTCCCATTTTTTTTAGTAATTCTGCTATACTGTACAATATCTACGATTAATTATACAGGGTGCTACAAATTCGGGGTACGAGCATTGGTATCTCGGTAGCCGTAATAGATACGAAGATGATTAAATTAGGGCAAAGTTGCGCTTTAGGATGTCAACCAAGATGCCATCAAAAAATTTTGAAAAATTTCAAGGATTGCTGAGTTTTTTGGAAAAACTGATTTTTGAGAAAATCAATTTTATTTTTTCCTGTTGTTACTTTTTAGAAAATCAAAAAACTAATTGCACATTCGCATAACCACTTTATTAGGGATATCTGATAGTATTATAGATGTTTAAATTAGCCTATAATTTGTGAGATACAGACGCCAATTTATTTTTTTTAAATACGGACCTGCATTTTTTATTTCAGGTTTTGACAGAACTCGGTCTCCCTAGCACAATGATATGCCACATTTAATATTTTATTCATTATATATTTATATTAAAATATTTTTCTATATTATTATTATATCTCTTCATCATTACAATATCGATTAGCTTTCGAACTTAACAATGACCTGGGGTAAATCATTGAATACGGAAAATCAAATGCAATAAAATAATAGAGAATAATATAAAATAAATAATATAATATAAACAATCAAGTCATTTCCCCGGAAGATGAATTGGAAAAGCTAGAGCAGTATAATCGCCAGCGAGAACTGTTCTTGGCCAGCGAGGTTCCTGGACCTGTCGCCAAGGGGCAGGGGGCATTACTTGACGTTATTTGTAGTGAAATCAATACTCAACAATCTCAACATTTACAATAAAGAGTACAAAAAGCACTCGGCAGTATAAGAAGGTCTGTTCAAAGAGCTATAAATAAAATTGAACGAACATTCAATTTGTGCAATATAGGGGGGTGGTAACCCTTTCGAACATGTAGAGCATTAGAAACTAGTTTGTAGAAGTTGATTTATTTATATTAACTACGATTAATATGATGCATCTTATTAAGTCGTACACTGAGATTTCAAATTTACCATAAAGAAAAATTAAAAATAATATCTTTAAATTGCTGACCTGGATATTATTTATTTGTATCTTTAAATTGGCTCGATTTTCCTTATTCAATGTTAATTAGCACTGATCAATATTGTAGGGATGAATATAATCAGATTTAATAATTTAAAAAACCAGAGTCGGACTTGAAATTATTTTAAATAATAATAAAATAGTTTTGTTGTTGTTGAGGTATCCAAAATAAAGAAGGTATAAAGTATCGCATATCATTGGACTCGGGAGACCGAGTTCTTTCAAAACCTGAAATAAAAAATGCAGGTACAAATTTAAAAAAATTAAGTTGTCCTCTGTATCTCACAAATTATCAACTAATTTGAAAATATAAAAATAGTGTCAGATAGCCCTAATAAAGTGGTTATGAAAATGTGCAATTAGTTTTTTGATTTTCTAAAAAGTAATTACAGGAAAAAATGTAGTGATTTTCAAAAAAATCTGTTTTTCCAAAAAAAACTCAGCGATCCTTGAAAATTTTAAAAGTCTTTTGATAGCATCTTGGTGAACATCCCAAGGCGCAACTTTGCCAAATTTAAGCATATTCGTATCTATTACGGTTTTCGATATACCAATTCTCGTACTCCGAATTTGTAACACCCTGTATATTTTCCTTCATATTCTAGATTTTATGATACATCAGCTAGAAAATTCGAATTGAGAGTAATAATCACGTCTTTCGACCATGCCGTTACTACCATGTACTACAAATTCTACGAGGATGCGGATATGGAGTCGAAACTGATTTTGGGCGATATGGGCGGAGGCGTCAAGATATTATTTATAAAAACTTTCGCCAGAGGTCCCTTTAAATCGCAACCCGGCATTCCCTTGCTTCACATCAGATGGGAGAAGGTCTTTAAAGGACATGTTAACAATTTTAGGTAAACTGTGTGAATTAGTTTCTTATTCTAAACATACTATATTTTTACATACGAACCATATTTGAATCGCCCTAGAAATATATAAAAATATTTTTCGAATTATTCGTATACCGGGTGCGTCTCAAAAGTGGCTCACCCCTATAACTTATTTTTTTTTCAGATAAAAAAACGAGATTTGGTATGCTAGTATATGACATAAATTAGGATGATTGGCATATTCAATTGTTTTTGGTCACTTCCTGTTTCACCGGAACCTACAAAACTTTTGAATTTTAAATGGCAACACCGGTATATTTCTAGTTTGTTCGATAGAAAATTACACTCGGAATAGAATAGAATGAATGACATATCAACTTTTGACAATTTCGCTTTAAAAAAGATATATTTTAAATTTCAATCTAGAGTGTTAAAAAACAGTAATTTTTAATCAAGGAGCCTTGAAAAAATAGATTTGATCGTCTATTGTTTTTCGTGTCTTATTCTGATCGGTTAAAAGATGCCCAAATCGTATTTTTAATCATATCTTATTTTTTTCAAATGAAACGAGGGTGGCCCATTAGCATATTTGGAAAAAGCATTTTTTACGAATAATTTGGTGCCACACACTTGGTAATTTAAGTCAAATTGTCGTTATGAACTGCATGTTACAATTTCAAATAAACCGTATGAGAAAATGTCAAAAGTTGACATATGATTTGCGATTCTATTTAGAGTGTCATTTTCTATCGAATAAAGTAGAAAAAAATTGATGGTGCCATTTATATATCAAAAGTTGTCGTCATTTCCGGTGAAACAGGAAGTGATCAAAAACAATTTAATACGTCAATCAATCCTAATTTATGTCATATACTAACATACCAAATCTCGTATTTTTATATGTTTAAGTAAAAAAGTTATAGGGGCGAGGCACTTATAAGACGCTATATGTTGGCTAAAGATCGGAATGAAAATCTTAAATAAAAAAAAATATGATATGAAACTTTTGAAGTGGAACTTCTTTAGGCGCGATGAGAGTAAAAATTCAAGGCCGTGAAACACGAGTCCGCGAGAGGAAAAATGGTAACAATCTTGGAGTGTCGTAACTCGGGATCTGTGGGAACTATAGGGCTAAAAGGGGTGGAACTAAGGATTTGATATTGAAGAAAAATGTGGGTCGATTTCGGCATAATCCATAGTAAATTTTTGTTATTTTTAATATAAAATTCAATTGAAGTGATTAAAAAGTACTCCCTCAATACAAAAAGAAATGCAACGAAGTTACAATTAAGGAATAAATAATAAATCAAATTCAATACAAATTTCACTGGTTCGAAATGACGCGTAGAAAATTGCGACGTCACCTATCAGCATTTGACTGAATAGATGTTGTATTAATGTACCGTTTGTGTCCAGGAAGAGTTCATAGTTTCATAGTTGTCGATTTTCGAAAGAAATCAGTACATGCATATTATTTCGTATATTTTTCATTTTATTGATTTTATGGAAAGCACTGTTCATTAAAATGTTGTATTCTATGTTATAGGGCTATATATTCTTATTTCCACTTTATTTGCTTAAAGAGTCTATTACGCTGTACTTTCGGGTCGCTCTCAGGGGTCGGGTAAAGCGGGTGTCTGACCGAAGGAAATAATATATATTATATTTCAGAAATCTGCCTAAGGCCTAATCCTGTCGTGTTAAGCCATACCAAAAATTCTAAACACACGTACTTTGATTAAGGCTTATTTGATTAGGGTTTACAGAGCATCAGCATTTGCCATAAAATAACGGGCAATTTGTTAGGTACACTGTAATCACAAAACTTCAATCTATTTCCGTATTGTAACGGAATTTAAAATTATGTCTTTATTTTCGAGAAAATTTAGTCCAAACATAAGGAATATTTTGTTGATGTTTGTCCATCAAAATCTTAAAAATAAAAAAGTTGTTTAAAAATGTGCTGCAATACGGATTTAGTATAGTCCTTTATCTTTAATTTCCTTCTTCATTTGTGTAAAACTACCTAGCCAGTTTTACATAAAACGTTAAATGCCGGACACTTATTTTGCTACTTTTTCGGACTAGTGAAATGGACTCTTAAGAGCAAATCATAGTCCTACCACAGAACAGTTACAATTTGTACCTGTTCTGTGGTTCTACCAGCGATTATATCTTGTAGAGCGTTGGCATTTCCTCACTTACATACAGACTATGTAAGACAAGTTAATTTCTACCCTACATTGAACGCTGTGGTATCCTGTGCACAATGTCCAAAGGCCGGGTTGCTTATGACAAGTATATCCGATAATAACTCCTCATACACGTACAAAATCTTGAGTGGAGTATGGTGTTTTGCATTGGAAGAAACTAGTCACATCGTTGGAACAGGTAATATACAGTGTTACAGGTAAAATCCGCAAGGTAGACCTCATTTATCCTTTCATTTATCAATACCCATGGAATATTGACATTTTATATCAATTTTAAAGATCTAACAAATTTTCAAAGAGTACAGATACTAATATTATCGATATAGATTGTTTATTTATATAAAAAATAAAAAAGAAACATTTAAATATTTGTGAAAGAGGACCAATTAATATGATCCCAGTATTCCAGCTACATTAATTGACTATTTGCGTTGATTAATAATTGCCCCAAATAAATAAGAGAAAACTGAATGTTGTATGAATTTTGTATGTGTATTAGACAAGGTGGTAAAAGTAACACCTTTGGGTGGATATAATGGTGGTATATTTAATAATTTAATTAATGGGGTATACTCTTTTACATAGATCTAAATAGTCTTATTTTTGTTAACAAAGGGGCTAGTAATATTATCGTTCTTAACATCTGTACATTTTGCAGATTTATTAATAATTATAATAGCTCCCGTATATAGTGTTTAACGCCTTGGGAATAGCAAGGTACAGCTTGCCATACTAGAGCCGTTCGGTATACAAGGAAGGTAATGTGGCTAGCACTACGCTTCAACCGCCTATTATTACCTCAGGATTGTGAATCCCAAATACTCATTTAAGGCTGAGCCGACCTAGGTACCCAAACTATTTTTATTTTAATAAAAATAGTCGGCTGATGAAATGCCGGGTGTGGGATGCGAACCCACTACCTTGAGATTGGTAGACGAGATCCTTTACCTCTATGCCACGGGGCACCTTCACAGATTTATTACTTTAAAAAAATCTAAAAAATTCCATGGATATATTGATAAATAAGGTCTAAATTATTATAAAGGTGCCGTTACACGGCGCGTGGATCGCCGAGCCTACTACAAAAAATTTCGCGCCATGCCCCGTGTGATTGGGTCGGCAGGCCGATCTTCGGGCCACGGCCGGGTATATGTGCAGTTACACGGCGCCAGCGCGTGGATCGCCGAGCCTGAAGAAATTTCAAAGCAAAGGCGCCGCGCGAGGTCTTCACCAGTAATTTGTTTAAATTCAGTTAAATTTAATTGTTGCATAATTTATTTAAATTACTTCATTTAATGCAAAAATACATAATTTGATATTAGCTTAAAAAATATCTAAATATCATATTAATTAGGTATAAAAATTACTGATAAATACAGGGTATCCCAATATAATCTACCATGTTATTAAAACATCTCTATACCATGTTATTGTTTAAAATTATTGTTTATTCTAAATTAAGTTTGATTTATATTTTTTTACACTGTTGTATTTTATTGATAATATATTATTGTAGACTTTGAAAAAGGTTAAAACTGAACCGAAACGTTAGTTATGTAATAAACACTTCCTAAACCCATAAAAAGTTTAATATTTACCAAAAGCCAAGAACCCTTTAAATAAAAAAGTATATTAGATTGGTCAAAAAAAATTTAATAAAAAAAGATATAGTTTATTAGTTCTAAGTATAATAATATAAGTTACATACAAATACCCCGCAGGGTGTAGAACATGTCAAAAATGATGACTATTTCTAGGAGAGTAAGGAGCATTAGATACATTTTGCTGATGTTATTTATGTATGTGTAATAATTGTATTTTAATAATATTTAATTTATACTTCTAAATTTTACAGGATCTATAGAAATATTAATTCATAAAGTTTTATGTGCAATTATGCTATTTAAAATTTGTATAGCTACACTAATTTATTGGCGGCAATTTGAGAGATGGTTGCCGATGATTATAACAATATATTATACCAATTTACCCCTCAGTTAGTTACCCCTCAGCGATTAGTTCAATCACAAATGAACTGATTTACAGCGCTTTCAGATGGAGCGGAGAGCGGAGCGTCCGCGACTCGAACAAGTACTATGAGTTTATATGAACAATTTCACATAGATCACGTATGCTCCGTCTGGATGACGGCCATATACATAAAGACATTAATGTAAAAACACGCGGATGGTCAGTCGCGGACGCTCCGCTCCATCTGAAACCGCTGTTATAGCCAGCCAGAGATTAGCCGATACAACAAAAAATTGTTTACTTTGAACACAGTAGGTATGTGATACATTTGATTATGTAACCTAGAAATCATATCTATAGAAAAACGGAGATTCGATGAATAATTGATATTATGCATATTTCAAGACAACATGTCTTGATCGAACGAGACTATAGTCTGTCCAACGAGAAGATCCTTGACAGTGATAGATGTGTCTGTCATTTTAATTTCAAAGTAGTTTATTTTATTTTACAAAGAAATAAGTTGGTACAACTGGAACGCATAGCAGGAAATATTTAAAATTTGATTGACAAGATGACAAGTGATTACTTCAAAATATTGTGAAAAAAACTGTATAAAACTGAAAAAAATGTAATCGAGTTATTTTATTTAATAAAAACGGTATGTGTTAATACAAAACAAACAAGAACAAGACACTACATACCAAAAAAATATAAAAAAGAACTATTATTTACTTTCAAGCTTTATGAAACTACCCGCATTTATGATTATATTTATCAATATAACTTATGTACAAATACAAATTTGTAATATTTCACAGGAATAAATAAAACAACATAGGTAAATAAAACAAACTATTTTATTAATAATAACACCTACCAAATTTTATACCTTAAAGGTTGATTAATTAACTTTAATCATAATTTTTTTAAACCAGTACCTTTTGACATTATTTTTCTGCAGTACTAAAATCCATTATTTACCTATCGTGTGATGTCGATATTTTACAGCTACTCCAGTTTTTAGTATGTGTTTAGTTTGATCCTTCTACCATATACGAGATGCACTTATCTACGACGAAATGGTGTACAAACTTTATCGATGGCAACTTCATTGGTGTATAAGACTTTCTGCCTGGGCAGCGAGTATTAACCATAAACTGTGCTCTGGGTCTACAGTTAATTTTCACTCGATTTTTCCTCCAATTGACTTCAAAAGACACAAAACACACGTAATAATACGAATCAAAATGCATCATCTTCCAAAACGCAGGGTATTTAACAAAGTTGACACAAAATTATAACCTATAATTTGGCAAGAATTTGACAAGCGTCAAAAATGACAAAAATCTAAAGGCGAGTTCATACGCATCGGCGTCCGTTTGTCGTTCATCGTTCCGTCAAACCAATAAAATTGAAATACGATCTGTCATTTTTTAAATAAACCAATAAAACTGGTTAAAAACAACAAGACACGACGCATGACGGATCTATATTTAAACCCCCCAATCTTTTTTCAGTAAAATAAATAGATTGGTATGGGACGTCATCTGCTTTTCTTCTGTCATCGTCTGTCGAAATCTTACCTGAGAAAAAAAACAGAGTATATATCTGAGTTTTTAACCCCTATAGTAATATATGGTAATATATGGTAATACACAAATGTTTAGTATCAGTTGCACTATGAGCGAATTAAAAAATTAATTAGTTAAAGAATTAAAAAAGAAGAAGAGTTGTCCTAGTCTTTTTAGTTCCTAAAATAGGGTAAATTTTAAAATGTTGCATTTTTCGATTCCATCGTATATCGGTTATTTTATAACTTATCGAAAAGGTGAAAACTCAGTATTGTTGAGTTTTTTACGTAGAATCCAGTGATGTTAACTAGTTTCGCTGTTGGTTCTCATTTTCGAAATCTGACTTCTATTTTTTAAACGAGACACCCAGTATATTATTTTTTATATTATTTGCCTTGTTATAGGCTTTCTGAAAATGTCATATACTCTAATTATACTTTGATAAATAAAGCAAAAAAATAAAGATTTAACTTTGAACATAAAACCCTAGTTTAAAAAAGTATTAATATCTTATTTAATTGAATTTAACCAGATGATTTTCCTTTCCATCTTGTTATCTTAATAAATTGCACTAAAAATAAAGTTGCAAAATAAATTATTTGATTGTATGAATTTAAACCCAATTTAAACCGATAGTCTATGTTAAAAAGTTATATAATGTATTTTTTGTTTCTAACTCTCGGTCGTCTGTGAGATCGCAAATGCGAAAATACGCATTGGCGCGTATAGGCGGCGCGTGTTGGCGCGTCCTGGCTCGGCGATTCGCGCGCCAGGCGCATGGATCGGCAAGCCACAGGCCGTGTAATGGCACCTTAAGAAAATGCATTTTCTACAGAAAGTTGGACAGATAGGCAAAAAATGGTATAATACAATTTAATAGACAATTAAATTGTGCATCTGATTCTTAAAATATATGGGGTGTTCCATTTAAATTAAAGAAGTTACTGCCGTTTAAAGCTAGTAATCATTTAAAATAAATTTTTAGCCACTCTGTATAATGTAGTAATATTTTTATTATTGCATCACAAAATTTAGAAAATAAAGAATCTTCAGTACAATATTTGGTTTTAAAAACTTAAATCGCCTAAAGAAATGAAGTATTAAAATTGTTACTGCATTTTCACGAAATCGTGAATATTTCAAAAACGATAAGATTTAGGTGGGATAAACTGTAATCAAATTTATCTTTATTTTAATTGTAGAAACTAAAAACGTAATAATATACAGGATGTTCCATTTAAAAAAATACAACTTTAATATTTTTTATTTATCTGGGACACTTTGTACCTTCAACGTCCCAAGTCTTCCAACGAACCCAAAACTTACAATTTGTGAAAATCTAACCGTTTGGCTACAATACTCCGTTTCGAATGAGGTGAATAACCATGTATATTTTGACAGATTTCTTTTGATAGGAAGTCCCGATTGCCTGGTGCGCCTATGGAATCCCTTCGTCCCTCGTAGACCTACCTGTACATTTTACGGCCACCACACCGGAATTGTCCAAATGGTGATCCAGGATCACGGCAAAAAGCTCTACACTTTATCCAAAGATAAGTGCATCAAAATTTGGGATATATCCCTTCAATCATGTCTCCAGACATATTTGGATTTGCCTCCGGAAAGAGCAGAGTTAACTACTCTGTATAATCCGGAATCCAGACAGTGGATAATTGGGAGTACCATGATAGCGGTGATTCCCCTTAGTCCGAAACAAAGTAGCGAGCATACAGATGGCAGCACGCATTCCAGTGGCGTGTCGGTGGTTTTGTATAATAAATTATTTAAGGTAATAAATTCATTTAGAGTAGTGAAAAAGCAATAGTTAGCATTGTTTAAAGTTTGGACAAAAATATACACTCACCGGCACGAAAAACGGGCATCTTAAAATTTTGATATATTTTAAAATTTAATATACTTTGTTCTAATGGGCCGATTTTAATGTTCTTTTAAACAATATGTAGCTAAATTATTTTACTTTTTAGTATCTCTTTCTAAATTAAAAATAAAAGTTTCCATCTGTCAGTTAAATAAGGGAAAATAAAATGTTGATATTTTGGTGAAAGTTTGAAACATCCTGTGGAATATATTAAGACAGCAAGAAATTTAAAAATTTTATCATCTAGATATATCCTTTCTCAATAGCTTATATTTTGGTGTATCTCAATAGCTTTATTTTTGTTGGAGATATTCGCTTTTGAAGAAGACACTAACGTTTTTTTTTCATTTTACATTAAAACCATGCCTTTGCTTTTTGGTCCTAGTCAACAGATCTAGTAAGTTGTGGTCTCGAAGTATGCCTTCTTGAGATAAGATTTTCTTAGTTTAATCTTCTTATTACAGTCCGTTTACTTACATGTCCGTTCTTTAGTGTAGCTGATTCATTACAAATTTGAAAAGCTGGCAATCGGCGCCGGCGGTTTTCTAGCGATAAACTTACAATAAATCGATCGTCTCGTTAGTTCTCATACTAAGGTCTAGCATATGAACTTGTCTAGATGAAGCGACTGCATTGTACTTTGTTCACACTTAAATCTGTTATAGTCTAAGAGCCAGTGAAAGGCTACCTGAATGTATTTGACCAGACCTAGGGCTTTTTACAGTGATGCCTCTATACTTACTGTACATATAGCCCCGGATCTAAGGGGAGGGGGGGGGCAAACCGGGGCACCTGCCCCGGGCGCCAGTGTCAAGGGGCGCCAAAATCATAATATAATACGGTTGAAAATTATTTACTTGTCAGTTTTACAATGCAAAAAAATCAATTGACGTTGATGATAAAATAATTAAGCTACCAACTTTTCGACAGCAATTATAAAGCTTCCGACGTCAACTAAAACTTCTAAAAAAATACTTAATTTTGATGCAAGCTCAATACCACCATGTTAGAATGAGCTTTACCAGCAACTTCTAAGAACACATTATATTTCAACAATTTGAAAAAATGCTCACAAAAAGCAAACCTACGACATTGGACCCATTAGAGTATGGTTGGATTGAGCAAGACGAGAAATTTGTGTTCAAATGGTTCGAAGGAGATCAACTTCCAACCCTTGTGAGTGACTTAATTCATATCAATACCCAAGTCCCTGGTAAATTCATAATAATCAATTTTTTATCGGCTATGTTCGGATCAATTTACAAATTACTTTTATTTCATAATTTACGTTTTATTTTTACAGATTCCGATTCAATGAACCATTAAGACGAGTCACACCATAAAAAACATGATTCCGATGACGATGAATACAAATTCAAATTGATAAAAAAAGACATTTATTTTATAATGCGTGCTTGATTCACGTTTTGAATTTATTTTTTTTTAATTTTATTTTAAATATATAAAAAGAAGAAATTCAAATAAATATTTGGATGATTATTTGATGACTGTTATACCTAGATATTTGAAATTTTTTCAAAATATATTTACTTTTTTATCATCAGCCTTATATGTTTTAGTATATTGTTGACAAAATTAAATATTAATTTCTATAAATATAGTAATAGATATTGATGTGAAACAGGGAACGTCATAAACATACATCTGACAGCAGTTCAGATTTTGTTGTCTGCTGAAGTGTGTACTCAATAAAGACATCTGCCGTGATTAACATAAGTTTATAAGATACTAATAAATCAAATATATCAATGGCAGATCTGGTCAATTACTTTCAATTTGTTTTCAAAACTTTTAAAACTGTCTGCAGCAAAACGCGCGATAATGGTCTACCATTGTTGTTTTCCGATAATAATAATAATATATTTTCATATTGCAAAACGGCAGACGTGGTCAAATACATTTAAAATTTACCAAAAATCGACACCTTTTTTACATTGGCGCCCGCCGCGTCCGCCACGTTGGGCTTAGTGAGTCTCCATATCATGTACAGTTAGTATAGGGGACTCACTGTACAAACCCCTAGGTCTGGTCAAATACATACAGGTAGCCTTTCACTGGCTCTTAGACTATTAGCGGCATAATTGGATCCTGGATCTCCAATAAAATAAAATAAAGCTATTGAAATGAATAAAACACAAACTATCGAAAAAAGATACATCTAGATGATAAAATAATTTTTAAATTCCTTGCCTTGTTAACGTACTCCACAGGGTGTTTCAAACTATCACAAAAATATCAACATCTTGTTTTCCCTCTATAATTGACAGATGGCAACTTTCATTTTTAATTTATAAAGATATACTAGAAAGTATAATAATTTAGCTGCACAAATTGCTTAAGAAATCATCAAAATCGGTCTTCTAAAACACAATATATATTAAACTTTAAAATAGAAAATTTTAAGGTGCCCGTGTTTCGTGAGTGTTTATTAATAATTAACTGATACTTTTTGTTGGAACTTTACTATTAGTTTCAATACGTGACGCATTTACATATTTTTAAAAAATACTCTAATTACTTTTACGGTGTAGGGAAGTAGCTGTATAATTTTACTTCAAGAAAACCTATACTAACAGAAAATGTGTCTCATATACCTGAAAATTATGCATTCAATAAGTAGCATACTGAAAACTACTACAGTAATCGCATAACATTTTCTTATGTACGTGATCAACTTTGAGTGACAAGCGATGGCGACAGCGCTGCCAGATTGTGATGGATTTATGGGATGAATCTTAATGTAAAATTGGGAAACAATATACTTATTATTATATAACTTTTTAAAGATTTTTACGTTTTATTTTCAGTTTAATAATTAATATTTTAGTAATTAATTGATTTATTTGTTATATAGCTTATTTCACTTATTACATATTGGTAAAAACTAGTCCATTATTAAGATTATTCTAAGCGCTATTACAAGTTATTTATTTATTTTTTTTTATTATTTATATAAAGTATAATATTTTGTAGATAATTATAACTTGTGGGTTGGATAGTTATATTATCGTGTGGAATCCATGGGACGGTCGACGTCTGATGGTTATCAAAGAAGGCCATACTAGGATGTTGCATGGCGAGATAATGAGCGTCGAAATTACCGCAGCCACATTTGATCCAGGATATCAAAGATTATTAACTGGTAATAGCTTACAACTTTAATTTAAACATTAAGGTCTGTACACATTATCATACACGTATCGTTTCCGTTTCAGCAAACGGACTGTGTATTCACATATTAATACATCAAACGTTTCAGTTTGCACGTAAAGTGGTGCTTTTCCATTTTTCTCGTAACATGTGAAATTTGACCTCAACCTGGATGTAAAAGAAATAAGACAAAGTGAGAATATTTGCACAAGTTCCAACAGGATCCGCAAATATTATTTTCGAGTGGGGTGGGGATCCTTGATAGTTCTGTTTGACGATTCATTGACACATTTGATTATTTGATTTGAAATTTTGAGGATTTGTTAATCTTTACTGAGCTTATTTTACGTTATTTATTATTTATTTTACAACTGGCAGTTGTTTGGAGCTAGTAAATCTAAAAGGAAATTGTGACAGAACTTCAATTAACAGTGACACTATTGCAATTTGCCGAAAAAGACTGTAAAATAACTATCGGTTGTGCAGCGTGTGATAGATAAAATCGAGGGAAATAATGGAATAACTTTACACTAGTTACTGACTATATACGAGTATATAGTCTGTCCAAACACAAAATCCTTGACAGTCATAGATGTGTCTGTCATGTTAATTTCAAAGTAGTTTATTTTATTTTACAAAGAAATAAGTTGGTACAATTGGAACCTGATTGATTGGAACCTTTGAATAAGAAGACTAAGGAAGGAGCATAATGCTATCCATGTAATCATGCATGGTGGGCGGAAAAAGCACTCTAGGGTGGGGATCCTTGACAGTTCTGTTTGACGATTCATTTGACACATTTGAATTTGATTTGAAATTTTGTGAATTTGTCAGTCTTTACGGAGCTTATTTTATGTTATTTATTATTTATTCTACTACTGATAGTTGTATAAAGGTAGTAAATCTAGATGGAAATTGTGGCAGCACTTAAATTAACAGTGACACTATCGCGATTTATCGAAAAAGACTCTAAAATAGTTGGTTGTGTAGCGTGCGGTAGATCTCGGCAAAAATTGAGTGAAATAATGGAACAACTTTTCGCTAGTAAGTGACTATATAATATACATACATATGTGTAGTAAACCAATCCTTTATGAAATTCACTTAAATTAACTAAATTATATATTTTTCTTGCATTTTAGCTTTTATTTATTACTTGTCAAAGATTAGATGTCAAAGAATTTAGATACGTCAATTTGACTTACCTGCTTCAGTAGCGTATCGGATGTTTGTGTTAATAAATAATTATTATAACTTCTCTATATTTATTAAAATTATATATTTTTATAACAATTTTAATAACCACCAACATTTATTGACAACGCAAAATAAAACAACAAATTTTGAGTGTACCCTACATCATATTTTTACATTTTGAATAACATTAGAACGGCACTGATAATCCGGAATTTAAGTCGGCCATTTTTGGCCCCCATTGCGGTCGACCTAAGTTGATGTTGATATGCTCCTTCCTTATTTTTTTTTATTCAAAAATACTGAACGGAAACGTTACGTGTATGATACGATACGTGGCAGACAATATGAATTAGTGAATTAGTGACTATTAAAACCACTAAATAGTTTTTTCACGCACTTGACGATCTATATTGTTCCTTAAGGGGCTCACGATGGAACCCTTAAAATATGGAATTTCAATACTGGAACATGCCTTAGAAATATGAACATAGAAACTTGGTGCGAGGTTCAATGTGTGATATGGGTGAAAAATAGAATATTAGCCATGGGATGGAATAAAAGAGTGACAGAATTTGCCGACACAGGAGCGGCCGTGGGCCCTGAAGGAGCTTACAGGTTTAAATAAATATTGTACATAATGTATATAAAACAGTTGGAAAATTGGGAAGTTCCAAAAAGTGGAAAAGTGGGAATCCAAAATATGGGAAAGTTCCACAATTAAGAAAAAATATTATTGACTGAAAGCTTATTGGCAGTTTATTTAACAGTCAATTTAAAAAAAACGCCTCGTCATGTGGCAGCATTTCTTATCGGTAGTTTAAATAAATTCTTTTTACATTTGCATAAAGTTATTTTAACTAAATATATAGACTTGGCGCATTTTAGTTGATTTTAAAAATTCCGTCCGCAGCTACGGCAGAAATTATATATAAGTGTTCGCTTCTGTGTTTCACGCAGTTGTTTTGTCATAATATTTTAGTTTTTAATAGTGCAGTTATTGAAACGACAAAACACTCAGGTGTAAGGTTTTCGTGATGTAACACTGTTTCGGGTGTAAAAATTAAGTGAAAAAGAATCCGAAGTAGGCGTCGTGTTTTGTTGTGACAATTTCAAATGTTAATAAAATTGTCGAAAAAATGTTACCACGTAAACGAGAACGTAATTATGTGGTTGTTGGGTGCAATAACATTCAATAACTCAACTCTCCTAATTCAATCATAATCTCATACTCTCATCTCTACATTCAATAACTCAACTCTTCAATAATATTCAACTCTCCCGAAACAACATTTTATAGCTTCGCAGCTTCTCAAACCGATTTGATCAAAAGCAAAAATGGCTTCAAGCAGCTCGACGAAACAAGAGAGTAAACAAATACCATGAAAAAAAAATAATATGAGAGGATAAATTTTAATTTGCAAAATTACTGGTATACTCTACTTGTTTTAATCAACTAGTGCTTAAACTTGAACATTTTCTAAAATTATAATTATGCACCTTTAAAAAATTCGTTAAAACCGAAATAGCCCCAGTTGTGTTTCCTCTAGCAAAATGGGTGCGTAAAACTATGGTAGCTACCGTAGTTGAACTCGACTAAAAAGTTTTATTAGCTTATAAATTATAATACAACTTACACCTTCTGAAGATATATTGACTTTTTTATTTTTATTTTCAGAGTTTTCACAAATTATACTTTCAAAAACTTTTATATACAATAATTATATATTAAATTTTTCGTATACTCGCTATTTAAACCCTTGTATGTATTTGTATACCGGGCTGGCAACTGTTACTTTTGGGTCGGTATTTACATGTGTGGAAGTAAATCGTATAGGGATCTTATTAAGTCGGAGTCAGAGAAATGCGACGGCGTGCTGTTGCGGCGTTGCCGATACGCCTTTCCCTATCAAGTAAATTAAAATCACGATCGCAAACCGCCTATTTTTAAAAGAACTTTTTTTTCGAAAAGATAACTAGATAAAATCATTAGATATGTTTGTGAGCATCTGAAATGGAATTATAAGGATATCGTTAGATTATCCATTTTTTTCTTAACGATAAAACATCAGTAATTACGATAATTTAAAAACTCAACTTTTTAACACGTAACACGCCATAACTTAAGAACCACTTTAGATATTGAAACTTTTTTTTTATTTTGAAGACCGGTATTTTCACATACTGTCTGCGAAGAAAATATAGCAGAAATGTTAAGAAAGTAACGACAACTACAATCAATTATTTCTAATAGATTTCGAGATATCGATTTTTGAATTCAGAGTTCTAATAGCGTGACCACTGTCGAACACCAACTCAATTCCACTTATTTTTACCAAAAATGCAAGTGTTTCTAACTTGCACTTGAAATTTTTCAAGCTATAGGGAAAATTACAACGACTCGTTAATAAATAAACAAATAAAGAATCACGAGACGTAATTAAATCGTGAAGCTGAACGCATGATGTACACCTTTCCCTAGAACTTTAAATACTGACAGAGGTACTGATTGGGTCGACCAGTCGACTGCATCAAATCTACTATATCGCCTACCACGTCTCTTAGGCCCACCGCATATTAGCTTTGTTCGGGTTCTTGTTATTACCGATTCTGAACCGTCCTAGAACTCTGCAGCGCATGCGCAACGTCCTTGAACTCTGTCACGCATTTTCTGTGTTAAATGCACAAGTGCGACACAACCCGCGTGCGAGACAGAAATGCCATGCCCTGCGCTGTGCTGCAATACGCGGTGTTAAATTACAACACATGATTTACAGAACCTGCTCTGCCCTGCCCTGCCCTGCCTCGCGCTGCCTGCGTCTCAATAGCTTACTTCAGCTTTGTTCGGGTTCTTGTTATTACCGGTTCTGAACCGTCCTAGAACTCTGCAGCGCATGTGCAAATGAAATAATGTCTTCATATTTCCTTCTGCGCATACGCATCACACCCTAGAACACCGCCCTAGAACTGTGATGCGTATGCGCAGAAAGAAATATGAAGACATTATTCCATTTGCGCATGCGCTGCAGAGTTCTAGGACGGTTCAGAATCGGTAATAACAAGAACCCGAACAAAGCTGAAGTAAGCTATTGAGACGCAGGCAGGACAGGGCAGCGCAGAGCAGGTTCTGTAAATCATGTGTTGTAATTTAAAACCGCGTATTGCAGCACAGCGCAGGGCAGGGCATTTCTGTCTCGCACGCGGGCTGTGTCGCACTTGTGCATTTGACACAGAAAATGCGTGACAAAGACGCCTCGTGTTTCTTTTGAGTTTTAAACTTGCCGGTTTTTCGAAAATAATGGAATCGATGGAAGAAAAATTGGTTGAATTAGTGCGTAGACATTCAGTATTATATGATACCAGTCATTCTCACTACATGAAAACTAAATATAAACAAGCTATTCCCTAATTTCATAAATGTGATATTTCCTAATTTCACTTTCCTTGATAAACTGATAGTAATGTTTGTAACTCGGTATCCGAATCTGACTCGAAGCTTAAATCCAGATAATATTCTTCCAGCATGTTTTTATTTAATTACTCCCCAAAAACGCACCAAAACTCCTTGCAAACGCAGCTGACACACAAAACTGCATCTCAATATGCGTGGAGCACTGTGCTACACAAAAATTTTTCTTGCTGTTCTGCCCTGCCCTGCCCTCTGCGTGCTGTGTCACGCAACTCAATATGCACCTAGACTTAGCAATGTGCACAGTTTCTCGGTTTATTACATACGTTTGGCAACGTGTTTACTGTTCTCTCTTTGTTCAGTACATTATAAACGCATTGTACTTTTCTTACATACGGAAATCTCGACCCAAGACTAACCTTTGCCAGCCCTTATTATGCCGATTCTTTACGATATTCTCCGATGGTGGCAGCACCGGCGGAGAATGCCCCAAGCCTATTATATTGGTATTTTAGAAAATTAAACGCTCAAACTACGTTCACGCGTTTAAACATTCTTATGTGAATGAAATGCTCCCTAAAATTATACGTGTAACAAATTCTTTAATTTAATAAATAATTTAATAAAAGATTCTCCGCTATCAAACAACACTTATAAAATTGCTATTTAATGAAAAACTAAATAAGGAATTTGCAACTTTTAGTAAGAATTGGGACATGCGACATTCGGAAGATATTAGCGCTGGAGCCGTCAAAGTGCCTGAATCATTAGCTACAAGGTAATTTATGAAATCATTACTCATTATTTTACCTTTAAAACAAAAAATAGAAATCAATTAATAAATAATATATATTAATCATTGTATATTTAGCTCTTATGTTGGAGAACTACTTCTATGGCGTTTGGAAACTGGCCAACCGTATAAGAAATTTATCGTGTCCAATCCGACCGAGCGTATTAAGATCCATTTTACAGTTGATAAAGTAAGAGACAAGGCGGATGTGGCAAAGTAAGCAAAAAACGAGGCAAAAAACAAATTCCGTTATGTAAAATATAATTTTTTTATGCTTTCCTAACTTTTTTTTTAAATGTCTATACCTATGTGCCCTATGTGGCATGCGGCTCTCCAAAAAAATCCTATATGGGTATTTCGTATATTTTGGTAAATTTTTTTATTGTCGTTACAGGACTTCTAGACAATCGATTATTGACGCCAAAGGAGCACAAGCGGCTGCAAGGGGTAGTAAGGTACAGAGAACGCCATTGCTACCTCAACAAGAAAACACTCTATCTGGTAAATTCAAAAGAAAATTTACCTTTTTAAAAACGTATTTTTGATCATTTAAAGCTAACATTTAAGAGCTATCGTGATGCATTGAAACTAAAAAATTTCGGACTATTGTCTTTATTTATTTTGCTTACACAACGTTTCGGTGAGAAGTATCACTGACCGTTATCAAGTGTGAACTAATCTAAATCCTAAAACTACTGGTTTATACAGGGTGTTTCAAAAAACATGTGCCATCTCTCGTGGGGAGATTCCTCACGTAAAAATAAGATTTATTTTTCATATCAACATAGGTCCGATTCTGCTTTGTTTCGTAGCTACAGAGTGTTAAAGTATTAATAATCTTTCGATTTATTATAAATTTCTTTAAAGATAAAAAACACAATTTTTTCATTATTAAACATAGATATTAGATATACGTGATTAATAAAACAAAAAGATTACGAACACTCTGTTGCGTTATGATACAAAATACGGAGTGATCCATTTAAAATAATGGAAGCAATTCAACTTTTAGTTTTGACTCACCTCATATATCAAACAAAATTGCAGATATGGGTAGGCTGAATTTTAAAGAAGACACTATTATACAGTACCTACAGCCAAAAAATTTAAAAATCTTCGAATTTAGAATTTTCAGAGGGCTTTAAAGAAGCAGTAAATTTAGTTTAAAAACGATTATATTACAAAAACCACTCGGTATAGTATATGGCATTATGATATTTTTGGAATGGAAAATCCTCTGAGCTAAAAAAATATACCGGGTGCGTCTCAAAAGTGACTCACCCCCTATAACTTTTTTATTTTTTCAGATAAAAGAAAGATTTGTTATGTTAGTATATGAAATAAATTAGGATTGATTGACGTATTCAATTGTTTTTGGTTACTTCCTTTCCATCACCGGAAATGACAATAACTATTTATTTTTAAATGGCACTCCCGGTATTTTTTTACTTAATTAGATAGAAAATGACACACTGAGTAGAAAGTCATATGTCAACTTTTCACATTTTCTTATATGGTTTATTTCAGGGGCGGGAAAGTGAAATAGCAAAAAAGCGGTTCTACCGTTTCCACGGAAATCTCAAATAAAATAGTTCCAGCCCTAGGCACTAGGTGGTAGTGCAATTAATTTTTAGGTTAAGAAGTTGCTACTAGTTATTGCCAGATGGCGTTAAATCAGAATTTTTTTGTAGTTTCCATATTTTCCAACGGCCATTGTCATATTATTGTCAAATTCTTAAAAAATATCGTCATAGCGCCAATCATACTATTATCAAATAAATGATTATCAAAACGTTTTTAAAACTATAATTTGTTATATGTGTTTTAATTAGACAATTCCTTTTGTTTGTGGCCCTAAAAATCTAATGTAAGTCTTTTGTTTTTGCCATCATTTAAGTACCTATTTATATTTACTCCATTTACAAAACTTTGGGCGTATTACGTTGGTCTTGTTTTATTATAATAAACGATGTTTAGGAGAAATATTTGACTTATAAATAAAAACTTTAAATAAATAATATTTCACATGTTTGGCTTTAATTTTATTTAATAATTGTATAAATTATACTGTTAAATCTTATTTTTTACACATCACAACGATACTTGTTATTAGTATTGTTGAATTTGTGTAAAAAATAAGATTTAATAATCAAATTTAATTATTTTAGAGTAAAATTCAATAAATACGCCCATTTAAAAAGCCCGCGCTTCAATCCATTTAAAACAAGCCCTACTCAATAGATGGCGCTACTTCTGTAGGACCATTTTTCAGTATGACAGAGTCCATTCTTTTTCTAGCTAGGTATATTCTTTGGTTTATTTGAAATTGGTTGTTCATCAGGACGTAGCGCTACCGCAGCGATCACTAATTTTCTGCTGAACGCGCCGATTAGTTGTGAGCGCTCTGGGATCAGTCGCCATTTTTTCCATCAGATTTAAAATACGCTACGCTACCGATGCATGATGGATTAAACGTCACATACGCCAAATGTCACAAAATGTTTTGGAAAACGAAAACAGACCATTTTGTTTATTGTTCTCGGTTGACTAATCCCCTCGATTTGTGCCAAAAATGGGTGAAAACAATTCAGTCTAAGGGATGCCAAAAAGCGCGTTCAGCAGGACAACCAATCGATGGCACATCGCTCACTTATTAACTTGTCCTGATGAACGCGATCATTGTAACATGCGAATCATAACGACAATTTGACTCGAAATACCAAGTTTGTGGTACCAAATTATTCATAAAAAATACTTTTAACAAATATGTTAATGAGCCAATTAATTAATAATTTTTTTTTTTTCATTTTTAGAAGTCTAAGACATGAAAAAATAATACGATCATGATTCTTAAACGAAAAGCCGATTTTTAGCGAAGGAAAGAAAATTAAAATCTTCTCATTTTTTTAACCTTCATGAAATATGTCACTTACTAACAATCGTCAGAAAATATTTTTATACTCCTTTACAGTCAGGAATTTTTTAGAATTTTTTGAAGTGGTGGAACAATATGAAAAAAAATATAAAACCCAGTTTTTTTCTAAAATCTTCTGAAATTATTAATGGTTTAGTTGCAATTTATTACATACAATGACATCAACAATGAAGACTATTTTATTGTTATTGTTACCTAAAGAAGCGAAACTTTAGAGGAATAATTGCTGATTACTGAAAATCCCAGTAGATGGCGTTATATTGGGTCAGTTTGACGCGAATTTTACAAAAACCCAGTCTTTACGTAATCATTGCGTAGCAATATGATTGATGTTTTCTGCGCACTTTTTTAAATTAAAAAAAATATAAGTTAGTTAAAACAGAAGATTTTAGAAAAAAACTGAGTTTTTAATTTTTTTCATATTGTTCCACCAAAAAATTCTAATAAATTCCTGAGTGTAAAGAAGTATAAAAGACATTTTCTGACGATTTTTAGTGGGTGACATATTTTACGAATGTTAAAAAAATGAAGATTTTAATTTTCTTTGCTCCGCTAAAAATCGGCTTTACGTTTAAGAATCATGATCATATTATTTTTTCATGTCTCATTCTGCTGAGAATTAGAAAAAGAATCATCATTAATTAATTTGGAATTTTACTATAAAAATAAAATTGAAAAAACAGGTTTTTTTGAAAATCTCGAAACCGTTCGAGTTAAAGAGCTAAAAATGTAGGTGAATTATTTTGATTCGACACCAAATCGATCCCTGAGTGCGAGTCAAAAAAGCCGCGGGGGTAGATTTAGTATGTTATTCCGGCAATACTCTTTACTCTTTACAACATCCTTTTATGTATTATTTGATAGGTGCCAGGGTTATGAGTCGAAAAGGTCGACTATCCACCGTGTCCCTGCCCGAGGAATGCTTTAGCTTGCGCAAGCTGGCCGTGCACTGTATGCTGTTCCTGAGCGCGAGAAAAAGCGACCCGCAGGTGGGCACGTTGCTGGTGGCCCTGGAGAACGGGGTTATCCAGGTGTGGAACCATCACGTGGCCGGTGGGTTCATCACTTCTTTCTGGGCGGTGCACAAGGCCGGCGACTACATCATTTCGATGACCAGCGACGACAATAACGAGTTTCTCTTTCTAGGTATGCTAATAACACTGGGGAACAGCAATTTTGTTGACTTGGATCTGTGACCTGTTTTTTACTAATTTTTGGTCTCTGAGTTCAAAAATATTCACAGTTTTTCTCTATTACGTCAAGTTTTTAAGCTACAACATACCCCTCCTTTTACCTTAAAAGTGCACATACAAAGGGAAATAAGGTAAGATCTGACCAAATAAATTAGAATATTTTATTTATACAGAGGTTAATATATTAAAAGTTAAATTGTGTTTATACGAAAAATAATAAAAAAGGATATTATGGTAAAAATTTCCTCTTATGGTTTTTCCTGGAGTGTTCAATTTGTGGGCATTCCCGCTTGATGCCCTAACAGTAGTCAGCCATCATACTGACATCCCATCTGCCTTGATATCGCGCCTCCATAACCTTCAGATCTTGGTGAAATCGCTCGCCTTGTTCATCACGAACAGCACCAAGATTTTCTGGGAAGTTAGCAAGATGGCTATGTAAAAAATGCACTTTGATGCTCATGTTGTAACCAAGCTTCTTAAAGCTCTCCAAGGGTTGTTCAACAATTTCGATATAATTCGAGGCCCGTGTATTTCCTAGAAAGTCTTTAACAATACCTTTGAAAGCCAACCAAGCATTCCTTTCAAGTTCGGTCATTGTTTCAGTGAAATGTTCATCTTTAATGAGTTGCCTAATTTGTGGACCATCAAACACACCAGCCTTTATCTTTTCATATGACAGGCTAGGGAATGCCGAAATTATATACTTAAAGCAATCTCCTTCAATTGACAAAGCTTTCACAAATTGCTTCATGAGACCTAGTTTTATATGCAAAGGCGGAAATATAATGTTTTTTTCTGTCAACAAGTGACTGATTTTAAATGTTTGGATCACCAGATCTTAGGTCAGATCTTAGCGGCCAGTTCGATTGCACCCAATGCTTCTCACGAGGTCTGTTGTCCTACATGCACAAAAAACACGGATACTTGGTATATCCGCGTTGCTGGCCAAGTAGGAAACAGACCATTTTAAGGTCAAGGTGATTCGCATTCAATCCTGCGAAGCGTAGTCGCATGCACAACAGCTGTAGGGAAAAAACTTGACGTGATAAGAAAAAACTAAATACAGTTTTGGAATTAGCATGTCAATTTACTTATAAAACAGCTTAAATATCGAACTCAACAGAAATTATTTTTCAAATTGTTTCCCAGTTTAATGTTAAATAGATGTTAACATTCTATAGTTTATTATTGTTATATTGTTTATTGTATTGTTTTTTTGTTGTTGTTATTGGTTGTTGTTTTTATCATTTTTTGTTGTTTTTTTAATGTTTTTATAGTCCTGTTCTAGATAACCTCTATATCTTTATATACAGTATGTCCCCGTATTGTCTTTATTTATTTTATTTACAAGAGAAAAAACTTTTTTATTATTGACATTTTGAGAAAAATGCATTCTTCATAAAAATGTTTGCTTATTCTAAAATGGTTAATCCCGTGATTAGGCTCGACCGCCACATCGTTGCCCACTTTTACATATTTATTTTAATCAAAATATTTTAGAAAACAAAAATGAATTAATTATAAATATACAGGGTGAGTCTTAAATACGTGCAAATATTTTCAGGGCTGGTAGATCTCGATAAAAGAAACATATTTTCTCTCTACCATTTTTCAGATAAGTCCAAAATAACCGAGTTATTTAAGTTGAAATTAAAAGAAAATGCACGATTTTCAACATAATTTTTTAGCGAAAAAACCTCATAGACATGTTCCTGGGGTCGAAATATACCACCCCTGAAAATGTTTGCACTTATTTAAGACTCACCCTGTATAAACAGTTATTATTTACATCAACAAAACTCACCTCTTTAAAGCCTTATTACCGCTTTCTTGTTCCTACAAATTTTTTGCAATGGCTGTTAAGCTGCTTTGGCATCTTGTATACTTCGCACTACAAGGGGTTCCAAAAAGAACAACTTTCGACTAAAAGGTTTGTTAGTAAAATATTTTAAGCTTAAAGTATCACAACACAATTTACTTAAAACAAAAACTCGTAATACAAAATTAAAGTGTCAAAATGAATCAAAATGTCAGGAAATGAATCAATAAATGTGGCAACTTCACATATTTTACAGCAGAGTTACCACCTGAATCACCAGCGGGAAGGTTATTTGGAAAAAAAAAAGAAATTACCTATAATAGTTTAGAAATAATTACAATTACTTACTTACACACTATATCTGTTTTCAGGAACGACAGCTGGCTATATAAAAACGTGGCTCCTAAAAAATTACTGCGTGTTACCAGAAGACATGGAGCATATTTGTATGCCGAAGTACAGACTTATGTTTCCTTTCATGTGGGGAGATAGATTTGTAGGTAAAACCCTTGTATATGATTTTTTAAAGTAGCTCCACCTAAGACGTTTATGGATGTAAAGCACCAGATGGCGGGGCGTATTTCACAGTCTTTTACTAGAGAAAAATATTTTTTGTTACTCTGAATTTTGAAGCGGCCAATAAAAACAGAGAAAATAAAAATCGATAATTTTCGGACTGTGCCAATTGGTTACTAATCGACCAGATACTTTTTGTCTATTAGATATGCTATAAAAGCTGGTAATTATACAATTCGACCATTGTAAATACCCGACAAATTCCGCAAGGCCGACGAGGTCGATGTTTTTCACTGATAAGAAAAAAAAATGTTTGTTTAGATAATTTTCGAGATATTTTTTCTTTCTGAATGCACATTTTAAAGTATTTTATATTCTTTGTCCGCTTGATCTATTATACTGGTCGCACGTATCGAAGTTTTATTTCTTGTAGTTTTAAAATATTTTCTTGTTTCTTTGTAGTTGTAATGTAAAATTAGATTAATTTATTAAGTTTGATTATAATGTTTAGTGTAGACTACCAGAAGAAATTTAGTAGTGTTTTTATATTTTATTTTGAAGTTAAGTAGTAGGTGAAGGGGTAATTTGGTTAATTTTTCTTTATGTTTGATTAATTAATAAGTTTGATAATTTGTTTAGTGTAGAATACAAGAAGTAGTTTGTGTAGTGTTCTTGTAAGAGATTATATTCATTTATTTTGTAGTTGAGTAGAAGGTGAAGGTATTTGGGTATTTTTTTCTTTTTGTTTTTCTTCTAATAATTATTGTAGTAGTTCTTTTAAATATTGTGATAGATACATTATAATCTTCCTTCTACTTTTCTGGTAGTTGAATATACGAAAAAAATCTGATCAAATTTATTTTAAATGAAATTAATCTAGTCTTATTAATTAATCAAATTAAACTAGTCAAATAATATTAATTGCAATCAATTATTAAAAAATATTAATTATTTTGGAAAATAACTTTTGAAATGGAGTATTATTGATAAAATTTAGCCAATTTTTTTTACCCAGTAGCGTATTTCAATATGATCTTATCATTTATCACTGTATAATAACTTTGTTGTGGCAGAAAAATATACCAGTTAGTTTCAAAATATTATTTTTTTTTCAAACGTCACAAAAGTATTAATTTTTGCGACGTGATTGACAATATAAAAAAGTCATTTTAACGCCTAGGCATAAAAGTAAAGCACTTTACGCCTAAGCATAAAAGTATGAAAATATATTATTAAAATGACATAAGTCTCAAATTCAACGAGCCGTAACCATAGTTTCTCGATATATAATTACTCATGGTACAAAGAAAACTTGAAAACAAGGTATGGTCGATAGCGTCTCCAATTTCGTTCAGTTTGCGCATATCGCCTGTGACGTCATATGCCATACAACAAAATATCCGTATTGTTCAATTGCCACTAATAAAAAAAGACCTAAAATAGGGAAGAATTAAATAACCCCTAAAGTTATGTAAAATCATCGAGCTGGACATTTGAAAAGTTATGACACATTATACACATTTATTATGTGTCATCTGTTTGAAAATTTGAAATTGGCGCGTGGAGCTTGCCGACCAATATTGCCGTTTATCACCTGTGACGTGGTGACCACCTGCGCAATATCATACCTTGTTTTTTTTGTATCATGATAATTACTTACAAGGTATGAGTTTTAAATATTTTTATATTATTTGGAACGTTTGAAATTGTTTAAAACATTATTTGTGGCGTTTGAAAAAAATAGCATGTTCTATTCGGAGTAAAAATGACTTTTATGCTTCGGCTGTATGTCAAACCTACAGTCTCGCAACGAAAAGTGTCATTTTTACTCCTAATAAAACAATATACTAGAAAGTTTTATGGTTTAACGGGCTTTGTGAGTTAAAACATAATGATATTTTCAGTTTTTATAATTCTTGATCGAAAATAAACGGCGTGAAAATAAGATAGCTATGAAATGAAGATCGCTGTCATTTTATATGTAAATTTATGTGGGAAATGTCGTCGATCGTCATTTCCCTGCCAACTGGACGCCGTTTTTTTTTTCATATTGTACAAAGTTAAAGCAAACGTGACTCTGACCATGTTTTACGCTAAGAAAGATTTATTTCGTGTAATAAAGATTTAAATGGTGTATTAAGTACATAATTTTTATTTAAATGTCAAATAATATTATTGAAACAAGTGCCAAGTTTTATTTTTAATTAAGAAAAAAATTAATCAAGAATGTATAAACGTTTTGTTTTCAAAAAAAATTTTTCTTAAATTCGTAAAACCTCAATTAAGAATAAAATGATCGAAGAATGAAATAAAATTTTATAGCCCTGGGTCAAATCGAAATAAAGTAAGTGTATGTAACTTTTTTTAAATATTAATAATTACCAGTAATTAGCATTAATGTACCAACATATTGAAAATTGTTATTTCTTTGTTAAATACGGTTTAGAATCCTTAAAATAACAGCAAAAATAATCGAAAATCGACAATGAAATAATAGTTTTGTTTAAATTTCTTAATCAGCTGAGCCCTATTATAGTTCGCAAAAATCCGAGCTATATTATTACATTACTCTGAGGGAAATACGGCAAATAATCGATATTTTTGACTCCGCCCCTAATCACATGCTTCATTCCTTTAAAGCTTTACGATTTGTTCACCAGAGGCAGCACATTTTGTCAAGAGGTTGACCAACTTTAAGAATATACAAACAATTTCAATAATAAAAAGGTAATAAATAGTTAACTGTACAAAATGAAGTCGCTGTTTTAGTAATTTTGGCATATACTTAACGCTCTTCAAATAGTTTTAAACTATTTGTTATTTTGAAAAATCATTTTCGTTGTATTGCTGTAAAATCACACTAAACCAAAATTATTGTTTAAGTGGCTAATTTATTATAGCACACCATTAACTATCATTCTGTAACCATGGCAGATAAGGCTATATTAAATGTTAAAAGAAATTAAAGTGAAAAAAAACAGAAACTACGAAAGAAATAATTTTATGTGTATTTAAAGCAAATCGAAAATTTACAGTTTACACATAATTTTTCAAATATAAATTATTGCGTAATGTGTCTCTATGGGCATCTAATGAAATGGAATTTTGCTCCAAACAAATGTAATATATTTAGTTCTTCTAATCTATAAACAAATGTTTAGGTCGAGCTCGAAGAATGATAGCAAATCAACCATTTCCAATACTGCTCAGTAGCTATAAAGGTCATTTTATGCCCGTCTCTGGTTTGACATATATTGAAGACTGCCAAATCCTGATAAGGTTAGTTTAAAAAACACGAGAACACACAAAGCTCTGCTATGAAACCAACAGTATTGTTAAGAAACTTAAGTTAAATTTGATATTGTATGTACTCGTTTTTAATGATTTACCTAATAAAATGTTAACAATAAAAAACTGGCCGCTACTTTTGACTGCAGAACTTTCTATTGACATTCATGTACTCATAAAATCGCTACTGACCTATGTTTTGATTTTTTGCCTTTTCTTTGACTGCATAGATATGATATATAATTATATCTTATATTTTATCAGTTGTAGTGCAGATTTTAGTGCTAGAATGTGGACATTAGGTGGCAGATATCTCCAAACGATCGGAACTTTCAAGAAATGGAAGCTAATTAATCCTGAAACTAAAATTCCCGATGACTTTGAGTATTCTATTCCACCAGACATAAAGAGAGTTGGAAGTTCGACAACTTTAAGGGTATATATTTAAAGTTTTATTCAAATAATATATATTATTCAATAAAAAAAAATACTTTTTTATTCTTGTTACTGTATATACAGAGGAATAAGAGAACGGAGACTGTATATACTATACGTATTTCTGTAGGATAAAAACGGTATCAGTTTTGTTGTTTGGGCGGGGCAAAAAGAGACCACTTGGACATGACCGGATAGATAAAACTTCAAATAATAAAAGGAAACAATGATTAAAGCTATTATTTCCTTGAGCTAATGTAATATGATTGTGTAATTCAGTAACAGAAAACAGTTATTAAGTTATATGCAACGGTATGACTGATAATAGCTAGGAACAAAAATTTGTGATTTACAATACCTTTTTTATATAACACAAAAGCTAAATGGTATTCCATACTTGGATAGTTTCCTCTACTTGTGAATGTGAGCTTTAACTAGTATTTATCAACATTTACTGATTTTTAGCTTTTACTGTAACACAGGTATATAAAATATATATCCTTTGAAGGTGCTGTGTGGAGGATCATTCCCCAAGAGACTCACGATCAAGCAATTGCAAAAACAAGCACAGAAGGATCTTATCCACATCGACCACAATAAAATCTATGGAACTCGACTTAGAGATCCAATCCTTGGTCATCATTATCATATCCCAGAAAGGACTACTAAGCCTAAGGAGATTAAATTTGATACAAGCTTTCGTTATGTAAGTATTTCTGGATGTTAAAACCAAGCATTATACTATTAATTAATAAAAATAATATTCATATTATTTTTCCAATACGGAAAGTTCTCCACAGACCATATATATTATTTTGGTTCGTTTAATCAGTCAGCTCTAAAAGGAACGACATTTTTTGTTGGACAAATTTTTAGTAGCAGGACAATATGTGTAAATGATCCAATTTCTACAAAAAATATGACTTAAGCTTCATTCAAAACGTCGAAATCAGTGGAAAAAATTAGTGATTTCAATAGCGTAGAAGTTTGTTCCTCTAATTTCAATGTAAGCATTCAGGACGTCAAAATTAGTGGTAGTAATTAATTAGTAGATACTAATATAATTTTAAAACTAATTTAGAACATCAAAATTAGTGGAATAAATTAGTGGCTTCAATTATCCTTTATACTTTTTAGTTTACGGTCATTCACAATGTTTAAAACCACAATTAAAATTAATAGAATATCCTAGGAACAGCTTGCGTTAGTCAGTTTTATCCATACAGAAAGCCTAAGTTAAAAGTTTGATAACTTTTTCTACTAATTGAAAATGTCTACCACTGATTTAGACGTTCTGAATGCTTACATTGAAATCCATACAGAAAGCCTAATATTTAGCTTATAAAACAATCAACTTTTGATTTATAACCACAATTTCTCATAACGGAAGATAATCAATGGCCAAAATGACATTGTAATGAAGTCCGTATATTTTTTTTATTTAACCTGTTAAATGCTAGGCGTGAACATAAACCGAACACGGCACGATAGCTCGGCGTGAAAGTATAGTCTATCCAACGAGAAGATCCTTGACAGTGAGAGATGTGTCTGTCATTTTAATTTTAAAGTAGTTTATTTTATTTTACAAAGAAATAAGTTGGTACAACTGGAACGCATAGCAGGAAATTATTATATTTAAAATTTGACTGACAAGTGATTACTTCAAAATATTATGAAAAAAACTGTATAAAACTGAAAAAATGTAATCGAGTTATTTAATTTATTAAAAAACAGTATGTGTTAATACAAAACAAACAAGAACAAGACACCACATACCAAGAAAATATAAAAAAGAACTATTTCTTACTTTCAAGCTTTATGAAACTTCCAGCATTTATGATTATATTTATCAATATAACTTACGTACAAATACAAATTAGTAATATTCCGCAGGAATAAATAAAACAACATAAATAAAACAAACTATTTTAGTATTAATAACACTTAGCAAATTTTATAGGTACCTTAAAGGTTGATTAATTAACTTTAATCTTAATTTTTTAAACCAGTACATTTGGCATTACTAAAATCCATTATTTACGTATCGTGTGATGTCGACATTTTACAGCTACTTCAGTTTTTAGTATGTGTTTAGTATGGTCCTTCTACCATATTCGAGATGCACTTGTCTACGACGAGATGGTATACGAACTTTAATGATGGTAACTTTATTGGTGTATAAGACTTTTTGCCTGGGCAGCGTGTATTAACCATAAACTGTGCTCTGGGTCTACAGTTAATTTTCACTCGATTTTTCCTCCAATTGACTTCAAAAGACACAAAACACACGTAATAACACGAATCAAAATGCATCATCTTCCAAAAGATGTAGAAAAAAAATTATATATTAATACTGCGCTATTCTCTTATAAAACGCAGGGTATTTGACAAAACTGACAACAGTTGACACAAAATCATAACCTCTAATTTGCCAAGACTTTGACAAGCGTCAAAAATCTAAAGGCGAGTTCATACGGATCGGCGTCCGTTTGTCGTTTATCGTTCCGTCAAACCAATAAAATTGAAATACGATCTGTCATTTTTGAAATAAACCAATAAAACTGGTTAAAAACAACAAGAGACGACGCATGACGGATTTATATTTAAACCCATCCATATTTAACTTAAAAATGATTAGAAACTTTCTTTAGTAAAATAAATAGATTGGTATTGGACGTCATCTGCTTTTTTTCTGTCATCGTCTGTCGAAATCTTATCTGAGAAAAAAAAAACAGAGTATACTTCGCTGGTACACCGAAGAGCCAGGGTTCGATCCTGCCTTGGGACCTAATTTTTTTATTTTTTTATCGTTAGTATTCTCATGGTAAATGTTTAAATATTTGTTTTTTTATCACCAGGACGGATAGCGTTTGTGATACAGTATGTAGTATAATATATATACAGTATGAACCATACTGTATATAAGTAGAATTTGATATGTTCATTTGTTTTGAAGGATTATGGTAACAAATAATTCTTAGACAAGCTTAGTATGGGTTATTTTTATTTTTAGAACTGTTATGATAGTCTAAAACTGAAAAATATTTTTAATACTAAAAATTATTTGCTGATAAAATTGTGTTAAATATTTCGTCGATTTGCATGGAGACGTTGAAGTTTTTTTTTGGTACAAACAGCAAATGGTTTTTTTTGTAGGATCGACGGGTAAAAACCGTTTTTTTTACTGTAAGGAATCTTGATGGGTCGTAGGACGATGGTAACCGAACGTGGTTCGTGGTTCCCGACGGGAAAGATTATTTAAGCGACGGGAGCGCGAAAACGGGGTTCTTCCTGTTGAGACTAAGTACCGGTAAACTTTTCTAAGTAAACCTCGCGAATCTGATCCGTTTTTTTATCAGCGCTGCTGTAAAAACCGAATTCTTGAGTTTTAAAGTAAAAGTACCGTATCTCCGTTTTTGATTTTAAATAAGTATAAATCATGGTCGCAGAGATTTGATTTAAAATAAGTCTAAACCGTATTTCTGATTTATGAGTATAGTTAAAAACCGAGCATTTAAGTTTTTTTATACCTGACCGTGAATAGACAACCAGACCGTTTCGTTTTGATCCGTCGCCGATTTTCTTAAGTTTTCTTTATACCTGACCGTGAATAATTAGTGTGCCTGGATTCCGTGCTGCTGTAGGCGATTCAGAAAACCAGACCGATTCGTTTGATCCGACGCCGATTTACTTCAAAAAAAGAGGTAATCACATTCTTTCTTTTTTTTTGTAACCGCCAGATACCCCATCAGAGTTCTAATAATCACAAATTTTAGTTTCAGCACAGTAGAGTTGTTTTTTATTTTATTTTTATGGTATAAAATTCTTTACGGAGGAGGAGTTAATTAAGGTTCCTCTTTGATTTTACCATAATAATAATATTTCTTATATATCTGATTTATTTAAAGATGCATGTGAATATGTATTGCTAGTATTTTTCTATTTTATTTATTTGAAGATATTGAATTTAAATCATATGAACTTAATTATTTGCTATTGTAATTAACTGATTTAATTTCTCTGTGTTAGATTTTGCGATATTTCATGTTTTAGTATTTTCTTCATATTTCATTTATTTGAAGATATTGGATTCATACTTAATTTATTTAAATAAACCTCGTTATGGAATATATTCGACTTTAACTGGCTTTTACCCCATTTCCCTGGATTCTCCACTGTAGAAAAGCTACCCGTATTGGCCGAGGTGGTCTCTCAAACACTTTAAACTTCGGGGGTGGCGCCCGAGAACAAAAAGACCGACTGTTAGGCGTTAGTAATAGCTCGCTAGGAAATAAGACTGTTACAACATATCTCGCAAATTTTGAAGTATAATCAGTGGGAAAGTTAAAAGTTTGATAACTTTTTCTGCTAACTGAAAATGTCTACCACTAATTTTGACCTTTTGAATGCTCACATTGAAATTAAAGGAACAAACTTCTACGCTAACTGAAACCACTAATTTATTCCACGAATTGCGGGGTTCTGAATGAAGCTTTATACTTTCTACTCTTAAAAAATTACGATCATTTACAATGTCTAAAAAAATACAATAAAAATTAATAGAATATCCTAGCAACAGTTGCCGTAGTCAGTTCTATCCATAGTGAAAGCATAATAATTGTCTCTCCAAAAAAATCCTTTATGGGTATTTCGCCACTGCATTGCAAGAAAATCTACAAAATAAAATAGTTATTTTTTGTAGACACTTCTGCGTTAAACCTAAACGGACACTGCTTGTCAGAAGTTATGTTTACAGTTATACAAATTTGCCTAAAAAAGAAAAATATGCTTAACGTTTCGGAAAGTTTATCTCTTTCCGTCGTCGGAAGCAAAAAAAAATACAAAGAATAAAGAAAAAAATTATTTAAAATATTTAAACTCAATTATTCGAGAAAACTTTACTTTTTTAAAACAGATACGTCTACAAGAAACCGTTGACGTTCTATTAAAATGACATTATATCAAGTTAAACTTCAAAATTAGCAATTACTACCTGATAACAATTACTTAATAAGGTAAAACCAAAAAGCCCAAACTTTCTGTATGATTATTTTTAAATTTTACGTATGTTATGTTTATTTATGTTATGTTCTTTAAAATCATAGAAGCGATTGCCATACATTACTAACATCTACAGATGCATGAACTATAGGTTTATTTTTATTAGATTGAATTAAAAAAGCCTCTTTTATTTTTCTTTTAGAGGCTATCGCTTCTTTCATTATAATTTTGGCGTTATTAAAATTTATTCTGTGCCCTGTGTCCCATGAATGCTGACAAATTTTAGATTTGTGAAAATTACCCTTTCTTAAATAATCTTTATGTTCAAAAAAATCCTTATGGGTTTTTCGCCACTGCACTGCAAGAAAAATCTACAAAATAAAATAAAAAATAAAAAAAACAAGAAATGTAATATACCAAATACTCTGTGAATGCGATAAATTTTACATTGGTGAAACATCTAGACCCTTAAATGTTAGAATTAAAGAACATAAAGATTATTTAAGAAAGGGAGATTTTCACAAATCTAAGATTTGTCAGCATTCATGGGACACAGGGCACAGAATAAATTTTAATAACGCCAAAATTATAATGAAAGAAGCGATAGCCTCTAAAAGAAAAATAAAAGAGGCTTTTTAATTCAATCTAATAAAAATAAATGTATTGCTCATGCATCTGTAGATGTTAGTAATGTATGGCAATCGCTTCTTTGATTTTAAAGAACATTACATAAATAAACATAACATACGTAAAATTTAAAAATAATCATACAGAAAGTTTGGGCTTTTTGGTTTTACCTTATTAAGTAATTATCAGGTAGTAATTGTTAATTTTGAAGTTTGAACTTAATATAATGTCATTTTAACAGAACGTCAACGATTTCTTGTAGATGTATCTGTTTTAAAAAGTAAAGTGTTCTCGAATAGTTCAATTTAAATATTTTTATATAGTTTTTTTTTTCTTGATTCTTTTTATTTTTTTGCTTCCGACGACGGAAAGAGAAAACTTTCCGAAACGTTAAGCATTTTTTTCTTTGTTAGGCAATATTTTTATTACTGTAAACACAACTTCTGACAAGCAGCGTCCGTTTAGGTTTAACGCCCAGAAGTGTTTACAAAAAATAACTATTTCATTTTGCAGATTTTTCTTGCAGTGCAGTGGCGAAAAACCCATAAGGATTTTTTTGGATAGATGAATCCGCCACATAGATAGAGACATTTTTTATAATAATTGTTTTATAACACTTTTCATTTTTCACCACAATTTCTCTTGACGGATGATAATGACAAAGTGACAAAGTTAAAACTTTGTTTACTTTTTCTAGTTCCTTTCCTTACTTAATATTTTTATTTAAAGGGCTATACTAATAATTTTATCAACATTTTTAAGAAAAATGATTCTGTCTTCTTTTAAATTATTTTTGTATCGTCATGTTTTTTTATAATTTTCAGATTCCCGTCTATCAGCATTTGGTTATGCCCCAGCCGAATCCCATCCAAGTACCGGACATTCCCGAAAATATTAACACTACCGTATGTGTGGAAGATGAAGAAATATAACCAACAAAACCAATTATATTTAATATTTATTTACATAATATAATATATTTATTATTTATACAATAAATAAATCACAATAAAACTCGACTTTTATTCGATATGTGTTACATAAAATTATTTTTACAAAAAAAAATTATATATTAATACTGCGCTATTCTCTTATAAAGTTCTGCTAGACTGTCAGCTACATAGTCAGGTTTTTTATCATCTGATAATTCTGGATTCTCCACATCACTTTTTGATGTTACGCCAGACAACACCAGTATGGTTTTAAAAGGTCCGTTTTTAGCAAAAGCAATGTCACTAGCCAAACTAAAATTTAAAATTATTATAAGAAAATAATATTTACATTTCATATTACATTTTATATTAATAAAAACATTTCTAATGTAATTTTCCTTTAAAAATGTTTTTTTATGTCATAATATAAAACGTACTTAATTATAAATTCTTTACCTATTGTATATTAACACGCTTTTTGGACTATAATAAAATCTTACTTTAGAACTTAATAAAAACAGTAATATTAAAATTATACAGTGTTAGAGTACTCCTGTTTAAAATAATTAAATGTCTCAATTGCATACCAAACGTGCTTAAATTTGTCAAGGTAACAAAACATAAGTGTTCTAAATTTTGTAGTAGCACAAGTGACAAGTATCACTTTTAGAATAACTGAAGTTGTTCGTATACAGGGTGGTCCAAATTGTATTCCGGAAACTTCGACAGCATATTCTGCAGATAAAAATAAGTAAAAAAGTTCGTATAAATGTATGTCCTAAAATGCTTAGTTTCGGAGATACAGGGTGTAGAAGTTTCATTTTTATTTCGATTTTTTCCAAATAATTTCTGAAGTAACGTCAATATTTGGATGAAAATTGGTATCTGGGAGTATTGTGACACGAGAAATTTGATTTTGATGTCAAAATTACCCCTATTTGTAGGGTGCGCCATCTACATATGTTTTAACTGTTTTGAAGAGTAATAACTTTTCGACCGTACCTGTATAAAACTACTGACTAAAAAAATATACATTTCATGACTTTTTATGTAAAAAATGTCTCTTGGTAAAAATCGCTACGAGCAACCGCTCTCAAGACATTTAGAATGGAAATAGTCAATACATGTCATTATTGACAAAAAATAAGCACACGTTGAGTATAGTTATTTGACTGAAATAATAAATTTTTATTTTTTTAAATTAATCATAAGTTTTTCTGCGAAAAAATGATGATTAAACAATTTATTTTGAACTTTCGACACAAAAAGATTTAAAATTTATGATTTCAGTCTAATTACTATTTAGTCGACATGTTTAATTTATGTCAATGATGACAGGTATTGATAATTTTGATTCCAAATATCTCGAAAACCATTACTCGTAGCGATTTTTACCAAGAGACCATTTTTATGTAAAAAAAGTCGCAAATGTATATTTTTTTACTCAGTAGTTTTATACCGACGTAGTTAGGTACCGACGAAAAGTTAGTACTCTTCAAAACAGTTAAAACACATGTAGGTGGCGCCACCTACAAATGGGAGTCGTATTGACATCAAAATCAAATTTCTCATGTCAAAAAACACCCATCCGCCAATTTTCATCCAAATATTGGCGTTACTTTAGAGATTATTTGGAAAAAATCGAAATAAAAATGAAATTTCTACACCCTGTATCTCCGAAACTAATCATTTTAGGACATACATTTATACGAACTTTTTTACTTATTTTTATCTGCAGAATATGCTGCCGAAGTTTCTGGAATACAATTCGGACCACCCTGTATATATTAATAATTATCAAAAACAATCTCTAATTCTTTGACTATGACTACGTAAAATCTGTTCAATGTGAGATGGAACGATTTCAACAAAAAACATCCAAAAATTGTACCCAAGAAAAAATAAGATTAAACCCAAGAAACTTACTTGTCGCCAATGAATAAGACGCGACTGGGATCAGTAATTCCATATTTCGATATCAACACATCCTTGAAAGCTAAACCAGGCTTTGCCATTTGAATACATTGCCTATTTGTCCATCTCTGAATACCATCTATATAATACTTTGAACCTAAATAGATAAAGAAATAAAATATGATTTAATAATTTCGAAAACCATATCTGGGAAAGTAACAATCCTATAACAAATGGTAATAATAAAATATATGTACAGGGTAGCTCGAATTCGACGCTCATCATTGGAATTCGGAAACCGTAAGAGATACAGGATCGGTTAAATGGAGGCAAAGTTGTGCAATTTGATGCTTAATAAAATGCCGTATTGCATTTTGAAAAATTCCGAATACTTCCGAATATATTCGAAAAAAAAACGGAATTTTCAATTTTGTTTTCTGGCTTTATTTGTTAAGATAACTTAAAACAAAAAACACATTTTCATGGCCACCTTTTTTTGCTCTATAACTCTGTGTGATTAAATATTGACTCTGGCGTTTCGGCTTCTGGCGACCATCATCAACTTAATTTTTTTAAATACGGACCTGATTTTTTTTCAATTTAATTAAATCCTTTCATCACTCTTAAAACACTATATATAGTCACTTTGATATTTGCCGACGTTTCGTACAGAAAATTCCATCACCAGAATATTTTATGCAAAAAAAATAAATAAAAAATAAAAATGCAATACGGCATTTTATTGAGCATCAAATTGCGCAATTTTTGCCTCCAGTTAACCGATCCTGTATATCTCTTACGGTTTCCAAAATCCCAATGATTAGCGTCGAATTCGAGCCACCCTGTACTGTTATAATTATACTAACATGTAATTTTCAGCAATCTAGATAAAAAAAGTTTTGTAATTATTGACCAATAGTACAGAGTGTCCCATTCCTGTGTTTTATGGGGTTTCTCGTTTATGAGTAGAGATACAAAGATGTGGTTTGCACAGAGAAAGAAAATATGATTTTATCATTTTGACATCATACTTTGGAGAGTAATAATCCTATGCTCTAACATGGGCAATAATAATTATACTGTAATATAATAAAATTATTGCCAGTAACAAAACTAGACGTCATTTTAATTTTATTATAGAGTGTATGTAAAAAATTCATCATACAGTGTCAAATATATACAAACCAAACCAGACTGATATTGAAACAAGATACAGATTTTGAAATACTTTAAATATAACAAATGTTCATTTTTTAATTCTCCATCTAACAAAAGAATAACATAGAGGGTGTTCCACTTAAAGAAAATCCGGATCCCGATCCACTCACATTTTTTGAGCCACTCTGTAGAAGTTAAAATATTTTCCTGAAATATACCTAACCTAACCTAACACATACATTAGGTGGCACTTATACAAAATTTCTAATTTTTTTATTATAGGAGCTATAGATGCCCGACGCACTGTTGCCGGGCCCGAATAAAGTTTTAGGACGACTTTGAACCGTGGCAACCCCTATTTACCGTAACTTTTTGATAGGCACCCTTATAACATTAGCAAATTATATTTCATAAAATAAAAATAGTTTCAGTACCTAGGTCGACTCAGCCTTTAAATGAGAACGCGGGATTCACAATCCTGAGGCAGTGGCGGACTAAGGGAGGACTAACGTCTTTTAGGGGGCCTGCGAATCTTAATAAGTAATTTTTTATTCAACTGGCAAACAAGGCCAATATGTGTTATAAAGTAGTTATAAAGCAGTTTGTAGGTGGAGTATGCAAACCATATGTATACGCCAACTATAAACAGTATAAATGGAAGCAGATATTTACTTAATTATCAATTATCGGGCCCCAGTAATTGTCAATGGCATTTTCTATTTAGGAAATTAAATCTAGCGGTAATTTTCCCCCTTTAAAATGTTGAATAATTATTATTTTTTATATATATTTTGAGACTGAATTTATTTATTTTAGTTTTGAAGTTATTTTTCAATGGTTTGATTATTTATTTTTACTGAATAAACATTTTAAATTACAATCAATGCACAGCATAACTTGTATTTCATTACTGATGATGAACAGTGAAGTCTTTAGTATAACGGGGGCCACGGGCCTGAGACAGCGAAGAGGCCCCTCGGATCTTGGAGGACTTACAAAATCGCGATATTTTGTCGCGGTATTTCCCTGGAAGCATTTAAAAAAAAAATATTTAAAATTTTTGGACGAAAAAAACTACCTACCTGTCAAGAAAATGTGTACGGCCTAAAAGTTAAATTTAGTGATTATCACAGCCCCTGTGACAAAGAAAAGACATGTGGCCTCGCATGTGGCTATCTATTTCAAAAATTAAATTGTTCAAATGTCACATAATAATGGCGGTAGCTGTCATGGAATTGAGCGATTAAAAAATTATCATAAATATTATTTTTTCAAATGGAAACCCACTTTTTTTATTTCACTAGTGAAGTTATTTAAGATTTAGTTTGAAAACGTATATTTTTCTTGATTTTATCTAGCTTCCTTTGAAATTAAATGTCAGGCAGACAATTTATTTCCATCTGTCAGAAAATGAATTATTTGAATTTCCTATATTATAACTACTGCTGCTTAAAAGTTTAAAAAGTGTATTTATATAACTATATCTCGTATTTTCGTTTTTTGGTTATATCTAATAGTTGATATTTTAATAATATACCGTACGATCGAAAAGAAAAACAGCGCAAAGTTAGCTTGGAAATGATGATCGATAATATACTGCCGCAGGCTACTGGTTAAAATCAAGAAAAATATACGCTTTAAAGCTAAATCTTAAATAACTTAAAAACGATTCATTTTAGGTACAGGAACATGTATAGTCAAAAAGTAACACATTTTAAAAACGAAAGTAACGAAAGTCTTTTCACGAGTGAAATAAAATAAGTGGATTTCCATTTGCAAAAAAAATGATTTATGATAATTTTTTAATCGCTCAATTCCATGACAGCTGCGGCCATTATTATATGACATTCGGACAATTTAATTTTCGACATAAATAGCCACATGTCTTCTCTTTATGGTGTGGTGGTGTCTTCTCTTTGTGGCTGTGACAATCACTAAATTTGACGTTTAGGCTATATACATATTTTTGACAGGCAGTTTTTTTGCTCTAAAAATTATAAATATTTTTTTTTCTCAAAAAAAATGTTAATGGTATTTTCTCCTTCCTATGTTACAGCAGAAAAATAAAACACTAATTCACCACAATACACCAAAATATTTACTTTTTCACGGACACGCGTTTCGCTAACCATATGAGTGAGTATATAAACGCTCAATTTGTAGATATTAGTTTAGTTTGTAGTTAGTAATCATCTGCTGATGATGCTAACATAGTTAGCGAAACGCACGTCCAGTGCAAAAGTTAAGTGTTTTGGTGTATTTTGGTGAATTAGTGTTTTATTTTGCAGATAATTACTTTCTGAAATTAAAATATGTGATAATAAACTGACCAAATTGTGAACCAACCAGTAAGCAACTTTGTCCTATATCAGTTTGTTTCCACAGGGATAGAATATATGGTATGTTTTTTATTTATTGCTTTAGGCAAAATTAGAGCAGTAGGAACAGAGAACTGGAAGGAATTGGGCCATTGTCTCTGTTCATACTATCTTTACAAATTTTGACGCTCTCATACGCATCTAATTGCCTGTAATTTAAGACTTGTTTAATTAATCTTAACTTTAATTTTAAATAATCTTACTTACTTACTTAACTTAACGTTAGGTATAGAGTGTTTAATATCAAAATTCATAAAATTTTACAGAGAATTTAAGTATGTAATAAAAAATGGGGTCACCCATTTAAGAGAATTTAGGTTCCTAAATCTTCTTTAGAAGCTTAAATCCATTTCAGAATCCGTTTTTAGATACTGTAGTTCTCTAGAAATCTCTAACGCAGGCTCAGCCTGGGACACCCTGTATAAATACTTGAATTTTGTCAACCATTATACATACGTCATTCAATTTTTACAAAATGTGCATTAAAAGTACTTCATTTTCTAAACAGACCGGGGGCCACATTTAGCTTCGCCGCCCCGGGCCCCCAACAGGCTTAGTCCGCCACTGTCCTGAAGTAATAATAGGCGGTTGAAGCGTAATGAATACCACATTACCTTCCTTGTATACCGAACGGCTCTAGTACGGCAAGCTGTACCTTGCTACCATAGATAAACGAAACAAGTTTAGATTGAAAAGTGCCCATAAGGACAATGTAAACACTATTTGGCGCTATTCTAGCAACGGTCGCGACCCAAAACTTTTAAAAATTTCGGAGCGGTTCGGCTTTTTCCGGAATTATATCGCCAAATATTGTTTATTCAAATTTATTATTATTTTCGTTTAATTTTATAAATAAAAGACAGTGTGTTGCATACAAGAAACTTTATTTTATATAAGGACGCATGTATGAAATACCTATGAAACATTGGAAACCGACGTTATGCCCCGATCCACGATGGTTTTTGCAGTTAACAGTTCACAGCACAGTTTTTTAAGTTTTCAATGCCACTTTTTCACAATTATCACCGGTTGGAGTAAATAAAACTTGAATTAAACTCACAAGATAGCAATTATTACTTTGAAAATGGACGCTATAAACACTTTTCGGAATTTCTTTAATGAGAGCGGTTTAGATTTTGAAAGAATATTATGATTTTTGAAGATTCTGACTTTGACAAGAGAAAATTATTTCTGTTTTTGTTTGCCGTTGTTCTTAGCGACCGCTATAGCAGCGCCAGATTGCGTATAACGGTCGCGACCCAAAATAATTTCGCGACCTAAAATTTTTACGGGCTTTCCAATCTAAACTTGTTGCATTTATCTATGCTTGCTACTCCCAAATATATACGGGAGCTGTTATTATTACCCTTATAACATCATGCACAGAGTAAAAATAGCTTTATTTGACATATAAATGATCAAAAAATTTTATGAACGTCATGTCATCTCCGAAATCAGTTATTATTCAAAGGTTATTATTATTAATTAATATGGAGGCTAGAAGGAGGAGGCGAATCGACAATGGGCATATTTGAAATTTCTGTCCCTACTTTAAAGCAAGTTTCTCGGTTTGACACCAGAGGCACTGTAAGCGCGTTAGATTGATCATTTGCATTGTTAGAATACGATTTAACTGTGTTTTTACTAGTTTTTTTTAAATTTATAGTTATTTTATTGAACTATTAGCAATGTAACAATGAGTGTCATTAAAAAAACCCTATATAATAGATCTTGCTTCGTACCTGGCTGTATAAGTGGGACTTACAGTGGAAAAAAGGCAAATAAAGAACGGGGTGAAAGAAACCCAAGCCTTTTCAAAGGTCCTAATGTAAGTGGTTTAACTATTTATTTAAAAAAATATGGATAGATGTTAAGAAAAACATTCAAATTATATACTGTCAGTGTACAGATTAATTTTAAATTCAAATTAATAGAGAATATAGCCTAAAATCAACATCTGCGTAACATAACCTAGGAGGCCTTGTTATAAAATAAAAATAATTTACCTACTAGATGGTGGCTAAAATTACCTGTTGATATGTATTAACCACCATTTGAACAGTGCTATTGAAAGTGAATTTACGCCAAAGCAATATAGTATTCTAATATAAAATAATTTACTTACCCGAGATGCTTCATTTAAATTGAAAAATAATGTACAGTGGTTGAAGGACTTTTGATTGTGTATATAAATCATTTAGAATAGTTTTTATGAATAAGCTCTTTAAATTAATATGTAGGTATATTGTAGTCAGGTATTTATTTAGAATGCATTTTTTTAAATTATAATTCTTTGTGTTCTTGATATAACATGTTCCTGTTATATTTTTTTGGTATAGATGCTAAATTGTATATTAAATTTATATACTGTATATTTTATTTATTAAATTTAGTGGAATTTAGTCAGTTAATAAAAACAAAAGTTGTAATGTATTAATATTGCTAAATAAATAAATATATGATGAAATAAGTCAGTGTATATACATATTTACATAAATTGAGTTCATTATTTATTCATTAATATTTTATTTACAAAAATTTACCTTTACAATTATTAGGTGACGTTGAATATAATACATCTTGAATTTAATTGTACTACGAAACAGTGACAATTTGCAAAACTTTGCTTATGACATTAAAACTTAAATTCAGAAAATCTAAAGAAAAAACGCTATTGGACACAGGAAACATTTCAGCTTAATGTACCTATTCTCTGGTTTCAGCTATAAAAAGTTATGGGATACATAACATTGATCAAAGGGTGCAACAGTAGTGTTCATCTTCACTTTCCATTGAAGTTCTTCCTGATAAAATACTTTTAATTTTCGTGATTCGGTTTCTGTCAATTGCGGTAAAAGCACTACTAGTTTGTTACGAAAGTTTTTAATGTTTATTAAAATGATATCACACTGAACTGCTTGTAAACATATCAATTTCAAATGTTTTTATGAAAAACGATTAAATCACTAACACAATCACACCATAAACTATTTAATTCGCATTTGTCATCAAGAAACAATTACTGTTTACATCAAATCAAAGGTTGAACTGGTGATATTTGTTGCTGGAAATTCTATCTTTTTTGTACAACAGTTATAGGGAAGATTTATTTTAGCAGCTTATATTCTTCTTCGGTCGTGTATGCACTAAAAGAACCATATAATGAAACAATTTTATAATAACAACTTAGAAAAGAATATCTAAAACCGGCATCTGATATAACCTAACTTCTAACTTACTTTTCAAACTCAAATTTAAGGTTTTGTATTCACAATTTTAGTCTCGACACCATTCGGCCAATAGAAAAGTAGCATTTCGGCGCATGTGCATTACATCCAGCTACTGAACAAGGATGGACTTATGTCAAACTCGATCTTCTGTCCTTCAATCCTGGGACATAAATTCTCTCATTGCTCTTATGGGGAGGCCGCGGTATATGTAAATTTAAATGTATTTGGTCGGATCACATGCGCCCCTAACGGCGATTTTCGAACTTCATTTAGATCTCAAAAACTGGGCCCATAATTTTTGCGTTCGATTCGCCTCCTCCTTCTAGCCTCCATATTAATTAAACATAGTTGCGGCAATTTTTTTATTGACACCCTGTTAAAAGTGTATTCCCCTATTCATAAATATATAAAAATTAAGTTTTAATTAAAAATATTATGACCTAATAATCCGGCAGCCGGATCTTAGACTATAACAAAATTTTAAAAATTGAGACTAAATCCTTGTAAAATTTAGAAAACGCTAATTAGGCTTCTTCGCAAGAAAGGCGACGATAAGTATAAATACTAATTTTCTGCAATCTTGATAAAAAAAAGTTTTGCAATTTTTAACCAGTCGCATGCTAGTCTCGTGGTAGGAGCAAAAACAACTGATAAAATAATTGTCAAATATTTATCTAGGGCTCATACATTTAGTTAAATATTGCCTTCGCACTAAATTAATTATTGTCTTCGCACACATGAAAAGTTAAATTTGGTTGGAAACAAATGACTTGCGTGATAAAAAACTATAACTAGCTCTCCCATTTATTGACGTGACATCTGTCATATGCAAATGTTCTCTCGATACAATAATTGTTCTCTCTAAAACTAATGCCAAAGTCAAATTTTACCTAAATGAAACTAATAAAATATCCTACGTGTTGCGGACTTTATCTGTGAAGCTGTATAAACAGATTCTCTAGATTTTGTAGACTTTTTCATGTAAATATTTTTATTTATTATACAGGGTGTCCCAGAAATAAGTGCAAGTATTTTAACTGGTAGTATATTTCAACCCCAGAAACATGCCTATACATATATGAGGTTTTTTTCGCGAAAAAAAATTTTGAAAATTCCAAATTTTTTGAAAAATTTTTTGGAAATTTTTTTAGTTTTTAGTTAAAAAAACATAATTTCTGGCAACATAGGTATTAGATTAAATTTACATGAAAGAAAATCCAGAAAAAATCCAGTGGTTCTCAAAATTTTACCTAAAAATTATTTTTTTTGGAAATTTTCAAAGTAAAATAACTCCGTTATTTTGGACTTACTTGAAAAACGATAAAGAGAAAATATGTTTCTTTTATCGAGATATACCACCCCTTAAAATACTTGCACTTATTTCTGGAACACCCTGTATAGTTATAGGTATTATAACTTCTAATATACAATGATTAAATCTAGCTGCCGGTAAGTATTGTTTAGATAGTCAAAAAACCATCATTGATTTTTATCTTACTTATCCTTAATAGTTATGCTGCAATAGACCACAAACCAATTTAAAGCAAACAATTTAAAGCGTTTTCTTTATTTACTTATTTCTCTGAGTCTATACCTACACAACATGTATTCCAGTAAGATTATATTCATACCATATTTGAGTTCAGTACTCTTTTTTGAGTCCTGGTATAATAAAAGTCCGCATATTTAATCTTATTAGATTTTTTGATTACTTAATATAATTTTAAGTAAGGCAAACAAAAAACGAGAAATTTCTGAATTGCACAATAGAATTACCATTATTCAGTTATTGCATTATATATATTTGATGTGAGATATGGTAGAGTATGTATTTGCAAAGAAATTTAAAAAGGAATAAAAACAGTTTAAAGTAAAACAAACTTTATAAGAGAAATATACAAAAGATAACAGTAAGTCTTGTGAAAATGAAGATTTCTAATACAAATAAAAACAGATCATTTTTAAAGGGGGTAAAAATTGTAATCCCTCATATAGTGCAGCTATAGTCTGTTCAACAAGAAAATATCATTATATAACAGCACAGTTTTCTGTAATTATAGTTCAAAAGTAAATGGATTTCTTGTACCAGAACAGTGACATCACTGTATGTGATATATCCACATGACCATTCTATCGAAAACTACTACATGAGTAACTAAGAAATAAATGTATATTTTTTGTTACTATAAAAATGGCTAGTTTAACTGAAAAATTCTGAGAACTCAAGAAATTGTTAATTTCTATTTTGCAGTTAATTGACTATTATTGTAAGATATGTTGAGATATAGACACAATAATTACGAATTCCTGTAACAAAGAGGAGTTTCCATAAATGTACGCCCTATAGTTTCTTCTCTACACTAGCATCTAATCAAGCAAACTTTGGATATTAACAGAAAAAGAATATTCTGATTATCTTCACTCTTACAATAAATATAGATTACAATTCGCTTAGCTGTCATCGTTCAACGCCTATTTAAACATAACGAAGAACATAAATCTGTCCTTGAGTGAAGTAAGACTAGAATTATTATCATAGTAGTCTTACCTACTGCTGTAAACTTTTTCGTCAAGGGTCCTATATCGTCTGTCAAACCACTCAGAAGCAGCACATCAGGATAGTGCTGCAAAATAGACGTGGCAATCTGAGAAGCCAAATGGTTGAAATTAAAGTCAAAACACAGTACCATGGCTCCCACATTTTTGCAAGAAGCCACCGTCTCCTCTATTAGTTCCAACAAGTGGCCATAGTTTTCTCCTTTGAGCTCATTATTCAAGTCCTACAACAATATAAACCATATGATATAAACAGCAGACTTTTGAATCGCACCATCACACGTGTGATAGCGTCGGATGGCGTGACGTGGCGTGGGCCTATTTTCTATGCAACACATATAATTAAATGGAAAAATATAAGCACACATCTTCGTGGCGTGTCGTGGCATGGCATGACGTGTCGTGGCATGGCATGGCGTGTCGTGGCATGGCATGGCGTGTTGCTAATGGGGTCCGGGTTTTAAATTATTAAAACTAAAAGAACTTTGGACTTCCATTGTCTTTAGTTATTTTGCTAACACAACGTTTCGGTCAGAAGTATCACTGACCATTATCAAGTGTGAACTAAACTAAATACAAAAAATCCAGAGCTTATAATCTGGAATGGAACCGATAGACAGATGGATGTTGGATTCCTTCCTCAATCATCTTAATTCATAAACAATTCAATCAGATTCACGATTGAGAACGCGGAAAACTTCTATCTACCGTTTCTGGATGTTCTTGTCAGTAGAAGCGATGGATCCATTAGCACTGCTGTGTATAGAAAACCAACACATACGGGACAATATTTAAATATTCTGAGTTAACTCAGTAGTTTTAGGATTTAGTTTAGTTTACACTTGATAAAGGTCAGTGATATTTTTGTGTTAGCCAAATAAATGACAATGGAGGTCCGAAGGTCTTTTAGCTTTAAGCAAAGTAAGAAAAATTACAATCTACACACCTCAAATCGTACAACGCTAAAACCAGCTTCGATCAGCATACTCCTTAACAAAGTGCTTCCAATCAAATAAATATCTTTGTTGAAATTGATATCCTTCAAAAATGAAACGACGACAGTATTGGGCGTATTGATTTCATCCTCTTTTGGTTCACAATGATCCAAAGTTTTCATTAACAACTCTACAGAAGAAAAAGTGTTATTTGTGACAAATCCGATACGTTTTCCTAACTTTCTCAATTTGGCAACGCACTCCTTGGCTCCTGGAATCGGCGTAGTACTCAATGTTAAAACTCCTAAAAAACAATAAATTATAAAATCCTGATATTTAAAATATTAATATATGGTAATATAAGGTAATAAATGAAAAATAGCAACAGTAACTATTAGTGGAGTGCTGAAGCCCTTATGGGATACAAACCTCGGAATTGATTTACTGTGAACGAATTTTTATAAAACTTTTTGCATTGTATTGTTAATAATATATATTACAAAGTTTACCCTTTTAAATTCGTTGCTTTCACTTTAGTATTTAATAAACACACATACACAAATGCATACATACAAGATGGCTCCGTGTTCCGAAAAAGCTCTCTATCAGGATTCCGATTTGAGATTTTCACTCCAAACCTTTTACAAAATATGTGTTTAATAAGAGTTCACATTTAAAACATATTTTTATAGATATACAGGGTGAGTCAAACATATTTTTACACTTAAGTTTTAGTTTTTCAAATGAAATGCTTTATAATTGTTTAGTTCAGAGAATTTGCTATAAAATTCCGTTTCCAAAAATACCTTACTACCATAGAGTATACTGAGTGGTTTTTGAATTATGACCACGTCCTTTAGGACGTCAATCTAGACGTCCGGAAATCTTCGTATGAGAACTTATAATCGAGACGATCGACTTATTGTAAGTTTATCTCTAAGAAACCGCCCGCGCCGTTTGCCAGCTTTTCAAATTTATAATGAATTGCACCTAAGGACGGTACATATTACCACAGATATTACCTAACGGACTATAAGAAGAAGACAAAATGAAGCAAATCTTATATCAAGAAGGCCTACTTCGGGACCAGAAGTTACTAAATTTGTTGACTAGGACGAAGAGCAAAGGCATGCTCTTAATGTAAATATTAAGAAAAAATGTTAATGTCTTCTTCAAAAGCGAATATCTCCAACAAAAATAAAGCTAATGAGATGAACCAAAAAACAAACTATCGAGAAAGGATGTATCTAGAATCTAGATGATAAAGTGATGTTTAAATTTCTTGCTATTTTAACATATTCCACAGGGTGTTTCAAACTTTCAGCAAAATATCAACATTTTGTTTTCCCTCGTATAATTAACAGATAATAAAGAGTTTAATTTTTAATTTAGAAAGAGACACTAAAAAGTCAAATAATTTGGCTACATACATACTGCTTAAAAAATCACCAAAATCGGTCCACTAGAACAAAATATATTAATCTTTAAAATACATTATCAAAGCTTTGAACTTTGAAATGAAACTCGCTTTTATTTTTTTACTAATATCCAAAAATCAATTAATATATAGGGCGTTCCATTACAAAAAATACAACTTTGATGTGTAACTTCTTTTGGGGACACCCTGTAGAACTCTATATAATTTTAGAAAATGCCTTAAACTGACCTTACAGAAGCTCACAAAATTTCACTTCAAACAAACTTTTGTTCTCCTTGCGAAAACCGCGTCGTATATGACGCGCCACCCTGTATAATTCGATTTCAATCAAAATTTAAGCAGAATAGGCAGAATATAAGAATATAAGCAGAATAGGTATAGCTTATGCATTAGAATCATTTATTTCAATAACTTTACTTAGGAAAAAAAATAAAAATTAAGAAAGAAATAACTAAGTAAGAATTTACTAAAATTACTAAAATAAAAAATTAAAAGCAACGAAAAAAAAATGGGTAAACATTTTAGTATTTTATCTACCGGGTGCGTCTCAAAAGTGGCTCACCCCTATAACTTTTGTATTTTTTCAGATAAAAAAACGAGATTTGGTATGTTAGTATATGACATAAATTAGGATTGACTGACTTATTCAATTGTTTTTGGTCACTTCCTGTTTCACCGGAAATGAGTACAACTTTTGATTTTTAAATAGCACCCGGGTATATTTTTCTTTTATTCAATAAAAAATGTCACTCTGAATAGAATGACATACAACATGTCAACTTTTGACATTTTTGCTTTAAAAAAAATCGTATTTTAAATTTCAATCTCGAGCGCCATTACTCATTTTTAATCAAAGAGCCTTGGAAAAATGGTTTTGATCATCTAATGTGTCTTGTTCTAGCGGGTCAAAAGATGCCCAAATCGTATTTTTAATCATATCTCAATTTTTTCAAATGGAACGAGGGTGGCTCATTAGCGTATGTGGAAAAAGTATTTTTTTACGAATAATTTGGTACCGCACACTTGGTATTTCGAGTCAAATTGTCGTTACGATCCGCATGTTACAATTTCAATTAATCCATATGAGAAAATGTCAAAAGTTCTACTCAGAGTGTCATTTTCTATCGAACAAAGCACAAAATTCCGAGGGTGCCGTTTAAAAATCAAAAGTTGCAGTCATTTCCGTTGAAACAGGAAGTGACCGAAAACAATTGAATATGTCAATCAATCCTAATTTATGTCATATACTAACATACCAAATCTCGTTTTTTTATCTGAAAAAATAAAAAAGTTATAGGGGGTGAGCCAATTTTGAGACGCACCCAGTAAAAAGGCAATACAAAAGGTTTCACATTAATACATTGACAGTAATTGAATTCCGAGGTAAAAGACTCTGGACCACTCCACTATATATTACAAAATCAATATGTTACCCAAATAATAAGAAGAAAATTAAAAACATGATGTTTAAGAAAATGATACCCAGTAATTTATTTAAAAACGAATAGTTGCTGTTTGATTTAATCAATTCAAGATTGCAGGAATGTAACCGATAATTGTAATGAAGAAAAAGCCTCCTAATAAATACAATTATTAAAATGTATAAATATGTTTTATGTAATTTCGTTAATAAATTATTAAAAATTTATCTAACTAAGTCTTAATTACCATCTACATCAAAAAATACTGTATCTATCGACTGTATCAATTTCTTTAATTCGTTTTCACTAATTTCACTTAAATATTTAAAACTAGACATCGTCTTAACTTCTAATAGACGATAATATTCACACTGAGAATAAAAGCAGCCTCTTTGTGACTGGTGTGTTGTATATTAAAGATATTATTTAAACAGCTCAGATAACAAAAATAGACTAAGTCATTGAGGAAAATTAAGCATCACTGTACGAACAGTAAATTTATTTGCATAATTTTAGTACAATGTACTTATTTATTGTAATGATGCATGTAATAGGTGTTTTTTATAAACGATTATGTACCTAGTCTGATTGACACTTATGCTTTAATTGGAATATTTTAATAAAAAAAAATTAATTAATATACAGAGTAGTCCAAACTGTATTCCGGAAACTTCAGCAGCATATTCATATGCAGATAAAATAAGTAAAAAAGTTCGTATAAATGTATGTTCTAAAATGCTTAGTTTCGGAGATACAGGGTGTAGAAGTTTCATTTTTACTAAAACTATCAGACACCAATTTTCATCCAAATATTTGAGGATACTATTCATAAATTATTTGGAAAAAATCGAAATAAAAATGTTAATCTTCTACACCCTGTACCTCCGAAATGAAGCATTTTAAGTTTATACAAACTTTTTTGCTTTTTTTTCTGTGCAGAATATGCTGCCGAAGTTTCCGGAATACAATTCGGACCACCCTGTATAATCGGTATTAACTACATGCAATTTAAGTTCAATATAATGCTATAATCTATAATACCGTATGATCGAAAAAAAACGGCGTCCAGTTGGCTGGGAAATGAACATCAATGACATTTCCCATATAAATTTACATATAAAATGACAGCGATCTTCATTCCATAGCCATCGCTGACGCCGTTTTTTCTCGATCATACGGTATAATATATTATATAATTTTAATTGCTTACTTTTGTTATTAAACTGACTGAACTAGTATAAATAATATCTCGAGTTATTCATTACATAAAAAAAAAGCTTAGTTCATGGTGCAATAAATGATAATAGAGAAAATATAGTCTGGATTATAAAATCATATTGTGCAACCTGTATTTTTTGTATATACAGTGTACAGAGTACTTTTTCGGGTAATATTACGGACAAAACTAAAAAAATTTCACCGAGTATTGAGCTCTTAATTATTGATATCAATTTAGCTTCTAAAGCAGATCATGGCTACTTTGATTCCTATTTGAGCAACAGGGTATTTTTGAAAATTTGTCAATTGCAAAAAGTGTTTGAATCTAAGTTTTGGTATAGAATTTTCAATAGAATTCAGTAGCGTATGTTTATTTTTTCTGAATAGCCCAATTTTGAACTTATGACACAAACTTACTTTTTTTAATGAGACACCCTGTATACTGTTTAACAAATCAGTTTGGAATTAAACTAGCCAACATCATCAGAAGATGATTAAAACAATTATTCTATATAGTTATCTGTAATGATGATGATGATGAAAAGCGCTGATCATGCGTCCCAAGTTTAAAATATAAGTGTTTTAATGTGCGGTGGCATTCGTGGTAGATTTATGCAACATTCTTCTTCATTATTTTCAATAAAATGTAATGCGAATAAATTGTTTATTTATTTTTATTTTTATTTTAAAAAACAATTAAAGTTAAAAGAACTAAAGTGAAACTCATCTAATGGATCTATAGGGACTATATCTAAATCAGAGATATGGAAGTGGGAGAATGAGCTTCGACGAGTGCGCATCCAAATTTTTGTCGACGGCAAGATGGCAGACATCTTCCAGGTCTCGCTGTCACTTCCCCTCTTTAATTGACATCTGTTTGTTTTGTTTTTTTTTTTCGTTCGTGTTGTTATCTAGTTAAAATTTATTATTATCTCAATCAGAGTCTCAATTATTCTAAACACTAATTCAAAAAGGCTTATTGTATATTGTCATAGTCATTCTAAGAAAGCTAATACGCCGGGAAAAATGATTAGTTTTCATGTGTAAGTTTATACAACATAATCGTGTTTACAGATGATCCAAAACTGTTTATTTTTAGTTTTCCTAAAGGCGATTTGTAAAAATCGTGATTGTAATTGGGATTGGTCAAAAATAAGTGTATGATGTGGCCATTTAAAGAGGATGTTTTTATTATGTGTGGAGGAAGAAGATACTTGGAATCAATGTTCATGGTTCTGTAAAACAGTGCACTCTTATAGTGTCCATGAAAGCACAAGTTCAAGTGTACCAGAAATATGTCAAATAAGATTGGTCTTTACTTGACAAGAAGATTATTTGGAGGAAAAGAAAACATAAGATAGGGTATTTTAATCGAACAGCGAAAATTTAACATTTTTATTGTAAAGTTTGTTGTAGGTAGTTGTAGTTTTGTGCTAAATATTTCTAACATTAGCAGCAGCAGTGTTCAGAGTGTCAAGAGGAGGAGAATTCAGTTAATTAGATTTATGCACAGTTACAGGTATGAAGGCTTTTTCAAACATAGTATGAAGTTCTATAGTCAACATTTTTAGTATTCCTACAACTGTAAAAACAAGGAACATTGAACTGAAAAAATGGCAAGATTTATATAGGAAGAAAGGGTATTATGCCAATAAGAAAATTAAATCTGTAGGCAGAAGTTTCTTATTTAAAAACTGTTATGGGGCATATATTAATTTGTATCTGTGCCACAAATCACTGTGAAAAATCATATAATATTCATAATTGTTAACGAGATGATATTTAAAGAGTATTAAAAATGAGACTATTAGTCATGAAACTTACAATGTGACTTTGTTTCAATATTACACTTTTATTCTTGTAAAATCTATGATGAAGTTCAAAAGCATTTTGCAATGGCCTTAAATTGTGAGCCAGGATTTATAGCAAAGGTATTTGATGCAATGAAACTTAATCGGTACCTTCCAGTATGTATTTTAGTAAGGGGATTGTCAATCCCATGTTTTTAAATAGATAAAAAACAGGCCAAAGTTGACAATATTACAGTTGAGAAGAAACTATTTTATCTTAAAAATTTCTTAAAATTCTGAGATCATATAATCTAATTTTCTTAATAATAAATTAGGTATATGTATGTTGTACATACAGAATTTTGTTATGGACAAATAAGGATCGACAAGCTTCTTTTGTGCAAAAAATAAATGATTTTTTCTAGTATTACGACAAACCATAATGAGTTTTACATACTTACCGGTAACAGTTTTTTTTATAATAAAATATTTAGGAATAATTTGGGTTGTTTATCAATATATTAATGACTTGAATTTTGACAAATTGAATTTGTATTAAAATAATTTTACGAAATATAAAATTGATGTTCTATTACAAGATTGAGTTTTTATTGTCCACAAAAGCCAGGATAAATACTAATAATAATACCCTTAATAAAATCAATGATGTTTATGTATTATGAAAATATTTGTCAGAGAACATATTATGTAACAGTTTTTGAAACACAATTTGAAGGGACGAATAAAAAAAATAAAGCAAAAACATATTTTTTCTAGGTTTATATTAAAAATACAAGGTAGGTAATCATCAAAAATAATTATGAACTAAATGTTTTTTATGAATATACAACTTGAACAAAAAATTGTTTAGAACAATTTTTACCAAATTTGCAAAAAATTTAAATTGAAACGCGTAATTCAGTACAAGTAAACATGAAATATTGTAAATACTTATTTAATATCATTTCGAGTGTTTAACGACGAAAAGGTCATCTGTCCGTAGCGTCTTTTGTCAGAATATTCGTATATTTAGTGTATTATATACCAATATTGTACGCAGTTTTGAAACTGATAATTAAATAAATCATATTAATGTTAACTAACCATAATAAATGATAGAATTTCACTAAATTTAAATTGCCTCCCGTATAGTTGAAAACAGCAAATTGATATTTGATTACTTATAGATTACCACCTATATTCAAAATGACAGGAAGACCTGGAATATGGCGCCCAACTTGATTAGACCTTCTGCGCATGTTGACGCATATTCTCTATCCCTTCTATTTCTCTGATCTAAATGAACTGTATTTATTAAATGTAATTTCTTTAAATATATTAATACGCCCTTCTAAAAAAGAAGGGTGTGTAGAAAATAAATCATATTTATTAATTATCCCTGGTATTTCAAAATAAGTAGTTATGCAACTAAAAATACATAAAATGTTAAAATAATCATATAAATTATAAACTTTCCTTCCTAGATCATATATTTCGTTCTCTGCTAGTTATGCTAGTTACATGGCCACGTGTCTTTTCCATGCTTTTTAAACATTTATAAAAAGATGACAAAAAGAACCTAACCAAAGAAAACTAACCTGTAAAATGTCAGTGAAAGATGTCGTGTTTTGGTTTGTTTGGTTTTCTTTATAATTTTTAATAATTACTATATAAAAACTTAAGATATCAATAATTTTAATGTACTTTATATATAAGACATAAAAATGGTGAAAGTGAAAAATCATAAACGGGTCTCGGTGGAGCAGATACAGAAAAAGAGACAAAATCAAAATGCCAAGAAAACTTTAAACCCTTTCGAAGTCCACATAAATAAAGAGAAAATGCGAGTTTTAGGTAAAAAGGCAGCTAATCAAAGAGGTGTGCCGGGAATCTCCAGAGCGAAAGCTATTCAAAAACGAAAACATACATTATTGCCTGAATTTAACTTGCAGCATAAATCGAATAGATTTTTAGACAAACGAATCGGAGAAAAATCGAAAATGTCCAATGAAGAAAAAGTAGCGGCTAGATTTGCAGCATTTAAAGCAAAATCTCATAACAGAAAGAGTATTTTTAACTTATCAGAGGAAATTTTAAGTCATAGAGATCACACATTAAGTGAAATAGAAAAATTTGAAAATCTGCATTCAGATGATGAAGAAAGTGATAATGAAAATAATACTGGAAAACTGGATTCTGATTTTGTAGAAGAAGCTCATTTTGGCAATGGAATGTTAACAAACACTGGCAGAGAGGGCGTAAAAACACATAAACAACTTATAGAACAACTAATTGAAGAATCGAAGAAACGTAAAGCTGAACAGCAAAAGGTTAAAGAAGCTACATTAGAATTAACTGAAAAGTTGGACAATGAGTGGAAGGATCTAGTTCAATTAGTTAGCAAAAATACTAAAAAAGCAGAAGAGAAAGATCAAGAAAAGTCTAAAGTTGATGACTATGATAAATTTATGAGAGAACTAAGATTTGAAGCTAGGGGAACAGTGTCGGATCGATTAAAAACGGAAGGGGAAATTGCACAAGAAGAGAAAGAAAAACTGGAAAAGCTAGAACAAGAAAGAATTAATAGAATGAAAGGCACTATAGAAGATAATAATACAAAGACAAACCATAGAAGTGCTGATGATCTCGATGATAATTTTCTTATTGAATCTGATGTGGAAGATAACACATTATCATACAGTACAAGTGGACAAGCTAATGTTGAAATACAAGCTGAAATAAATGGGAAAATTGTTGGAGAAGATCCAAGTGAGAATACAGAAAATGAATCGAATTCTGAATCAGATGATGAAGAAGGAAATGAAGAATCAGAAGACGAATCGAGTTCAGATGATTCTCTAACTGATTTAAAGGAGAAGGATGACAGTAGTGATAACAGTGAGTCAGAAGAAGATAATTCTAAAAAAATTGAAACTAAAAACAACAAAAAGAAAAACAAAATTGAAATTGAAAATACTGAATATAAAAAAATTAAAGTTGATTTAAAAGATACTGTAACTATCATTGATTCTGATGAGAAGGCATGTCCTAAGAAGAATCGAAAAGAAAAGGAAAAGAATAAAAGACCTTCAGATTTGGTATCCAGTGGTAATATATGTAAGAAATTAAAATCTGATATTACCTCAGAACACGTTAACAAAGACATTTTAGAATCAGAGACAAATGAATTAGAGAAAGTGGGTAATGAGCTTCCTTTTACATTTAAGCTTCCAGAATCTTATGAAAATCTTATGGAAACATTTAAGGATAAGTCACATACCCAACAAAAAATTATATTGGAAAGAATGATTAAGTGCAACCACCCCAGCTTAGCGCAAGGGAATAAAGAAAACTTGGGTGTTTTATTCGATTATCTTTTACAATACTTGAACGATCTTTTCTCAGAGATTGAAAATACTAAAGACTTAAAAGAAAACTTTCAATTATTCAAGTCTCTTATGCCTCACATTTACGATTTGGCTCAACTGAATCCCGAGAATACCCACAATTCTGTTCTAGAAGTAATCAAGGAGAAACATCAAGAGTACAGAAAGAAAAAGAAAAGATATCCAGGCATTGAAGTACTGATATTTCTGAAATTAGTGAGCTTGCTGTTTTCAACATCAGATTTTAGACATCAAATTGTAACTCCCTGCTTTGTTTTCATAGAACAAATGTTGAAAAATTGTTCAATCAAAACTGCAGGAGATATTTCATATGGATTGTTTTTGTGTACTTTGATTTTGGAGGTAAGTTAACTAAGTAGTATACACAGGGTGAAAAAGTGTTCTGAAAAAGCTCTATATCAGTCTGCTGGTTTGAGATTTTTACTTAATATTTTTATTATAAAATATACAGGCAATAATTTTAATTTAATAGACACATTCAAATATACAAATTCAAATATCTTCTACATATATAAAACGCTAATGTTTATCTGTGTCGTCTCTACTGAAGTAACGACTTGCTCTAGAAAGTTGCTTTTTTTACTAAAAGATAGCTAATTGGCTGTTCTAAAAACTGTCGTCGTCGGATTTTTTGTTTTTCATTTAATTAAACAAAAAATAAAAAGTATTTTTTTTTTCCTGATGTCGTGGCGGATGCGCCAGGTTTCAACTAGTATTTTATAAAGTTTTATATTTTTAAAATTAATGCTATACCGGGTCCATCTCAAAAGTGGCTCACCCCTATAAAATTTTTATTTTTTTCTCAGATAAAAAAATGAGAATTACTATGTTAGTATATGACATAAATTAGGATTGATTGACGTATTCAATTGTTTTTGGTCACTTCCTGTTTCACCGAAAATTACTAGAAATTTTCATTTTTAAATGACACCCTCGGTATTTTTTTACTTTATTCAATAGAGAATGACCCTGACGTTTTTCGCATATGGTTTATTTGAAATTGTAACATAACGACAATTTCACTCGAAATACCAAGTGTGTGGTACCAAATTATTTGTAAAAAATGCTTCTTCTAAATATACTAATGAGCCACCCTTCTTCCATTTGGAAAGATTAAGATATGATTAAAAATACAATTTGGGCATCTTTTAACCAGCTAGGACAAGACACAAAAAACATTAGACGATTAAAACAGATTTTTCCAAAGCTTCTTCATTAATAAAAAATAGTGTCACACAGCCATGGCATTCTAGATTGGAATTTAAAATACCATTTTTTTTAATTGAAAATATCAAAAGTTGACATATGATATGTCACTCTATTCAGAGTGTCATTTTCTATTGACGAAAGTAAAAATATACCGAGGGTGCAATTTAAAAATCAAAAGTTGTAGTCATTTCCGATGAAACAGGAAGTAATCAAAAACAATTATTGAATACCTCAATCAATCCTAATTTATGTCATATACTAACATACCAAAACTCGCATTTTTATCTGAAAAAATGAAAAAGTTATAGGGGTGAGCCACTTTTGAGACGCACCCGGTATAAATATATAAATGTTTTAATCAATTTAAAAATGAATTATGTATAATAAAATATTAATTATGTTTTTTTTGTAGTATACTTCATTGTCTAACAGATATCTTCCAGTCACTATTAATTTCCTGTCAGGCATTTTGCACATGGCAATACCAAAAACTGGAGTCAAAATAATAAAGGCACCGCCTCCATTTAAATCTTTATGCAGTGACTTAGTGTTAACAAAGAAAAAGTTAAAGTTCCACCCAAAAGACAAAATACACATAAGCAGTTTGATTCTACAAGATATTGAAGTTGAATTTAAGATTTCAGCATTACATTTGTCTTTGAAGCTACTAAGAGAATTTAAAGATGTATTTAAAAGTTATTCTAGTAACGTTGAGATTTTTGACAATGTAGAAAAATATATCAATCAGATTCCTTGGCATTTATACCCTGATGAAGTTAAATCTGAACACAAAGAATTCTATGATAGTTTGAATCAGCTGAAATCAGAAAGGAAACTTCAATATTTAATTATGGAGGAGAAGAAACCAAAAGCCTTAAGGTTGTATGAACCTAAAATCGAGACAGTGTAAGTTAATTCACTTATTATTTTATTATATCTTCTTTTTTAACTTTACATTTTCTATTTTTTATTAAACTTATTATATAGGGTCCGGCAATAGTGCGTCGGGCATCTGTAGCTCTTAGAATAAAAAACTTGCGAATTTTGTTCAAGTGCAAACCTAAAGTATTTAGGAAAATATTTTAACTTCTTCATGGTGGCTCAAAAAAGTGTGAGTGAATCGGGCTGATTTTTTTTAAATTGAACATTCCGTATATTATTGCATTTTTGGCTTCCTTTCAGATCGCTTTACATAGTCCTAAGATATGGGTAAATATGTTTCTACCGTTTCAGAGATAAATAAATAAAAAATATATTTTTTCAATCTTTTAAAAAAAAAATATTAAAAATACAAGAACAGTCCTGATATCAAAACTATATTAGGTATTTATTTTAGAGTACTATTTTTACTTAGTTTGCTATAATTTGCGTAATCTTAAATCATACAGAATGTTCAAAATTCTACGCCAAACTTTCTAAAATATAAAACAATTTTTCTTGGTTTTTTTTTAATGGATCACCATGTATATTATTTTTTAATAGATGGAGAATTAAAAAATGAACCTTTATTGTATTTAGAGTATTTCAAAATTTTTAATGGTTTGACAGATATTCGCGGTTTTATATTTCAAATGGCATTTTCCACAGTAAATTTTTATCAAAGCCACCCAATGATTTTTCTCTTGTATTATAACGCGAGTATCAGCGAAACTGTTAAAAAATTTGAAATACTCTCTCTTAAATATAAAAAATGTTTATTTTTTAATTCTCCATCTAATAAAAAAATAATATACAGGATAATCCGTTAACAAAAACGAAGAAAAATTATTTTATATTTTACAAGCGTGTACCCGCGACTTTGTTCGCGTCGAATTAATCACTTGTAATGGTGATGATACAGCAAAGCAAGAATTTCCATTAACATACAAACTGAATAAAATGTTCTCACATTTATGTCAGCATAGCATGAGAAAAAACAATATGGCGATATTATTATATAACTTGGTAATATTTGAGGGGTACTTTCATCTCGTTGGAATTTGACTTTCAAAAAATCCGTTTGCCAAAAATAAGCTTTTTACGTCAAGCAGTTTAAGCAGAATCGTGGTTAATCAATTAGGTACCCAACTTTTTGGAACACCCTGTATGATTTAAAAAAAAACAAAATATGTAAAAAAACAAAGTAAATTATGCGTGTCCAAGCGTTTTCCCGAAAGACTAACCGTTTTTTAAATAACAAATATTGTAATATTTGAGGGGCGTTTTTACACTCTTGGAATTTGAGATTCGAGAAACCACTCCTTATCGAACCTCTACACCCCACAGTCAATCCGTTTGCCAAAAATCAGCTTTAAAAATCAAGCAGTTTAAGCAGAATCGTGATTACTCAATGGTTATATTTTATGAAACACCCTTTATAAATTTTTAAAAAATCTTAATATATGTAAAACTACAAAATAAAATATACGTGTTTAAGAGTTTTCCGAAAAAATATTCTAATATTTGAGTGGTGGTTTCACCCCTTAAAAATTCGAGTTTCGAAAAATCCCTTCTTATCGAACCTCTACACCCTAAAGTCAATCCGTTTTCCAAAAATCAGCTTTTTACGTCAAGCGCTTTAAGCAGGATCGTGATTAATCAATGACCAGATTTTTCAAAACACCCTGTATAAATTTTTAAAAAATCTTAGAATATGTAAAAAAACAAAATAAAATATACGTGTTTAAGCGTTTTTTCGAAAACTTGACCGTTTTTTAAATAAAAAACATTGTAATATTTGAGGGGTGGTTTTGCCCCCTTGGAACTGGAATTTCAAAAATCCCTTCTAATCGAACCTCTACACCCTAGAATCAACCTGTATGCCAAAACTGAGCTTCTTACGTTGAGTGGTTTGAGCAGGATCGTGATTAATCAGTGAGTCAGTCACTTAAGGATTTTATATATTAGTATTGATAAAGTTTGATGTAGAATTTTGAACACCCTGTATGATTTAAGATTACGATATTTATAGCAAAGTATAGACCATCTAAAGTAAATACCTGATATAGTTTTGATTTCAGGACTGTTCTTGTATTTGTAATAATTTTTTTTAAGAAAAGCTGAGAAATATATTTACTCATATCTTCGGATTATGTAAAGTGATCTGAAGGGAACTCAAAAATACAATAATATACAGGGTGTTCTATTTAAAAAAAACTATTCCGATCCACTCACGCTTTTTTAAGCCACCCTGTAGATGTTAAAACATTTTCTTGAAGTACATGCTTTAGGTCTGCACTAAAACAAAATTCACCAGTTTTTTATTCCAAGAACTACAGATGCTCGACGCACTTTTGCCGGACCCTGTATGTATAGTCTATTATACAGGGTGGTACAAATTGTATTCGGGAAACATCGGCAGCCCAGTCTGCAAATGAAAATAAGTAAAAAGTCTGTATAAATGTATGTTCTAAAATGCTTTCTTTAGGAGATACAGGGTGTAGAAGTTTCATTTTCTTTTCTTTTTTTCCACATAATTTCTAAACTATAGTCTATATTTGGATGAAAATTGGTGTCTGGGTGTTTTTTGACATGAGAAATTTAATTTAAATGTCAATATGACTCCTACTTATAGGGGGCGCCACCTACATATTTTTATCTGTTTTGAAGAGTAATAACTTTTCGTCCGTACCTGCATAAAACAACTGCGTGAAAAAAATATACATTTCTGTCGTCTTTTGCGTAAAAATCGCTACGAATAGTTAACAGTTCTCAAGATATTTGGAATATAAATAATTATCAAGATACAATATGGTAATAATTGTCAAAAAATAAACATATGTTGACTAGATACTTATTTGATTTATTAATTAATCATAAATTTTTCTAGAAAAAAAATATGATGAAATAGTTTCTGTTGAATATTCAATATAATTTGGACCACCACTGTATAAGATTTGCCCAACAAGACAGATAAAATTTCGACAGACAACATCCAAAAATTGACAGAAAATTCTATTTACTTGTGTATTAAAATGACACGCAACTAACATACTCATAAACAATATGAATATAAGTAATTATTAATGTATATGTCACAGGCAGATCGAATAACTAGGCATTTTGCAAAAAGACTAGGCATATTAGAAAACGCCGGCGTGAAACAAAAGAAGGATATTTTACTTAAAAGAAGGATTTATTTAAAATGCCTAATGAAAAAATTATCCAACTAAATTTATCCAACAACATTTCTTGAATTTCTCTTGAAAAATTAGGAAGTAATGGCACAAAAAGTGATAACTTTTTTAAATAGAGTATGATTAAGGACGATTATTATAAAGATATAAATTCATTTTGTTCTTTAAGAAAGCAAAGTTTCACAAATAAGCAGCTCTATACACAGAATCGAATTACAGAGAATAATAATTAAATGAGATATTAATATTAAGGTTTTAATATATTTTGTATTTAAAATTATGTTACTTATAATTATTATAATTCATCAAATAGGGTTCAAGTTAAGTTCACAATAAAATTTTGACATAAATTATTGTTTTTGTATAAGAAAATTTATTATTTATTTATCAAAGCGTAAATTATTCAATATGCTTATGCTCATAATTGACTACACTTTGATTATTTTTTGATCTGCCTGGCCTCGATTTGGAATTTTGTAAAATGACTGAAAACAGGCAGTCTTTATGCAGAAATGAACAGAAAATATCGTCATTGTTTAATATACCTAATTCTAATTAGGCTTTTTGTAAAAAATCGTTCCTTTGTTTAAAAAGCCGGATATATTTTTATATATTTATTTTCATATAGGTATGATGGAAAGCGGCACAAAGTACAATCAAGAGAAAAAGCTGAGAGGGATAAACTACATCAAAAACTTAAGAAGGAAACGAAAGGAGCTATGAGGGAAATTAGAAGGGACAAAGCTTTCTTGGGTAGAATTAAGCTGAACCAACGGATACAAAGGTATTTTATTTTTTTAATTCGCCACAAATACATTTTAATAATACTTGTTTTATTTGTTTAGCGACCTGGAGAGAAAACAAAAAGTCAACAGAATATTTGCAGAAGCGGCAACGCAACAGTCTGAACTTAACACTTTGGATAGAAAAAATAAGAAAAAGTAGATATAAAAAATATATATTATATTTGTTTTTAATAAAAATTTTATTTAAGAATTAACATTATTGATTCCTAATATAGTCCAGTAAATGAAGGTTTTTTTCGTGTCCTTATTTACTGGATTAATAATTTAATAAGCATTATGCAATATTCTTGGTGAAAGAAAACACATCTGAATCCAGTCAACATTAGAAGACCCAACTTCACAAAGATTTTCTTCCGGCATTAAAACAGATTTTTGGAAAATTGCATTTTTATAAACTGTTTTCTGCTTCCACAAACTGTAATATTTCTGTGTTAAAAATAATTCTCTGTGAAGAGATTTAATTTTTTCCTGAAAAAATTGTTCGTTTTTCTTAATTCCACCTAAAACCATTACTTGAAGACCTTCTTCAATCAAGCTATCCTTATAAAATTGTTTTGCTTCAACAAGTTTTTTCTTAAATTCTTCATAATATAGCCAATTAAATCTGATTTTATTGAAGGATGTTTTTAATAACATATTTTTATAGAAAATAACAGCTTTATGATACAAAAGTTTCCTATTTTTTCGATATTCTGTGTAATATTGCATTTGTAACATCGAATTTTGCAATATATTTCGTTTATGGAAACCATAAGCCTGGATTTTTTGGTAATTTCTGTTGCTCTTATAAGTCGTATATAAACGCCATTTTTTGAAACTATATTTAAGCTTGTTATAATTAACAATATTTATTATCTGTTCAATTCTGTTGTTTTCTTGTATTCGTTTTTGAATTTGTAATTGAATAATCGTTTTCCATTTAACAAGCGTAGTTTTCTGTAACTTCGTGTTGAAATATTTTTCTATGAATTTATATTTCAAAAGTTTTGTTCTTCTGTTTTCTGTATAAAGTCTCCATTTTTTAAAACATCTTTTTAGAATATTTAAATTTTTTTCAGTCATTTTACTTTTAATGTATTTCATTCTTTTATTGTGCTCTCTCACCATTCTAAAGCAATTTGAAATCAGATTATGCTTGAAATTAGCTTCAGCTATAAGAAAGTTATGCTTCATTTTCTTTTTTTCTTTTAGATAAATTAACCACTTATTAAAGGTTCTTTTAAGAAGTTTATTTAAATAAAATTTTGCAATTTCTTTGTATTTTAGTTTTTTAAATAATCGATACGTTTTATAAGAAAGTAATTTATTAAAACATTTCCGAGTCAACTTCATTTCGTAATCTTTTCGGGCTTTTACTATAGAACGGTTATTTTTTCGCAATAAAAATATCCAAGCTCTCCATTGATAAAAATATGTGCGTAACATTTGAGGATAGTTCTTGAATTTAAAAAAGTTCCAAGAAAACTGAAGCTGTTCTTTCTCATATAATTTACATTTTATTTTGAATATCCATTTTTTGAAAAATATGTTTTTGATCATTCCATCACAAATCTTTTGATAGTGTACTACAGCGATCTCTCGTTTTATTAGATATTGCATTCTACTTTGATGGTATATCTTCCATATTTTAAAGTATTTTTGTTTGGTGTATAAATTGTAGTGAATATCTGCCTTTAGGATATGTTTCCATTCAATAGTCTCCTCGTACCAGTACGATACCCATTTGGAAAAGTATTGTTGCAACAGTTTTTCCAGATAAAATTTCTCAGCTTGCGATGGTAATATTTTGCAAACCGTTTTGCGGTAAAAGCTGTAACCATATTTTCTGCAAATAATTTTTTGTCGTATCAGTTCAATTTTTCGTTTATGTAAATATTTTGGAATATTAATTTTTCTTAAACTTTTCTTCTTCAACATTATTTTTTGTCAAACTGACAAGGACCATTTGAATTAAGGCGCGAAATTTATAAATTAATTTTTATGTTGTCGAACATGCAAAGTTGACAATGTTGACATTGAAAAAATTATTTCAAATCACAGTTTCAAATTGACATTTGACTTTGTTGCAGAAAAGGTAAATAGGTAAAAGTTTTATTTTAACAAAAAATTATAAAAAACGTCATCATGGTTTTAATTTAGAGCTAAATTTTTGTTATGAAAAACGATCTATAATGAGTTCGGACAATGGGCAAGGCAGTCAAAATTCATCCCAAGATGAACATAAACCAATTCCAGTTAACAGTAAGGAATCTGGAAGATACTGTTGGGTATGCTTTGCTTCAGAGGAAGAGGACATGGAGGCTGCTTGGGTTCAGCCCTGCAATTGCAGAGGAACCACCAAATGGGTATAAAAATATTTTGCTGTTCAAAAATGTCATAATATATACGGACAGGAATATTTATAAATTGCACTTTAAACTATTCAAATATGGAATCTTTTCATATATTAACATATCTACATTATTTTAGGTTCATCAGACTTGTCTTCAGAGATGGGTAGATGAAAAACAGAAGGGTGGTAACATGACTAAAGTATCATGTCCACAATGCCAGACAGAATATATTATTGTTTTTCCAAACATGGGAACTCTGGTGTTATTCTTAGATACTGTAGATAGTTTTATATATAAGGGTTGCCCCTTTATGGCTGCAGGAATTGTTGTGGGAGCAGTATATTGGTGTGCAGTAACATACGGTGCCATCACAGTGATGCAGGTTATCGGGCAAAAGGAGGGTTTAGCTATTATGGAACAAGCTGATCCATTAATTTTATTGATTGGCTTACCTGCGATACCAGTTGCTTTACTTTTAGGGAAAATGATACGCTGGGAGGATGCTTTATTAAGCTTTCTTAGAAAAAATCTCACTAAAATACCTATTATCAGAAACTTTTCACCATTTGGGTAAGATTGTTTGGGTCTCTTGTTTAATCTATATTATTGAATTATTCTTTTAGAATTACTGCAACAACGAATATACGTCCTGAATCAAATACAGAAAATGATCTTCCGCCTTTAACTAGTCCTGTGTCAGCAACAAGAGTACTGTGTGGTGCTCTGCTAATGCCGACAATATCAATGTTTCTTGGAAAATGTTTGTTTGACTCTGTGAAATCAAATTTTCACCGTACTATATTAGGAGGTCTAGCCTTTATAGCTATTAAGGGATGTTTAAAAATATACCACAAGCAACAAAATTATATCAGGCAATGTCAAAGAAAGATCCTAGACTATACTGAATCAAATATATCAACATACATAAGGAATAATAGACGCAATGAAGAATGATTGTTTAGAAACACTGCCCATTAAAGCACATATTTTAAAAGTAACATTAAAATATTAATTGACCCAGGTGTGTTTTTATTGTGGAAAATGCAGGCCTAAATAATTGAAAAATTAAATTGAAATTTTGTATTTGTTGAAGATATATTAGGTTTCACTAAAGCTTCACTTTTAAGGACTAACATTGTGATTCTAGTTTTAAAATTATTTTATATTAAATATACACATGCATCTCAAATGTGTTTTAAAGGTATTTGAAATATTGCTGGTAAAATTTATTCGATATTGTATCATATGTAATGTGGTATATGCATATTTACTTATTTCAGGTATTTTTATAGGCTAGATTTTCGTTTTTTGACAGGTGAAGATTGTTAAAAAGGATTTTGATATTTTAAGTTGGTCAAATAAAGTTATATATTTTTTATTTGTTTTTTAATTGTAGATAAAAAGATTTAAAAATGAGGTAACAAAATTAATGGTTTATTCAATTTATTATTGAGCAAATACAGTGTGAGCTTTATAATAAAAAAATATAAAATAAAATTAATTTGGCAAGAATATTTTCACCCTAAGCTTTGGTCGTACATAAAATAATACCTAAACAGCTGATAACATAAACCAATTAAGAAACAACATAACATAAAAAATATAATCTAAGTAATTTTACTTAATTGACTAATAATAAATAACTCTATTAACATAAAAACAATTATTTACACAAGAGAAAAGTCACCAACAAATAAAATGAAGACTGTTTAGGCAAGAAACTTAAGCATTTATTAGTAACATTAAGAAACATTTAATTCAAATAAATCTGGTCCGGTATATGGGTACGAATCAGTCCAATACCAGCTTGGTGATCTGATTTCTTGTAAACGAAATATATTAGGAGCAACTTGGCTTAATCTAGTGTAATAGGAACAATGTCGAGAAGCACACTCCTCTAAAGGATAGTCATAGGGTGGAGCTAAAATATCTAGAAATGCTGCTGGCTCATCTAAACTTTGAATTTCATGCAGATTTTTGAAATCTGGTTCTAAAGTACATGTAGGACTACTTGTATCTGCTACTGTAATGTCACCGAGTTCTGCTGTAACAATCCCGTATTTGGACTTGTGTCTCAACAATACTGGAGGAGTTTCACCTTGAAAGCTCTTCTCGTCAATTTCTTTAGTCTTTTCAGTGTCTATTGAATAGCTGACTATTTTTACTCGACCGGCAATAACCTTAATTAAACCATGCATCTGTGGATGATTGTGAAGGGGTAATTTACCATTCGGCTTTAATATAAATATCCCCATCGATACTTGGTCATCTTCATACACTCCAATACAACTTACGGGTGCCTTGTCAGGGTTGTTCCATAGATCCGGGTTCAAAAAATGTGACGGCAAATTAACATGCTCTGCTGTTGTCTTATCCAACAATGCTATTAAATTTTGTAAATTTGTTGCAAAGGTCTCGGGTTTGGCTTTTTTCGAAGTAAAAGTAACTATAGCTTGCTTTAAAACGTTAAATATATGGCTAGACATTTTCCATGAATTGTTTTACTATAAAATCAGGTATTTTACTAATTTAATGTTAGAAATATTCTCATAATTTTAACCAGAAAGTAAACGTTCTAGTTTTCTAGTTCACAAATTCACTACTGTTTTTCGACTGTTTTTGATTGTTTTCTTTTCATGAAACGTCAAAACTTGACAAATATTTAAATAAGATAAGGCAATGCCTTCTATTAAAAGATCAGCCTCCGGGCGAGATTTATGACGTCACGCTAGTTAGATATAACGGATTAATAAATATGTTGTAGAATACATGGAAAACATAATTATTCCTCAGATTTTTGGTTTGTATTTTAAAAATGATATAGTTTAAATGAAATATACATAATATACAGTTAATAACTACAACATATATACCTATTTATAGTAATAAATACTTTGGCAAATAAACTATGAACCATACATATGCAGCAAATGTTTTACAATGTACAAATAATGTATAGGTACATAAGATAATGGGTAAAATGTAAATATATTTTAAATTTTGGGGTTTGAAAATCGATCTAATTTAACAAAAACATTGAATATCTACTAATAGTGATGTATTATTATTTGCATTCACAAAATTTATATGTATATTTTGCAAGTATCAATGTTCGAAAAATTATATTTACAAATAATACAATATTATCTAAAAAAAGGCGTCAGCGATGGCTATGAAATGAAGATCGCTGGCATTTTATATGTTAAATTATTCTAAAATTTTTGATTTTCTTGGGATTTTTAGGTTCGGGAAAAACGCTGATTAAGTTTTCATTTGGGTTTTCATTATTTTTATTTGGTTTAAAAAAAAACGTTTCGGCTAACTATAGCCTTCACAGTGTTGTGTCATATGAGAAAAATAGTGTCGAATATAATCCAAAAAATTACATATACAATATAATTCACACCTCATAATGTTTACTGCAATTAATAAACTAATATAAACTTATCAAAAGATGACCACATATTTTTTAAAATTATTATTCTTAACACTAAAATTATCTACATTGACTATGGAGTACGCAGTAAACATTATGTGCGTGGTGTGCATATTTTATATGCAATTTTTTGGATTATATTCGACACTATTTTTTTCATATGACACAACAATGATGGAGGCTATAATGTTAGCCGAACCGTTTTTTTTAAACCAAATAAAAATAATGAAAAACCAAATGAAAAATCAATCAGCGTTTTTCCCGAACCTAAATTCAAGAAAATCAAAAAAAATTTAGAATATTTAGAATCAAGGTTCAAGAATATCAAATTTTCCAAGATTGTAAAATTCTAGTTAATTATTTTATGTGTACAGTTATTTAGGGAATGTCATCGATGTTCATTTCCAAGCCAACTAGACGCCGATTTTTTCGATGATACGGTATAATTCTTACGTAAAATGTAAATAACATTAGACCAATTAAAACAAAGAAATATGAATTTCTTAGTATTTTTAGTAACACCTTTATTCTTAAAACTTAATTTTGTATTATGCAAATATACCAATTTTATTGTTATTTTATTCATATTGTATTCAGCCATCACTTAAATATTTGATATTAATTTGGTATTATAAATAATCAATACTATTCATTAAAAATTACTGAACAAATATATGTTATGCTTAACATACATTATATATTATCAAACAAAACACATTCTTCTTTTAAACTGTATCAGTCTTGTCTTTACAAAAATCTTTTTAAAATTTAAACTCAAAATAATAATCTTTTTCATGATCTCTAATACACATATTCTTTATTTTTCCCTAGATCATAATACCTACTTACGTGTTTGAATCTATCGAAGCTGAACCAGCAACACTTGGAGTGGAGATTCCACAATATGAATAAAATAAACATAATTGTCCAGTTTTCATTAATACCATCATGGGAGAATATTATTTTTAAATTTATTAAAGATATTTTCAATAAAATTCTCTTGATTTATAACTCGTACCCACTTTTCTTGCTCTTCCGGACACTTTAGGCTGCCTAGTATAATAACTATCCTTAGTAACCATCCTTTCCACCAGGAACACAACAAAGATGAGGCATAGCACCAATAACACACTCCACTTAAGCTTTATTGATGAATTGTTAGAGTCTTAAAAACACACACAAAAATCACGATAAGTAAAAAATGTATGGGCACTTTTAGGTTAAATCACTTGCACAACGTGTAATTTTTAAAATTTCTATTTTTGTGCGAAACCGAGAGTGACCATATATCTGGTAGTAGTTTATGTCACTTCAACACCAAAATAATTAGTTTTTTGCACTACAATAATAAATAATACCAAAAATCAAAGAGTTAAAACCAAAAATCAACCGACAAAATATGAAACGGAATCTAACCCAATATCTAAGTATGTACAGCTGATGAAGTAAACAAAAGTCCGCCCGTAGGCTGATCTTTTAATAGAAGGCATTGGATAAGGTTAAATTTCGATTGCGATTTTGAAATCAGAGATATAGACTATAGACAAGCGTGGACAAGCTATAGACTTTTAGTCCATATCTCTGATTTCGATCTATCTACAACAAAGATCTACAATAACATGACGTCACAAATGTAGTGTTCATCTAGAGATGAGCAAGAAATCGCAAACTGCGATTAAATCCCAGCGATTTTAAAATCGCAATTGCAACCTGCGATTGGGTCTCATAGGAAACTGCGATTGCGATTTCTTCTATTTGCGAATCTCAATTTAGGCAACCATAGCTGCGATTTGCAACTTGCGACTTTGTAGCGATTTGCGATTTTGTTGCGATTTTGCTGCGATTGTGATTTTGTAAACTGAGACCGTGATTTCTATCTGCGATATTGAATTTTTAGGAGTTGCGATTTGCGACTTCATTGCGAATGTAAATTTGTGGTCTATTGATGCATTTTATAGTAAACTGCAATTGAATTTTCTCACATTGGATCAATGAATTTTCTCACATTGAATTTTATTCTTATTCAGGGTGAATAAGAATAAAATTATATTATAAAACTCCATAACAACGAATAATTATAAATTGCATTGTGTACATACCGTATGATCGAGAAAAAACGGCGTCAGCGATGGCTATGGAATGAAGATCGCTGTCATTTTATATGTAAATTTATATGGGAAATGTCATTGATGTTCATTTCCCAGCCAACTGGACGCCGTTTTTTTTTCGATCATACGGTACATTTCCATCATCATTTCCAATTATAATTTTGTTAGCCACATTTTTTATCGGCATTTTCTGTTCATTATTGTCTAATTTAAAAGGAAATAATAATATTTGATATACAGGATGTCCCAATATTCCGTGGACATAGAACTACTACCTATTGTTGGAAACAAAATTAGTTCATTGGACACAATTATGGAGGCTAAGTTCACATGTTTATTTCATCAAAAATATACTTAAAAAAAAGATGAAGTGGTAAGATCAAAATTTGAGGATCAGAGTTCTGTCAGAATATTTAATATCCAGACAGAACTTTTTCAGAATAATGAGTCACTCTGTATATTTGTAAATTTTCTCACGAAAACCATTATTTTTGCATTTAATTTCAGAACAAGTTTAATTACACTTTTTGTCGATTATAAGGTACGATATAAATCTCAGCCTTGCAACACAAATGACATATAAAATTATCATTAAAATTCCTACACGGATGTGGATTTTTTTCTACCTTGTTTTAAAAGATATTCCAAAATTTATTGAAAAAGTATTTTTTATTAGATTAACATAAAAGTCAATTTTTTATGGCTTAATGATCTACACTATCGGACAAAAGTAGAGCAACAAAGTTGATTTTTATACATGTTTGAATAAAAAAAATTATTAGGTTGTGATTTTCGGCTATGTTTACTAACACACTATCCTTACACTAAAAGTAATATTTTACAAAATTTTGGTGTACTTTTAATCAATTTAAATATGGTAAATAATAATGATTATAAAAATGAGAATGGGGGGACAAAAATAGAGAAACAAATTGTATTCAACAGATTTTATTGTGTCTTATTTCAACAAAAATATTTAACACATTTAAGAACAATAATAATTGAAAGTAATATATTATTAATTCATAGAATATCCATTATTATTAATAACTTGCTGACAACGACGCGGCATTGAAGCAATCAACTTCTGAATGATATTTTCGGGCAGATTTGTCCAAACTTCATTAATTTTATCTATCAAGGATTGTTTATTTGGAAATATTTGGGTACGACTACGACGTTCTACTTCTTCCCAGAGATTTTCAATGGGGTTAAGGTCTGGGGATTGTGCTGGCCATTGCAAAACTCGAACATCATTTTCCTTAAACCACTGTTGAACAACTTGTGAAGAGTGTTTTGGATCGTTGTCCTGTTGGAAAATAAAACGCAGTGGCATTTCCCATTCTGCATAAGGAAGCATAACATTCTGCATGATATCCCTATAAACAAATCGGTCCATCGTGTCATTAATAAAGTGGATAGAGCCTACCCCATTCCAGGAGAAACAACCCCATAAAAATACACTGCCTTTACCGTGTTTAATTGTAGGTGTTACGTATTTAGGATTAAACCTTGTATTGATTGGTCGCCTCACACGTCTCGTTCCATCAGAATTGAATATTTTGTAGCGCGTTTCATCACTGAACAGAACTTTTTTCCAGTCATTGACGGTCCAGTTTAAATGCCGACGTGAGAATGCCAACCTTGCTGCTCTATTTCTTTCCAAAACTAACGGTTTTTTAGCTGGACGTCTACTAAATAACTTTGCATCTACTAATCTTATTTGTACTGTTCGTATACCAACCGTAATTTTTGGAATTTCGGCAATAATTCTAGGTGCAGACTTCCAAGGATCATTTTGGGTAATTCTTTTGATGCGTCTGTCGGTCATTACCGTTGTTTTCTTTGGCCTTCCCAATTTTGGCACTTTTCTAAGCGTCCCCTGTCATTATACGATGAAATTATTTTAGATACACTGTACCGGGGTAACACAAACTGTCTTGAAATATCGGCTTGTTTGTTACCTTCCATGAATGCATTCACAACTCTTTACTTGAAGTCTTTTGAAATTGGAATTCCTCTTGGCATGACTAATCCAGTATAGAAATGTTTAAAAACATAAAATAAACCTCGCACAATTATTTTGGCCTTTACTTTTGCTAAAACCCTTCGTTGGAATGAATTATGTTGTTCTACTTTTGACGCTTTACTATTGAGCATTTAAAACTAAATGTCAAAATAAATTCATTTGTTTTGTTAGTAAAAATTCTTGCTGTAATGAATACTCATAGCCTACTTCGTAGTTTTTAAATTTATTGTATATTGTATACAGTACGTCTGTCCGTTCTGTAGCTACGGGGTATCCGCGAGAGGGGCAACGATATTCTCTCGATGTTTTTCATAAAAAATTAGACGACGCGTCCCATCAATAAAAATTCGACAAATTTGCAAGTAGCCAATAAAAGAGTACTCCTCAAGTCGACGTATAAAATATATTGCTGTTTATTTAAATGTTTTTTGTCCGCATTCCTTTCATAGACACAGATCCAGCAGACGTACTGTACATTACCATGCATGTATAATTAAAAAATCGCGATTTGCTAATATTTCTCGAAGTGTTGCTCTATTTTTGTCCGATAGTGTATAAACTAGACAAAATTATATAAATCAAGGCAGTGGCGGATACGATATATAGAGGGGGGGCCCATGGGACCCTGGCCCCCCCTAAAATCTATAAATTGCGTTAAATATTAGGCTTTTTGATTAAAAATGGCACCCTAAATAGCATATTCTTCATTACCTTTTATCTGGGCCCCCCCCTAAAATAAACTTCTGTATCCGTCTCTGAATCAAGGGTAGACAATATTCTTGATTCAAAATATAATTTTCAAAAGTTTCGAAATATTTGCGTCTAAAAAGAAATTATAAATTAATTATCTCATGATTTCCCTTCATTATAATAAATTGACGCATCTTACCTTTATATACACGGTGTTTCAAAAAACATGTGCCATCTCTCGTGGGGAGATTCCTCACGTTAAAATAAGATTTATTTTTCATATCAACATAGGTCCCATTCTGCTTTGTTTTGTAGCTACAGGGTGTTAAAGTCTTAATATTTTTTCGATTTATTATAATTTTCTTCCAAGTACGTTTAGTGATTCGAATGAAATTTTGAGGGTAAAAGTTACTATAATTGCTACGTATTTTAATGCTTAAAAAGTGTCGATAAATTCATCAGGGACGTGCATATGGGTTATCACTGCAATATTTAAAAAAAAAACACATGTGCGCCTCTGCCTTTTTTTCTTTTGAGACCAAAATTGAGAAAATACCGTTTTTTAAATGCCATTTAATACAAATTAAAAGTTAAATTTTGTCGAATTCGGCCTCCTTGATGAGATAAACGCAATTTTATTAATCACAATGATTGTGACTAAAAATTAAAAATAAAATTAATAAATTACATATTTTACCTCATTTATTATTAAATATTATTACTGTTAGTTGTTATTAGTATTAGTCCAACGTACAACAGTAAGTAAACTACTAAGACTTTAACACCTTGTAGCTACAAAATAAAGCAGAATCTGGCCTATGTTGATATGAAAAATAAATCTTATTTTTAGTTGAGGAATCTCCCCACGAGAGATGGCACATGTTTTTTGAAACACCCTGTATAAACTCGAATATCTTGAAAACCGTTCACCATATCGAGCTAAACGAAGACCACCTTTCTTAGCTGAAAAAGTCTTAACAGTTTATGTCATTTGTTGAAATTACTGTAACTAAGTATAAAAAAGCACCTATACAGTAGTACTGTCTAGCATAATGGAAAGTACCGTATGATCGAGAAAAAACGGCGTCAACGATGGCTATGAAGTGAAGATCGCTGTCATTTTATATGTAAAATTATATGGGAAATGTCATCTATCGTCATTTCCCAGCCAACTGGACGCCGTTTTTTTTCGATCATACGGTACCTTTTCAGGGCTATTACGGAATTTTACACTATCGTCATCCGCTTTAGCATTTAAATGTGTGTAAGAGTTGATAACATTTCAAGAAAAAAGGTTAACCAATACTCTTAAAAATAAACAAAATAAATTATTTATATTTATCCTTTCGAACTTCTGCGGAAATTATTTTACGGCATATGCTCATAGGAACTTATTATTTTATTTTTATCTGTAGAAACACCCACCGAAATTAGATACACTATTTTTGACACCCCGTATAATTCAATGTTTTCCAATTTTTATGGATACCTAGACCTAGATATCTGGAAAATAATTTTTTTCTATTTGTTGAATCCTGTTTTTCTGGTTACTGTAAGCCCTCTTAAGAAACACAATAAGGATGCCCCAAACACGTAAATCATTGTCAAGGATATAAAAATATTTGTCGACTTGAACCGGTAAGGTCGAACTATTTTGAGGCACATTATCATATAAAGAAGACGGAAACCCCAAGGTTTTATGCTAAACACTAAAACGACAACGTTTCTTTATTAACAAAAATGTTTATTTTAATAATAAATTACAAAATTAGGACTAGGATCTTGTAGCAAATTCGACAGTTCTTAATCAATACATGTTGCTCAACAAAGTAAGCAAAATATCAGTAGTATTCTCCATTGTGGTCAGTCGAAGTCAGCAATCACAGATGTACAAAATATGTCTATGAATGCAAGAAATGCAAAAGAGTTTGTCTTGACTGGATTTTTTTCTTAATAATATCTGAAAAAGAGTAAAAAAAAGTAAAATTAATTTAGAATGAATAATTGATATGAGATGGTTTGGATCGTTTTGGTTTCCGCTGGTTGTTAGTTGTCTAATTGTGAGTTTTAAATAAGACCAAATATTTTTAGGGGTGGTATATTTTGACCCCAGGAACACGTCTATGTGTTTTTGCAATAAAACATGTTGAAAATCGTGTATTTTTTTAATTTTCCTGTTTTTAGAAAACTTTTTAGAACTGCATGTTCACCGCACATTTTCCCACGGTATAATTTTTTAAAAGGGCCCTACTCTACACATAAGGATCTCTGAGAGACTTGAACTGTACAGGGTGTCCCACTAAGAATAGCTCTCGGCTGTATCTCAGAAAGTATTAGCCATAGGGCTTACGGAAGAAAAATATTTATAACTGAAGGGGCTATGAGAAATTGCTGGAAATTATTTTCAAGTTTGTAAAACGGCCGCTAGGTGGCGCAACTGCTATGGAAAATAAGAAAATAGATTTTTACAGAATTTTGTCTAGATAATGGGTACTATAAATAATAGCTTCATAATCCTCAGTAAATTTTGGATTTTTTTGTTAGAACCATTTTCCCCTATCTGCTAAAATAAAGTGGTGGGGGAAGGTTAGATCTGTTTTTCTTTAAATGTTAATAACTCCGGACTGGAAAATCAGAATCCAACAAACGAGGGCTCGTTTAAAAGAGCGTTTCTTACTCTATATTATGCCATAAAAATAATATTAATAAGATTTTGAACGTAGACGCTAGGGGGCGCTTTCTTACAATTTAACAAACATAGCGCGTTTTTTCAAAAAAATTAAATACGATAGTATGTGTTATTTTAGCTGATAGTAAAGAGTAGTAAAAGCTTAAAAAGTTAGCGAAAACCGCATCTTGATATCTTCTTTCAAACCGAAGATATTAGCAAAATTATAATAAATTCCAAAAAATAAGCCCTTATATAATTACCTTATTTTTACCATACAGTATCAGTAGCAATATAGTATCAGTAGTTGTAGTTTGTAGTATCAATGTAGTATCAGTAGCAATATAGTATCAAACGCTGCTAAGACTATCAAAATGTTGATCTAATAACAATTTGACATTTATACTATTATGTCAAAAGCAACTACCGTATGATCGAAAAAAACGGAGTCCAGTTGGCTTGGAAATGAACATCAATGACATTCCCCATTTAATTTTACATACAAAATGACACCGATCTTCATTTCATAGCTATCGCTGACGCCATTTTTATTCGATAATACGGTATTTTCCAAAGCCTACCATGACTTCACTGAATCATCGTTTCTGGTTCACTATTATTAATATCTTAATTATTAGATATTAATACATCTGATATTATGATATTCTAGTATATCGTCGATTTTAAAATAAACTAACTGTTTCTATCTTATTTTTAGGTTAGAATGGGCATAATCAAGAGGGCTACTGATACCTTGTTGTAAAAATAAGGTAATTAAGGGCTTATTTTTTGGTATTTGTTATAATTTTGCTAATATCTTCGGTTTGAAAGAAGATGCGGTTTTCGCTGACTTTTTAAGCTTTTACTACTCTTTACTATCAGCTAAAATTACATACATTATTGCATTTAATTTTTTTGAAAAAACGCGCTATGTTTTTTAAATTGTAAGACAACGCCCCCTAGCGTCTACATTCAAAAGCTTATTATTGTTGTTTATATGGTACAATATAGAGTACGAAACGCTCTTTTAAACGAGCCCTCGCTTGTTGGATTCCGATCATCCAGTCCAGAATTAATAATATTCAAATAAAAACAGATCTAACCTTCCTCCACCACTTTATTTTGGTAGCTAGGAGAAAATGGTTCAAACAAAAAATATTCAAAATTTACTGAAGATTATGAAGCTGTTACTTATAGTACACCTTATTTAGGCAAAATTGTGTAAAAACTCAATTTTCTTATTTTTTGTTGCAGTTGCGCCTCCTAGCGGTCGTTCTACAAACTTGAAAATCATTTCCAGCAATTTCCCATAGCCTCTTTAGTTATAAATATTTTTTTCCGCAGCCGCTACGGCTAATATACTTTCCAAGATACAGCCGAGAGCTATTCTTAGTGGGACACCCTGTACAGGGTGGGTCAAATTGGACACTTTTAAAGATGAAAACTGATATCAGCATCTGGGCCTCATTTTTTTTAATCAAAAACAAGATGATAAAAACTGCACATCGATATCTATTATCGTTTCAGAGTTACTGGGCGTTTTTTAAAATTGTGCATTCTTAACAAATCGCTGTAACTTTTTTGCTATGGAAAATTTTGTGTTTTTGTGAAAACATTTCCAAAACACCTTTTTACTTAGAATTTAATAGTTTAAGATTATTTTTTTATTTAATAATTTAAGAGTTATCACCAGAAAAATTGTTTTTTTTATATGGAACACCCTGTGTATTTTTAATTCACCGAAAATTCTTTCTAAAAATACAAGGTGTCCCAGAAATAAGTGCAAGTATTTAACTGGTAGTATAGTTCAACCCCAGAAACACGCATATGAGGATTTTTTCGCGAAAAAATTTTTTTGAAAATACGAAATTTTTGGAAAAATTGTTTACTATTTTTTTTAGTTTTTAGTTAAAAAACATTATTTCTTGATAATATGGCAACATAGGTATTAGATTAAATTTACAAGAAAGAAAATCCAGAAAAGATCCAGTGGTTCTCAAAATTTTAGCTTAAGTTTAGCTAAAGTGAAATAACTCCGTTATTTTGAATTTGAGAAACGATAAAGAGAAAATATGTTTCTTTTATCGAGATCTACCACCCCTTAAAATACTTGAACTTATTTCTGGGACACCTTGTATAGCACACTTGATATTTTATTCGAGTTTCCATCGAAATACAAAATTTTTAAAATGTCTTCACTTTCAACTAGTAGGCTTTGGACCCCTTATTGTATAATTTGATCCCCGTATTGTAAATGTTTTCATAAAAAACAAAATTTTCCATATTTATAAAGTTTTTTAAGCGGATTTTTAAAAACGCACATTTTCGAAAAACACCCTGTAACTCTGAAACCGTCATAGATATAGATGTGCAGGTGTGGGTTTTACCATTATGTTTTTGATGAAAACTGAGCTCCAGATACGGACATTAGTAAATCGAAGAGATGAGATTTGCTATCTTTCAACATGCTGAAGATTTTTAACTGCCCAGACCACAGATTTGGCGGGGACTGTACAGACTATAGACTGACGAAATTATCTTTTATAAAACCTGAACGTGTAGTGTGGAAAGAACACTATCGATTTAATTTTAAGATCAGAACTGTGCGATTTGGCATGCAGATTAAATCGTTGCGTTTAGAACCCCTTCCATATAAATTATTTTTTAAAAAGTATGATTAAATGATACTTACAGTCCGCCTTCGCCTCCTGAACCTGCTTGTGCTTGAGCTTGGGCTTGGCTTTGAGAGAAACTGGCTGAAAATGGACCAAATCCGAAAGAAGCTGATTGAGACTGGGCTTGAGACTGTGCTTGAGCTTCACCTCCTCCTAATCCTCCACCGAAACCTCCAGCTGAAATAAAATAATACAGTCAATTTAGTACAGTCAATCTCATTTTTTTTATCTGAAAAAATAAAAATGTTATAGGAGTGAGCCACTTTCGAGACGCCCCTGGTATATCTTTTCTAACAAAAAATTATAATTTAAAAGGGTTGGCAATTGGGTGGTTTTGAATGTATTATTAAAAATTAGAAGACATTTTGAGACCATGTGTAGAATTCATAACGTTATATATTTAGTAACTATTACATTTTTATTTACAAAAAAAGGTGTTAAGTAGTTTAAATATGTAAAAACCGAATTATATTGTAATCTAGTGATAACCAAGTGTCTCAAAAATACAATACTTGCTAAATAATCATTTAGCATGCAAAAGAGAATTGAACAGTAATTATTATGATATTTTAGATTTTCAATATTGTTATAGAAATGTAGATAAACTAGTAGCTAGTAGACAGCGGCGGATCCAGGATTCGAGAAGGGGGGGGGGGGTAGACACAAAACTTTACTCAAAGTAGCAGCTTTACAATGATTTAGTCATCTTCCGGTAGAATAAACAATGTATTACAATTTTTACTAGTAATTTGCGGGGATGTACAGGGTGTCCCATTTTGCTTGAAATCATACAGTATCTCCGTTATTAGTGAAGATAGAAGAATGCGGTTTGTATAAATCTGTCTCACTTTTTTGTCAAACGGAAGATGCTGTTACCAAATTATCATAGCCTTTTTCGTTTCTGAACTGCAGGGTCTTTATAAAAATTTTGCAGTTTGGGACACCCTCCGTATCTCTGTTATTGTGAAAGGTATCGAGAAGGTGAAAACTGTTTTTGTAGAACTTTTATGTTAGAATACAGTGGCGCACAGTCTGTTGTTCCACGATTTTTTTTGAAGGTATGAGCTAAAGTTATATTTTCTTAAATAGAACACCCCGTATATTTATAAATCATATGATCTGGCATCATAACACAAATAACTCTATATTTATTTTTACTATTTACTGCAATATTTAAGAGTTTTTATTAAATGATCATTTTTATTAGTAGGCCGCGATTGATAATAAAAGAAACAAAAGAGTAATAGTATACTGCTATATATGTCTTGTTTTATTTAGGGAGCTAATATTTTTTTTATATATCAGGAAAACAACACCCTACCCCTTTTTGTAAATCTTGGAAGCTATCGTACCAGAACTTTTAGAGAATATATTTCTTTAGATAATTCACGTGAAATTAACTTTGGAAATGTTATTAAATTAAACAACCATCTTCAAAATCAATAAATTGGACCTATACGAAATGGATCCATGGGAAATGGTGTCATAAGATGACCTGCCAGATCCTCAAATTTGTCCGTTCTCGATTTTTGTATTTAGGTATTTGTTTTTGACACTCGACAATTGGACACCCTGTATACTCTTGTATCAGAAAACAAATCCTGAGAAACTTGTAACAGACTTTTACTTATAGACGTCCAGATATTTTGACCACACCGTGTTGATAATAACTATTATTTAAGCATACCTTGAGCTTGAGCCTGAGCCTGTGCTTGGGCACCTCCATATCCACCTCCGTAACCAGGACTGCCTCCGTAAACTGGACCTCCTCCGTAAACTGGACCGCTGACGTAGATCGGTCCTCCTCCGTAACCTCCTTGTTCGTAGCCGCCTCCTCCGTGTCCGTATCCGAAGCCACCTCCAAAGCCGTGACCTCCAAGACCTTTGTATTTGTGGAAATGTGGGTCTGCTGCCCGGGCTATTCTAACTAAAATTAGAGAATAAAAATTTCTAAAGAAGACATTTTATGAATACCTAGATTAAATTAATTTAATACCTAATTAGTCTCAAGTGTATTCTGTACAAGAGATTATAATTATATTATTTTTTTAATTTTAAAAATTATTTTCGTTGACTTTTACACAAATCAAGAAAAAATACGGGATGGGTAAAAACTACCCCCACCCCTACATACATTTTAGTATAAATATTTTCCAATTCAACAATGTACCGATTTTTTTTTCGTAAAATGGTCCTTCTAGTGTTTAATACATTTTGTCTCTTGCAAAAAAACGCCACCGCGCGCGCATACTTTTTGAGGAAAAAAATATTTTTCCGAAGCTGACTTACAAAAGATATTTTTTATCACATCAAGCTAATATAATTTTTTGTCTTATCACTCATAATCTAGTTGGCGAAAATATGGAAAATTTTATGTTAGTCTCACAAATTAAATTTACAATAAGCTTCATAAAAAGCTTTAATAATATTACTTTTAAAGAATATACATTTTATACTAGGAATAAATATTAAGTTCGGGAAAAATAATCATCTCTTTAATTTTTTATTTACATTTAATCAAAGACATCTAGTATATGCATTAGCATTATATATATATTTATGTGGTTTAGCATTATAAGTCAAAATTCAAACTAAGGTCAATTTTCTATATTTTTTACTACCAAATGATAATATCAATATACAGGGTGGCCCGAAACGTATTCCGGAAACTTCGGAACCATAATCTGCAGATAAAAATAAGTAAAAAGGTTCGTATAAATGTATGTCCAAAAATGCTGAGTTTCGGAGATACGGGGTGTAGAAATTTCATTTTTATTTCGATTTTTTTCAAATAATTTAAGAAGTAACGTCAATATTTGGATGAAAATTGGTGTCTGGGAGTTGACGTAAGAAATTTAAATTTGATTACCTGTCATTACTGACATAAATTAAACATGTTGACTAAATAGTTACTAAACTGAAATAATAAATTTTAAATGTTTTTGGAGCAAAAGTTCAGCCTTTGAATAAGAAGACTAAGGAAGGAGCATAATGCTATCCATGTATTCAGGCATGGTGGGCTGAAAAAGGACCCTAGGGTGGGGATCCTTGACAGTTCTGTTTGACGATTCATTTGACACATTTGAATTCGATTTGAAATTTTGTGGATTTGTCAGTCTTTACGGAGCTTATTTTATGTTATTTATTATTTATTCTACTACTGATAGTTGTATAAAGGTAGTAAATCTAGATGGAAATTGTGGCAGAACTTAAATTAACAGTGACACTATCGTGATTTATCGAAAAAGACTCTAAAATGGTTGGTTGTGTAGTGTGCGGTAGATCTCGGCAAAAATCAAGTGAAATAATGGAACAACTTTTCGCTAGTAAGTGACTATATAATATACATACGTGTAGTAAACCGATCATTTATGAAATTTACTTAAATTAACTAATTATATATTTTTTTCTTGCATTTTTGCTTTTATTTTCTACTTGTCAAAGATTAGATGTCAAAGAATCTAGATACCTACGTCAATTTGACTTACCTGCTTCAGTAGCGTATCGGATGTTTGTGTTAATAAATAATTATTAAAACTTATCTCTTTTTATTATAATAATATGTTTTTAACAATTTTAATAACTACCAACATTTATTCACAACGTAAAATAAAAAAAAATATTGAGTCTACCCCAAGTCTACCCTACATCATAGTTTTACATTTTTTAAATAAAATTAGAACGGCACTGATAAACCGGAATTTAAGTCGGTCATATTTGAGTCCTATCGCGGTAGACCTAAGATTATTGATATGCTCCTTCCTTAGCCTTCTTATTCAAAGAGTTCAGCAGAAACTGTTTATGATTAATTTAAAAAACAATAAAATTTCCCAAATTTATTATTTCAGTCAAATAACTACTCAATGTGTTTATTTTTTCCCAATAATGACATGTATTGAGTATTTCCATTCTAAATATCTTGAGACCGGTTGCTCGTAGTGATTTTACCGAGAGACATATTTTACGTAAAAAGTTACGGAGATGTATATTTTTTCACTCAGTAGTTTTATACAGGCATGGACGACAAGTTATTACTGTTCAAAACAGTTAAAACACGTGTAGGTGGCGCCCCCTACAAATAGGAGTCATATTAACATCAAAATCAAATTTCTCATGTCAAAAAACTTCCAGACACCAATTTTCATCCAGATATTGACGTTAATTCAGAAATTATTTGGAAAAAATTGAAATAAAAATGAAACTTATACACACTGTATCTCCGAAACTAAGCATTTTAGGACATACATTTTTATTCGAACTTTTTTACTTATTTTTATCTGCAGAATATGCTGCCGAAGTTTCCGGAGTACAGTTCGAGCCACCCTGTATATAACAAAGACACAATACATTTTGAAATATTAATTAACAAAAAATAACCGACTTACCATTTTTCTCATTTAAATCTACCGGACTACATAAAACTTGCACGAACAACACAAAACAAACGCCCAACCTCAACATTTCGAACAATTTCGAAACTATTGTCCAAAAAAAACAAACCAAGAAAGAACAACGCGTTTTCGAATTTCCCGCAAATTAAATAGTCTCCATTTTACCTTGCTATATAAGATAATCCCCACCAATGGACGACGCTCGTTGGTCTTGAAAGATTTTGTGAATTTTCGAAGGTTGCTTGTCCTTAAAGTCTCCATACACTACGGTTATTTTGCTCAGTTTTAAAAAGGAATAGAAGAAAATAGTGCAATGCTCTGAAAAATATACAGTCACCTGCACGAAAAACGGGCACCTCAAAATTGTGATCTATTTTAAAGTTATACCGGGTGCGTCTCACAAGTGACTCGCCCCTATAACTATTTGGTATGTTAGCATATGACACAAATTAGGATTGATTGACGTATTCAATTGTTTTTGGTTACTTCCTGTTTCACCGGAAATGACTATAATTGCTGATTTTTAAATAACATCCTCCGTATATTTCTACTTTATTCGATAGAAAAGGACACTCTGAATAGAATGACATTTCATATGTCATCTTTTGAGATTTTCACATATGGTTTATTTGAAATTGTAATATGCGGTTCATAACGACAATTTGACTCAAAATACCAAGTGTATAGTACCAAATTATTCGTAAAAAATGCTTTTTCCAAATATGCTAATGAGCCACCCTTGTTCCATTTAAAAAAATTAAGATATGATTTGGGTATCTTTTAACCGGTCAGGACAAGACTTGAAAAACATTAGACGATCAAAACTATTTTTCCAAATGTTCTTGATTAAAAATTAGTGTTTTTAACACAACCATGGCACTCCAGATTGAAGTTTAAAATACGATTTTTTTTAACGAAAATGTCAAAAGTGGACATATGATATGTGATTCTATTCAGAGAATCATTTTCTATCGAAAAGTTGTAGTCATTTCCGGTGAAACAGGAAGTGACCAAAAACAATTGAGTACATCAATCAATCCTAATTGATGTCATATACTAACATACCAAACCTGGTTATTTATCTGGGAAAATAAAAAGTTATAGGGGTGAGCCACTTCGAGGCGCACCCGGTATACATATATTTTGTTCTAGTGTACCGATTTTGATTATTTTTTAAGCATTTTGTAGCTAAATTATTGGCTAAGGAATTTAAAAATTGTTTTATCAAATAGGTACATCTTTTTTCGATAGTTTGTTTTTTTGGTTCATCTCAGGTAGCTTCATTTTTGTTGAACATATTCGCTTTGAAGGAGACGCTAACATTTTTTCGTAATTTGTATTCTGATAATAAAATGTTACAGATTTACCGAATAGTAGTAGTAGTAGTAGTAGAATTAGAGATTAAATAAAAGAAAAAAGAAAATAATATAATAAGAAAATTATTACAAGGTTATTACTAATAATACCGAATATTACACACACCTCCCCTCCCCATACTTTCCATTAAATGGCATATATCCTCCTATTGAATAGCCACCCATTGTTCTAGAACTGGTCTTCGTAACTCATCCAATGTTCGAAGGGTGGGTACTAAACTTTTAATTTTCTTACCGAGCATATCCCAGACATGCTCGATAGGGTTTAGATTTGGAGTGTATGGTGGCCAAATCATTTGTGGGATCTTAACATGATTAAGGTATTCTCTCATCTCTACCATCTTGTTCTTCTTTCTTAAAGCAACTATAGCGGATACAACTTCGGGACTTAAAATCATCTCTGCTAGAGGAATTGCCCAAGAGACAATAATAATAATGATTTTTCAACGACAGTGACAAAAGTGTGACTAATGACTAAGAATGACGTGTGATTAATGACTAAGTGTGATGACTAGGTGTAATAAATGACTAGGTGTAATAAAGTGTGATTAATGACTAAAGAATATAAGGACATGTAACGCCCATATACGGGCTGCAGCAGAATTTGTGACCTTAGACGCCATTCTTTTGATGGCAAACAATGAGTCATCATCTGGTCACCAGCGACAATTTTAGCGATTTTTAATAGTTTGTGTGTAATGAACTATGGATAAACTTTATTACAATGGTGATTAGTTGTTCAGCTTTCAAGTGTAAAAGCAGCATATATAAGAAAGTGCCAGGAGTTACGTTTCATAGGTAAATAAACAGTTCGCTCCACCTTTTTAGATTTTCTTAGTTTTCTTATTGAATTCGATAATTATTTTTCTGATATTATATGTACTTGATGTGTGCTATACGTCGATACTAGTTTTGTACCTTTTGTTAACATTTTAATACGTTTTTTCGTAATTAATTGGTATGATACCACCGTATACACCATATAGGCGTAATCAAAACATTAAGAAAAATATGTGCCACGGCACTGTTTGGTGACATCGTAACAATTTGCTCTCGGGTGTTATTTGTCCTTGGATTCTTTAGTCATTGGACATTACACAAATTATAAACACGATTTCATAGGTTCTGCTTTATTGTGACTGCATCTGTTCTGCTATTATTAGCCGACCAACCAATAGCCTACCAGGTATGGTAGGCTATTAAGATCGGCAAAAAAAAAGTTTTTTTAATTTCACTCAAAATAAGTTATTTGGGTCATAAATGACCCAAATACAAAATATTTTTATGGTGTCTGTGTGTCTGTCTGTCCGTCTGTAACACAATAACTCAAAAACCGCTAAACCGATTTTAACCAAATTTGGCACAAAAATACTGTGGCACCCGAGAATCTGGCCATTAGCTTTTGGTGGGGGTGGAGGGTTGGTAAGGGTGTATGGGAGGGTGTTAAAAATTAAAAAAATCGTAACTCCAAAATTACAGTAGCTAGCGAAACGCGGTTTCCAATTTAAGATTAGGAATAATATTTGCAACAAAATTTGTAATAACATCAAAATCAGTCAAAGTCGCAGTTTTTGAGATAATTGATTATTAACATATTTTAGTATGGGCGGCTATACGTGCCTCCCGGCGCCATTTTTTTTTTATATTATAAATATGTAAATTTCCAGAATGTGTAGCTCAGACGATTGTGGTGTAGCTGTGCAATCATTCAAGCAAATGTGTAGCTTGTGACAACTCTGCTGCACAGTTTTGTCGGTTTCTGTCCATACTCTATCGAGTATCGGGTAGGAATGAACGGGTTGAACTATATCGATAAAATATCTGGCGAAGACAGATTTTGACTTTTATGGTCTACTCGTTTGGTTAAAACAACAAGTGTATGGGGACCTTTAGAGTAAATTTGACCAAAACCCATCTCTCATCGGTTTCCGGCTTTTTTTTGGTTGGTCGGATTTGCCCATGTAGATATTAATAATTCACCGGAATGTTATTAGCATTACCTTATGACTTATTTGAATATTTTGGTCGTTCGGAATAGACGTTATTAAGGTAGTTTTAAATTAGCACTTTAATGATTTAGTTGGCTGTTTGCGAGCGGTGTTTTTACATTTCCCGTAAATTGGGATTTCTGAAATCGTGATTTAATATAACAGGTTGTTTGTTTTACGTATATATAATTATCATTTTTTTAAAAGCGTGTATTAATTTGTCTTTTAATTTGTTTTTTATTGTTTTATTTATAAAATACAAATAGTTATGACCATTAGCGTAACTAGCAATTCATCCTGGGAGGGCCTAGGGCTTTTGTTTTTTTAAAAAATGAATAATAATAATAATAAAAATTAAACACGTTTTTTGAATGTAAAATGTAGAATGTTTAGTTAGGTTAGGTTGGGTTACATCTATTGTGTGTTCCCCTTTCCTGAGTTATAACTCATCATACAGTCTCAGGGCTTTAACAAAAACCAGTATCTGAGACGGCTCCACAGAGGCCAGCTCTCCATCCTCGACATCAGACGTACCAAGATTCATGGCACGAATGGTCGTCGTCTCGGCGCACTCAGTGATAAGGTGTTCTGGTGTTTCCCCATTTTCCCCACAAAATCTGCATTCGCCGTTGTTTCTCATTTTCAGCCTACTGAGGTGTTCGTTGAGGGAGACAGTGTCCTGTTAGAAACCCCGTGACAATCCGAAGATTGTTTTTACTTAAATCAAGGAAAACCTTTGATTTTTCTCGGTCGTAAGTTCTGAGGAAGTTTTTCGAGTGTCTTAGACCGTTGAAGGACACATTCCAAGTTACGGATGGAGTCTTCCAGATTCTTCAGTTCCGCTTTCAGTTGGTTCCCGTTTGGAAAACAGAACGGTTCTGGTCCAGTTAGTGGAGTGTTCGCTCCTTTTCTAGCTAGATCATTTGCTTTTTCATTACCTTCTATCCCTTGGTGAGCAGGCACCCAGACTAGGCGGACTTTATTTTCTTTGCCTAATTTGTTGAGCTTCTCTAGGCATTCTTTGACCAACTTCGAATTGATGGTTACTGAGTTGATCGCGTTAAGTGCTGATTTTTTTAATAAAACGTTTACATGAATTTCTCTATCAATAAGTTTGATAGGCTTGGTTATCAAAACGTGTTTCCGTGTAGGTATATTACCATGTTACTTAAATGCCTACAAATTTTGTAAAAAAAATTGGCGCCGGGAGGCACGTATATCCGCCCATACTAAAATATGTTAATACAAAGTTGGTAGGCAGTTATTTTAGTTTCAAAGTAAAGGAATTTTTCCAAATTTTTTTATCACAAAAACTGCGACTTTGACTGATTTTGATGTTATTACAAATTTTGTTGCAAATATTATTCCTAATCTTAAATTGAAAACCGCATTTCGCTAGCTACTGTAATTTTGGAGTTACGATTTCTCAAAATTCGTAAAAGTTTTACGAAATTTTACGAAACCGATTAATTCTAGTATTCTAACTTTTGTAGACTAGAAAGTCAGGAACCGGTAGCGGCTATTATCTAAGTTTTAATCTATAAGGATATTTATCCATAAAGATCATTCGATTAAAACTGACGATTTGTTTGTGTATGTGGTGAAAGCACAGTTTCCTGCAGTTCAAAAACTGACAGTTTTAAAACTGAAGATCGCATCGTCTGACGTAACTGCATTGTGTGTGTCTTGACAAAGTTTAGATATTCAGTTCAAATCGTACAGTCCTAGAACTGTATGTGAATGGGCACCTTAAGAGTCTATTACGCTGTACTGTTCGGTTCGTTCTCAGGTAT